AGGAGCAGAAGTAAAATAAATGAAGAGGGAGGCTCACAGACTAGATTTATGTCCTCATGGCCCACTAGTGACCCGTGGCCCACAGATTAAGAACCACTACTTTACTCAAACCCCTGAACTGCAGTTGTCTATAAAAGTAGACATGGTGTTTTTTAAAGGTAATATTTTCCCCCAAATTGAGAACCATATTTACACATGACTACTTTGCCAAAGAATATACAAGAAATATAGCTAGGGCTGAATGTAGTTGGCACGCAGAACCATCCCTGCTCTTCCCCTTCCCATCCTCACCTTTTCTTCCTGTCCATCTAGAGTGCTGCCTGGAGAGGAGATTATGATGATGATGATATTGAAGATGACATTAATGATGATGATATTCATTTCTGTCCCTCCTTTTTCCAAAATGGGAGGACTCAAAGCATTTTCAACATTTTTTTTAAAAAATCACAGAAGTTCAAAATTAAAACGTTTGTTGAAAAATTTAAACCAGATGAAAACGTGTATCATTAAACATACACCAGTTTTTGCAAGAGAACTGAAACTTACGGATGATTTTGGAATGGAGGACAATTGGCCAAAATATAGTTATATATAAGGAGAGTCCCACCCTCACACCCAAGTTGTTCCTGTGCCCTGCTAAACTGTTTTGAAAAACGTCTGACACCAAATATCCCCTGGGGATGAGGAGGATAATTTAACAATGTTGTTTCTTGTTGAAAAAAGGTCCTTTTTCTAAATTGGTCATAAATATGGGTGCTTGGGGCTGAAAAAAAAGAGAGAGAGAGAGGTGTTCAGGAATACAAGATCTCTGGAGGTGTCATGTGAGTCTTTAACCCCCAACAGTTGCCCATCTGAGTTAAAATCCACAATGACTCCATTCTTAAATGTAAGTATCCAACTTTTAGAGTCAGGGTGCATAACATTTTTTGCCTCAGAGACCACATCTGGCATTGACTGAAGACTAGTTTTCTGCACATACATATTCTTTCTTTCTTTCTTTCTTTCTTTCTTTCTTTCTTTCTTTCTCTCTCTCTCTCTCTCCCTCTCTGTCATACACACACACACACATCTAACTGATGATGGAGATGGACACTGGTAGACTCTCCCCTATTGAAACTAAATTTGCCATCGTTAGCATAGCAGTGATTCCATGAAACAAATTTTTCCCTTTTCTAAGGGAATGACCACGTTGCACATATTGTCACCATTCTGCACACCAGCACTACTGATTTGGCACATAACATGCAGAACATAAGAGCAAAGCTGACTTGGACAAGAGGCATATTTAGTTCAGCATTCTGTTCACATAGTACTGAACCAGATGCTTTTGGATGCCCACAAGCAGGGAAAATGATAGCAACCACCCACCCACCCTAGCTCATGTTCTCCAGAAGCTGGCATACAGAATGATATTGTTTTTGATACCCAAAGTAAAATATAGATATTGTGATTTGAGGCTATTGGTAGTCATACCTAGCACGAATTTATCCAACCCCCTTTTTAAAGCCATCCAATGTAATTCAGCAGAGAAGTGATCAGGAGCCTTTTACGTTGTGCCCCATAAGGGCCACTCACATCCTACTTGGTGATAAAATCACTCTGATCTGCTGATTTGAATGCTGTAGTTGACATAGTTTGAGTAGATGTAACCATGGCCCCCTACTTTTCCAGTTATTGAATACATTTCAATTTATGAAGTCTGAATATATGGAAAGGATTCTTTGGGAGATGAGAGCAATTATTTGCAAACTGGACCCACACCCTCCTGGTTATTGAAAGACACCCAAAGTAGACTGAGGGATTTTATAAACAGGACTAGTGAATGCCTAAGGCAGTTTTCCAGTCTGATTCTCTAGAAAAAAATGCTGAGCCATTTGGAGATCTCTAACATTCCACCAAGTAGCAATTGAGGCACAGTCAATGCTAAACTGACTAAAAACTATAATCCAAAACGGAACTCCTTAAAAGTAATCATCACAGTAATTTCCCCCATTAAAATCATGTATTTGTTGTTGCTTTCTCTCACAGCTAATTTTGTAAAATGCTAAAAAAAGAGAGAGAGATTTAGGAAATTTCAGTTTCAAGTCCCCATGAAGCCACGAGGGTCACTTAGGCCAGACTCTCAGCCTTCTTTTCTCAAAGATAAACATCCCCAGCAATTTAATCCGCTCCTCAGAGGGCTTGCCTTCCAAATCCTTGATCATTTTGGTCACCATTCTCTGGACATGATCTAGCCTGTCACTATCCTCTTAAATGTACTGTAGAACTGCTAATCCTTCAACCTTTTTTTTCCTGAAATAAAGCTTCTAGAATTTTGAGAGCTTTTGTTTTCTGAGCTAGTTAGCTTATACATGATATTGCCAGAGACAGTAAAGGCAGATATGGTCTTACACACACCACTGTCATAAACATCTCTCCTTCTAGTAAGTTATTCTGGCATAGTGTTTCTGGGACAACAAAATCTAGTCCCTGAACTCTTACCTGTATTTTGCCAAGCTGGATGTAGTCCTATGCATATATTCAAGTAACAGGCTCTTATGACAACATTAAATGTTGTAATCTTTGTATATTGTAAAATTTGTATGTGTATAGTGCATTTTCAACATATTTAAAGTATGATAACAGATCAAGTAGGCCAAAGGGGGAAAAAGAATTTCATTTTTAAATAATAAAGAATTAAGGATGTTTCAGGAGTAACTTTAAGTTAATGTCACAAAATTTTCCATAAAAACAAAAACTAGTTCCTCCTGTTTTAAAGATAACTCAACAACTCCCACACTGTTATTGCAAATAGTTCAGGAATCTATGTCTATAAAACAGCCCTACCCTTCAGAAAATTCCTTTCTCTAAGAAAATGTAGACAGTTGATTTTATGTAACTTGTGAAGACTGCTAACCAGACAGTTCTCAACCAGTAGCATGAAAAGGTCTCTGTTCAGGGTCCAAAGGAGTTGCAGAATACTCAGACAACAGGCTTAGTGTTGGTACTCAATGAATATATGCGCAGAGAGCCTTCATTTAAAGACTGTTCTAATTTTCTCAAAGGAAAAGGAAGAGTCCTTTGTGAATCAGTAGAGCCTGAGAACCAATGAAGCTGTTATAGTTGTTTGTCCTTTTCATTAAATACTTGAAAACGTTAAAATATGTTTCATTATCCAAGGTTATCTTCTAACTAATAACATTAGGCATTATCTTCTGTACAAAATGCTAATGTGCCTTGTATGACAGGGCTATTCAAAGTGGTAATTCATGGAATAGTATGGTCTGAGACAAGTTTCTAGGAAAGAAAGAAACAGTTGTAGCCAATGGACAAAAATATGGCACCAGCCCCTAAGGCCCTAAAGGCATCAGATCCTGTCTGATCTTGGAAGCTAAGTAGGGTCAGGTCTGGTTTGGAGTCCACCAATGAATATCAGGTGATGCCGGTTGTATTTCAGAGAAAGTGGAAAAACCACCTCTATGAAATTCATATGATTGCCATGAGTTAACAGGCAACTTGAAGACACATAAATACCCTCTGAAGCATTGGAGGGAAACTCAGGCAGAAATAACCGAGGAAGCACTGTTGTATAAAATGGAACACAAGTTAACTATTCCTATTGGCTAGTCCTTTGCTTTGATTGCCTGACTCCTGCTTTGGTAAGAAACTAATAATTGGGGGGGGGGAGAGGAGAGAGGATGTCTCAGGCTGTAACTTTTCCTCCATGGACTTCTCTAATCAATAGTCTTAATAGCTCAGGCTGGCTGTGAATATGTAAACTTTTAACAACATTCTGACTGCTTTAGAGAAAACACAACTGACTACAGCTACATCTGCAATCTCAATATACTGGGTTGGATCCAGAGATACAATGTTGTAAGAAATTGTGGTAGGTATGCTATCCCATGGAACTGTGATCAATGTAGAAGAGATTGGGTAAACAAGCGGACAAATGTCAGCGTGAAGAAGCAAATACCACCAGCATTGAAGCAATGGTCCTCCGCCATCAACTCCGCTGGACTGGCCACGTTGTCTGGATGCCTGACCACCTTCTCCTAAAGCAGTTGCTCTACTCCGAACTCAAGAACAGAAAACGAAATGTTGGTGGACAGGAAAAGAGATTTAAAGATGGGCTCAAAGCCAACCTTAAAAATTGTGGCATAGACACTGAGAACTGGGAAGCTCTGGCCCTTGAATGCTCCAGCTGCTGGTCACAGCACTGCTGTGACCAACAGTGCTGTAGAATTTGAAGAGGCACGAATGGAGGGCAAAAGAGAGAAATGTGGCAAGAGCAAGGCGCATCAAGCCAACTCTGACCGAGACCGCCTTCCACCTGGAAACCAATGCCATCACTGCGGGAGAAAATGCAGATCAAGAATAGGGCTCCACAATCACCTACGGACCCACTGCCAGTACACTGATCCTGGAAGATTATCCTACTCGGACAACGAGGGATTGCCTAAGTAAGTAAGTAAGTAAGATTGTGCAAGCAATACAATTCTGGATGCCATTTCACTTTTCCAATGCAAGGATTTCACAGCAAATCAGGATAAGTCCTTCTGCCTAAAGAGAGGGCACATCTAGATTCAGCCTAGTATTACAACCTTTTTTTGTCTTAGAAAGAGTAGAATGTTCTTCAGCCACTTAACCTTTCAGGTGGTAATTAGGCTGAGGTCCAATTAGATGTCATCTTTTGAGTTCAAAACACAAGATATTTCCTAAATCAAGATAGTGATCACAAGCACAGCAATTCAGGGGAATAAAACAAAGGCTCCAAATATAGCCATAGGATCTGTTTTCTCCAACAGAGTAGAAAGTAGAGGGCAGAGAGGGAAAAAGAGTCCTCCTTCAACCTGGAATCCCAACCTAAATTTTTCAGGGATAAATCACAATCAACAGCAATTTTCTATTCCACAACCTATCAGCAACCTTATGTAATCAGTAAGCTTCTCATATTGCACACTTCCCTTGAGCACATCAATCTTCTAAAAATAAAGAAAGACAAATGCCAAACAAAATACTTTGTTACAGGAGATAGTTTAACATTAACTCAAAGGCATGATCAAAGATATTCCATTTCATAAAAATTATGTACATTCAGATAATATCATGTCTCTTCTAACACAGAGGTTTCAAATCATAACATATAAACACACCACCTCTAATGGACAGCTATGACAAACAAGGAAAAATACAACGTGCTATACAGCAATGCAATAGGAATGATGCTTTGCTTGGTGATCAATTAAATGATTGGTTCAGACAGGAATAAATCAGAAAAAGCTAGTTTTGAGTTTAATTGTCGGAGTGGAATGTACTGTGGGTGGTGGTTGCCGGGCAGCTGCCTTTGCTTTGCTTGCCTGACTCGCTCGCACTGCAGTTTCCAGCCGTGTTTTCAGTTCAGGGGCTGCACCCATTACGGTCTTAAATGCGTGTGGATATAGAGGCCCAATGCGTGTTAGGTCTTGGAGGGCAAACTCATGAAGTTCTTTGGACACCACAGGTGCAGACGGGAAGGCATTTTCATTCAGCAAATATGATATGAGAGTGGGAACAAGAAGAGCAAGCAAGTGAACTCCTAAAACAAAGAGCATAATGAAAATTAGATACTTTGAACTTGGACATGAATTCAGAATTGTATCTTAATTTATTTCCATTATATTTTTAAAAAATCAAAAGTTGCCAATCCATTTTCCCCTAATACTAATGCAAAAAGATTAATGGCAGAGAGTAGGAGAACTATTTTTAGGGCCTCCTCACAACTTCCCACTGTGCTCCGTTCCAGAACAGCCAAATACTCCCCAAGGTACTCTGTTACCATGGGGACAGATATAGCATAAAACTGCACGAAGCAATATATAGCCACAAGAAGAATAGGTGCTTCAAAAAAACCCTACTATTTTCATCAGCTGAACAGAGGTAAGAGAATTAGCATAGCATATCACAAAGCATGGACCCTGTGGCAATGCAGATTTCTTTGCCACAGACAGATACCCTGTTGCAGAATCCCCAAGCGTTTTGAAGAATTTGTGTAGGTTCCTGTCTACACAGGCTGCCTTGCACTTAATAGAAATTTCTGTCTGTGTCAAAAAAAAGGAATGTATACTTGTTTCATTCATTCACATGAACAGGCAAGACATTAAAAGCATGGGAGATATGCACTGTGGGCTTTTCTCCTCTCTTTCCCCCTGTAATTCCTTTACATCTCTCAAAAATTTTGCTCTAGGGGGTCCTTCAATCCAATGGAGAAGATTTGGAGGGCACATTTTGGATTGTAAAGCAGGGCGATGACCTCTTTCTGGTTTCACTGCTGAAAACAGTTCCACCAGCGGGAAGACTTAATTGCCTGCCATTTGCCTATTCTTACCAAAGTTCCGTGTCCATAAGAAATAAATGCAATAGGAAAATATTCTATAGAAACAGAATGAAACTGAAAGGGCACTATTGCTCTTGCATGATAACTGGTCCCGGATAATGACATTCCCAGGAAAACAAATTACTTACTGTTCTGTTCTTCTCCAAGTGCAACAAGGGTTTCAAGAACTTTAATTCCTTCCTGAACCGCTAGAAGTTCTGTTTTGTTGCTTGGGCGGTTCTTCTCTACACTCTTCAGTTTCTCAACCACCATCGGTGCCAGTGAATGGATATATGGAATTGCAAGGGCACGGTTGGTGTGTTGAAATACAGAAAGTAAAAGCTGGTAGCATTTGGCCTGAACCTAGAATCAGAATAAATATAGCGCTGCTGGGTCATTTTAGGATTTGCAGTAAATGGTGTTGCGCTATTGAGTAAATAACATTGAAATACTAATTATCCAAGAAGAAAAAGTGAGAAAGAGAATGGTGCCACTAACTATGAGGAATAACTATTGCTCAATAATGAACTTGAAAAGATCTTTCCTTACGTAATTATTTTCCCTCAAAAGACAGCAATGGCTCACTTGTGCTCAGAAATTCATTATTTATATTCATTCATTTGTTACCTAAAGTGAAGCTGGGGAAGACCCTGAAACATGAGTCACATTGGGTTGCTGTGAGTTTTCCAATCTGTATGGCCATGTTCCATAAGCATTATCTCCTGCCCACATCTATGGAAGGCATCTCCAAAGGTTGAAGGGTCTGTTGGAAACTAGGCGAGTGAGGTTTGTATATCTGTGGAATGCCCAGGGTGGGAGAAAGAACTCTTGTCTGCCAGAGGCAAGTGTGAATGTTGCAATTGGCCACCTTGATTAACATTTAATGGCCTTGTAGCTTCAACACCTGGCTGGTTGCTGCCTAGGGGAATCCTTTGTTGGGAGGTGTTAGCTGGCCCTGATTGATTCTTGTCTGGAATTCTCCTGCTTTTTGAGTGTTGCTCTTTATTTACTGTCCTGATTTTAGAGGTTTTTTTTAAATACTGGTAGCCAGATTTTGTTCATTTTCGTGGTTTCTTCCTTTCTGTTGAAATTGTCCACATGTTTGTGAATTTCAAGGCTTCTCTGGGTAGTCTGGCAAGCCTACATAGGGACCACCAAACGCAGTGCCCAAACACAAACCAGGGAATATGAACGGCACTGCAGAGACTATTTTAACCTCAGGTCAGCCATAGCAGAGCACCTGATGAACCAACCTGGACACAGAGTATTATTTGAGAACAGAGAAATGCTTGACCACTCCAACAACTATCATGTCAGTTTACACAATTCAGTTTTGAAAACATCTCTCATGGTTGTTAGTGGGAAACATAAAACAAATAGTGATGCTGGGGGATAAAAGGGATGCTTATTCGAGGAGTTTAAACATGCAAGGAGGGTTACTTGTTCCCTTCTCAGCAGCAACCCATCTAAAATAACACACCCTACTCCAACTATCAGGAATTCACCTCTCCTTCTCTCTCCCTCTCTTTTTCCTTCTACTACAGAAATAGCTGGCCCAGGATATATATATCTATATGGAGGTTGCTCATTCACAGCTTTGCCATAAGCCAAAGTAATGGCAAGTAATAAATGGTATAAAAGTCAATGCTAAGTACATTTGGAAAGCTCAGCATGAATAACAGGGTACTCTACAATAGCTCTTTTTTTCAATTTCAAAAAAGAAAAAAACACATTCTCCACTATGTGCATAATACCCACATGCTGTGTTCTTAATAACCTGATTCATACAAAGGGAATTCATAGAGAGGATCATGTTCTTATATATAAATCCTTTGGGGGATTATGGCTGATATGAACAACAGCATGTTACTCGCACAGCATCCAAAACATAGGGGAACAAGATTAAATGTGGATGTATACACTGTCATCTAAATATATCTAGCCAACAAAGTTCTCCAGTGAAAAATATATTTTCTGTAGATGGCTGATGGACTGGTGCATGACAGATGCCAGTGTATTACAAATGTGAAAAGCCAAGCCAAACAGTACTAAACATCAGTACTATTTATGTAGTTCTAACAACACAGAAGAAATAAGTGAGCTTTTTGAGTAGGATGACATTTTACTTTTCCAATTTTCATACCACATTAGTTAGCAATGAACTAGAAACCAAAATAATTGCACATACTCTATAGCTCTACATAAATTAATTTGCATAAATGCAGTCAAAAGGTCAATCTATATGAAGCTTGAATGAACCAATGGTAGCATTTCAAGAAATGCTGGTTAGGGCAAATAGGAATGACTTACCCAAGGATCAGGAGAATTCAGTGCAGCCTTGAATCTATTCATGCAGCCATTCTGTAATGACTGCACTCCAATTATTTCTGTGCTTGCAGACCAAAGGAATAGTGCAATAGCTGTGAGCATGCTTACTTCATCTAAAATAGGCTTTGAGGCCTCTGGGGAAAAATACACAGATGCACACAAGTGAGAACAGGGCAAAAGGTTATGCTGAAAAAGGTAAGTAATAGGAAAGTGCAATTGAGCTTTTTCCAATTAGGAGGAAACTGGGAAATGCACAATATTTCTCCCTGAAAAGTTATGTAATGCTTTACAATACTTCCATGCTGATATTTCCGTGGCTAATAATAAAATACATACAGGTTGAGTATCCCTTATCTGAAATGTCAAAATCCATTTTTTTCCATGTTGGTGGATGAAATACTGACACCCTCACTTTCTGATGACTCAGACAAAATTACTGAAAATACTTCATATCAAATTACTTTCAGGCTTATGTGTGCATAGTGTATACAAAATAAAATAAGTTCATGATCAGGCTTGGGTAACATCTCCAACATATTCCAGTATATATACATATTATAAAATTAAAAAAAAAAACAAAAACCCTGAACTATGGAACATTTCTGATGCCAACCATTTGGAATAAGCGATGCTCAACTTGTAGTGTCGTGTTAGAAATATTAAAAATTAGCTGGGTATTTTTTATTACAAAAGTGTAAGTCAAGCACTGAAAGAGTTAGTAGGCCGAAGCCTGTTAGAGTCAGTGGGTCAAAGCTAGTACCGTCCTGAGGAAAGTGAGTAGGCTGAAGCCTGTTAGAGTTAGTGGGCCAAAGCTAGTGTTGTCCTCAGAAGTATGAGGTAAACCTTTGTGTGAGAGAAGCCTAGTGTGAGAAAGCTCCAGTGTGAAGGCTACTGTGTGTATAGCTACTATCTATTTATTTATTTGTGTTATGGAAACCTTATTTTTGTAAATAGTGCAACCATGTTATTTTACCACAAAGAAAAGCCTCCTATGGAAGAGATAACGTTGGTCTGTGTGTTTTTGTTCTTTTTATCACTTTAGGATTCTGGTGTTGAGTCATGTTGCTGCTGATAAGTTACTTTGTTGTACATTTATGAGGAGAGTCTTTTGTTAATAAGCCCACTTGTCCAACATGTAAGCACTATGATGTAGCATGGAAGTCGTTGCAACCGAGATTTGTGCTTGATAATTTGCTGAAAGTGGCCTTAAAATTTACTGATCTATATGAAAACATTATTCTTTATTCATAAAACATATATTGATACTGGCTTTTGTCACTTTACTCTCCTCACCCTGGATTATAAAGACCTGAATTACACATCCACATAAATACTTTCCCCAGATATAGAAAAGGTACAAACTTTTAAGGCATCAAAGACAGTATAGCAACAATGATTTTGATTCCTCAATATTTGCCTTTAATTCCTTACTCCTAATTCTACAGTGTATAGAATGAGAAATAGGTACATTAGCTTTGTTTCCCATAACAGAGCTATGAGTTTTAAAAACTATCTCAAAATGACTGAATGCAAATTACCTGGCTGAGAGTAGTCTAAGATTGAAGCCAGAGTGCTGCGAATAATATTTGTCCACTGTTTGTGAATTTCTTCATTCACAGCCATTGGAAGAGTAACAATGTTTTTCAGACCTTGGAGTGCAGCCGTGACTGGCAACGGAACCTGATTTCCTACTGTTTTTACAGCAGTATCTTTCAACACTTGTATGATCAGAAATAGGATGGTGGGCAATATAGTCATGCATCCTGAAAAAGAAAAAAGACCTTTCTTGCAGCTCACTGTAATAATAAAATGGTACCCAACAGGTATGACCCGCAATTTTGTGGGAGACAGCGCTCTTCATCAAGTAGCACTACTTTATTCTCATTTGCTGGGGAAATTTTTGTCATTCATGCCATAGTATCTGATAAAAGCCCAATTTCAAAACTATTTTAAGTACTAAAATGAAACAATTCCATTTATCACTTCAGGTGTGAATCCAATATTTTCCTGTACCAAAAAAAGATTTGTGATTGAATCCAATATTTTCTTGTAACAAAATAAAGGTTCATCGTTATATTTAAAATGTTTTCTCTTTATTTCCAAATCTACTACATTATACAAAACACCCAGGCAGTAGGAATAGATGAAAGAAGGAAGAACTTTGTGGATTCACAATGCTTAGAGACAGAGTAAGTGTTCCAATGGAAAATCAGATACAGAGTTAGGATTCCGCAGGATGGGGGTGGGAGAGGGAATATTCTGAGGGGTTCTATGGCTGAAAAATGTGGGAATGGCTGACCTGCAGTACCTGACTTCATTGAGAGTCTTCCATCCAGTTACTAACCAAGGCTGACCCAGCTTGGCTTCCAAGATCAGACAGGATCTGGTGCCTTAAGGGCAGCGGTTCTCAAATGTTTTCAGCTGTGGAGCCCTTTTTCAAGGAAATGTTTTTCATGGAGCCCCAATAAATGTTTATATATTAGATAGCATATTATATATAATGTATATATATCAGGCATGGGCAAACATTTGGACACAGGGGCTGCATGGCATTTTAAAATTTGATAGATGGGCCAGGCCAGTGACAGAATGTTTGTGTGAACTAATTGGGAAAAAATTGAACAAATTCCTTTGCACAGTGCACATATCTCATCTGTAGACCAAAAAAGGGAAAGCGCAAACACTATAATATTTGAAATGAAGAACAAATTTAACCAACATAAACTTAACAGTATTTCAGTGGAATACCCCAGGGGCCATCCAGTCCAACCCCCTCTGCCATGCAGGAAAAGCACAAATCAAAGCACTCCCAACAGATGGGCATCGAGCCTTTGTAATAATAATAACGTTTTGGATAACATGGGAGTGCAGGAAAAAGGGTTTGGGCAACAAGCCGTCCTTCTGAGGCTTAACCCTCTCCGCAATGCCAAAGTGCTATATATCCATGAACCTCCATGGGGCCTGCAGCCTCCTTACTCTGCGCCTTTAAATCCCTCACTGCCTTCCCAAGGGTGCGTGCCTGTCTCCTGCCTGCCTCCCTTTCTGCCTGCCCCCTCCCTCCTCTTCCTTCCTCTCTTCCTTCCTTCCTTTCTGTCTGCCTTTCTCTCTCTCTTTCTTTCTGCCGCTTTCACATGGTGAGGGGGCGCTTTTGACAGTGGGGGCTTCAGTGGAGGGGGCTTCTGGCTGTACCTGTTTAGGGGGAGGTAGGAAGTGCAAAGATCCTCAATTTGCTTCACGGAGCCCCACGGCCTTTGCAGAGCAGAGTTTGAGAACAACTGTTTTAGGGTATTTGGGTCTCTGTCCATTACATTCCAATGGCAGCCTTGTGTGTGGATTTGACACCAATTGGTACTTTGATTGCCACAATTCTTTAAATTCTGACCCTGAATTTTCTAAAAAATATATGCAGAATCCCCTAAAATGTTATGTCAAAAGGCGGTTCTCACATTTTTAGATGGTCAATGCTTATTTAAAGAGGAAGAAACTGCAGTAGTTTGAATTTGCAAGAACTACATGCAAATTTCAAATACAACCAAAGATGCAAACCTGTGACATTCCAAAGGATTCTGTAACTAGACAGATAAGAATGTCACTTGTGAGACAATGAGTTCTGGTGAGCCCCACTCCTCCCATTACATATTATGCAATTTTGTTATAGGTACATTCTTACAATGTACCTCTCCTGATTTACCAAAGCATAATAACATTAATTCAAATTTATGGCATTACCAGCTGGAGAACACAGAGTAGGCAGGTCAGACAGAATGGAAATAGTAGCAGCAACAAGGCGAGCGCTTTCCTCTGGGAGCTGGGTCCTGCTACAGAGATGACTTGGAGAATCTGACATTTTTGTGCTCAGGTGGGGCATGTGCCGCACTAGGATAAACATCAGCAGCTCCATGGCAGCAAATACAAGAGATTTGCCAGGCACAAGACCCCCACTTTCTCCTCCTTCACCAACTATAGTACTATTTTCTTTTTCCTTTGCATCTTCCTCATCTAAAACAAAGGGGCATAAAAGCATGTATTAGAATACACCGGGGGAACGCATTACAGGTAAGATAGAAAGGTGAATATAACATTGTATAATGGGCAATAAAAGTGAAAATATGGGCACTTCTTATTTCAAAAACAGTATCAAGAATGAAAGTACAGGCTCTAAATGTACTTTCGCTTCCTTCTAACTGTACTTTTGCTTCTTGTGCCTTTTAGAAACTGGTGAATGCAGAATCAAAGATGTCATAAGCTAACTAACACACACAAGTATGAATCTCTTCCTTTCTGAAACTGTGGGAAATAGCATACAGTCAAAGATCATTAATGTGAATCATTACATATTAAAACTATTCAGCTGGGTTATCTTTAGTACTTATATCCTCTTTGCAAATGAAAAAAATTAGCTAAGAGAGAGAAAATTAAACATGGAAAATATAAGCCCCCCCCCCCCCGCCCAAAAAAACCCACAGGTTTTTATGAAAGACTGAAACAAACACTTTTTCTAATAAAAGGAGAATAAATGTTTAAGATGTCTTGTTCTTATTATTCATGCAAGAAATAATCGTAATTCCATCAAAACCATTTTAATGAGTCAGCATACAGTATAGTATGACTGTTCTCATAAATAAACTACATGGTTGACTAGTTGATGGGTTAGATGTCTAGAATAAAAAACAATCCACATATGAGCAGGAATCAGGATTACAGCGGCAAAAGTAATTTTCTTGTCTTTTTCTATAAGTCTTTTCCTTGTTCATATTTTGAATATTTTGCAAACTCTCCAGTGAAAGGCACAACTTACACACTGGGGCTATTATACTAATATGCTAAATTGAGAATTTTGCATGCCCTATTTTCATAAGGAAAGCATTATTCCAATGTATTTTATTACTATCTAATCCAAAAAAGGTGTTGCAGACATAACCAACATGCATATCTTACTCAGCGTGTTTCTTTTTTCTTGCAAATGGTCCTGAGCTGCTCTAATAATCTGCTGCACCACGCCTGTGACTAGGAGTTGGACTGAAGGAGGATTGCAGGTCAACAGGAGCCGATGAAGCACACTCAAAAGTTCAACACCAAGTAGCTATCATAAAGAAAGAATAATTTTTAACACTGAACGTATTAAAAAGTTATGATGCTTCAAAAATCAAAAATCAAATTTTCTGTTCATCCAATCAATATCTCATTCAATTTGCATCAAAAAGGCTATTCAGAGCATTCACTATTTGGAAGTATACAATTATGAAGGATACAATAAACAATCATCCATTTTCAACCCCCATATGCTTAACTTTTTCTACTAACTTATCTTCAACTTTCTTTTCTTTGTAAAAGTATTTTAATTTTTTTATTTTTCAAAACCCACTTTGCCAAGTTTTTGTCATCATATGATGTCTGACTTTAAAATACCCTTTAACCTTTTCCCAACCTCAGAGCCACAATGGATGGTATACCATGTTGGGTTGCAATTCCCATTATCCCCAACCCACATGGCATATCATCAAGTGATCAGAGTTGTTGGTCAGTAACATCTGGGACCCAAACTGTGCAAAAACTAAAGAGCACCAACCACTAAGTAAAAAAATAATAACTGGTCCTCTGTATCTATGGATTCTCCATTCATGGATTCAACGGTCATTTGAAGATAACCATAAGGCTGATGTGGACCTTAAGGAAAATGTGTTTGACATTCCTGAACTAGAGTATTCAAAGAACAAATTTGAAATTCAGCTCTTTCTTTAAAATCATGCATTAACTTGGGGAATTAAAGGTAGCATCCAACACTGGATTTCAACTGGCAGAATAGCAGCATTGGGAGAGGATATTGTCTGCTTCTTGTGGGGCCCTCTGTGTGGTTTTCTAGAGCTCTAGGTGATGAAAAAGGAAAAATGCTGTGTACTACAGTGCTGACACTACAAAATGGGCTTAGGGCAGTGGTTCTCAATCTGTGGGTCTCCAGGTGTTTTGGCCTACAACTCCCAAAATTCCCAGCCAGTTTACCAGCTGTTAGGGTTTCTAGGAGTTGAAGGGCAAAACATCTGGGGACCCACAGGTTGAGAACCACTGGCTTAGGGTGTTGTTGTTTCTGTTCCTTCAATCCGACACTGACATATGGGTCTTTTGCCCTTAGAAAAACATTTACAGCCCTATGCTTCCAAATAATGCCATCAGGGTGGCTAAAGGGGAGATATAGAAGGATCCCTCATGCCCAACGACTTTGTATTTGTGAGTCAGGGAAAAGAAAAGATTTAATACATTATATGTTACATTGCCCTTTATATAATGGCCCTTATGGAAGCCATTATATAAAGTTACCTGTACCCAGCAGTTATCCATGACTTGTTAGCGAATTATTTCAAAAATATAACATTAAAGGTTGCCACATTTGCAGTCACAGCCCAAAAACTCTGAGTTAAATTAGTAAAGCCCACAACAGAGGCTAGAAATGGAAATGGAGATAGTTAGGGATGACACAAATCAGAAAATGTTATTGCTACTATGCCACTGCTACTGTAATTTTAAAGAGCCAGTATATAGAATAAGTTTTAATGTTTATATTGGAAAGTGCTTATTGTACTTTTAAATGGTATGCATTATTTGATGTCATGGCCTATGGCTGGTACAACAAACAATTCATTGATATTTACTGACGTATGGCAACCCTACCCTAAGGTTTTCGTGGCAAGATTATACATGCCTTGATCTAAGTCTTTGGGGTGTGATCAGGGGCTTTCTATGTCTGCTCTCCAGGAGTTCTATAATGTTAAAACCATGGTAGCATGCTGGCTCTGTCCTTGTCCTTAGAATAAGGACATGACTATACCATTTCACAAACCTTTCCATTCCAAGAGGAACAATCAAAGGTTCCTTTAACATTCTACAATTAATCATCTACAGTTACAGCCTTCAGTAACTATACCTGATCCTCTGCAATATGGGTTCTAGCACAAGTGGAATCGAGTAAAGTATGCAGTGCTTCTAAACAGGACATAACATGTTCAACAGGTTCTTCTGGTCGAGGAGAACAGAGAAACTGTATGCTAACACCTGAAAGACGAAGTATTTTAGATTGTTGGCAAATGCAAAATTCCCAGTAGCAAAGGATAAAAAAGCACAACTCTTGCAAATATCTGCACATATATAAAACATTGATCTTATTGCTGAATCTCATGTCTAAGACTGTAGATATCGGATCCAACAATTCACAATTCTCATAAAGCGAAACAAAAACATGACTGCTCTTGAAAACAGGAATATCTCTATTTTTAGTACTATCACAATCTGAGAAGCCACTAATCAACAGTATTTCTCCCATACAATATACAGCAGTAGTTGTTCTGAATCAGCAGTGTACAATATTACCCAAAATCAAGTGCATTCTATCCTTGTTTATTTCTTGCAAAGGTTTGGTGGAAGGAGGTGTTCCAGGTGCTGGGTTTAACATAATTGATGTGGCACGATTCTGTGGATTAGATACTCCTGTAGGTGCATCTTCTGTAGTTTCCAAAGCATTAAATCCTGTGCTGTTTAACCAAAGCGCAACTGCATGGAGAATTGGAGCCCACGAATTTCGGTAATGAAGTCGAGCGGTATCAATTGTCTCTGGAGTGTAGAATGCTCCACCTATTAATGTGTGATGGTAAACAGAACAACGTCAATGGCAACTATATGTGACTTAGTATTTGGAATAGTAATTACATTTTGATGATACCATATCAATCTAAGAATAAAGAATCTGACAAGCCTTCCAAAAGACAATGTACACTCAGAATTCTTCAGATGGTGGTCAGTTCTATCACACTATCCTTACTGCCAAAAGCACGGCATCTTCAGCCAGTTTATTTATTTATTTCTTAACTAAATTTATATGCCGCCCTTCTCACCCCAAAGGGGACTCAGAGCTGCTTACAAGATATAATTGTTTCAGACTTGTTCAAACAAACATATGCACCATTTGACCATTTGTCACAATCAAGGACTTGCAGATTAACAACACAACTGAAACGCATCTGAATTGTCAAAAATTATCAAAAATTGGGTCTGTGATAGCTCATTCACACAGGTAAGGTCATATTTTGACGCTGCAGATATCAAGCAATACCTAGATGTGAGGACAGCATCTTACTAAGGTCAGAGGATTGTATTTACTTCACTGTTTACCTTTGAAAGAACTTCTATTGAAGACAGTCAGTGCAGGCTTGTGCTAAATCTTTTGCAATTTTCCAGAATGAATAAATAACAGCAAAGTATATATATGAAGGCTATTAAACAGTACAGATGTAAAGATGGGCTTAAAGCCAACCTTAAAAACTGTGGCATAGACACTGAGAACTGAGAAGCCCTGGCCATTTAGTGCTATAACTAGAGGTCAGCTGTGACCAGCAGTGCTGCAGAATTCAAAGAGACACGAATGGAAGGCGAAAGGGAGAAACATGCCAAGAGGAAGGTGTTTCAAGTCAACCCTGATTGGGACTGCCTTTTGCCGGGAAACCGATGTCCTTACTGCAAGAAAACATGTGGATCAAGAATAGGGTTCCACCGCCAACTACGTATCCACAACCAAGACACTACTCTCGAAGGACCATCATCCTCGGGCTACAAGGGATCGCTTAAGTGAGTGTACAGTAAACTCAGCTTTTCTACAGCAACATATGCATTTTTTAGTAACATCTATACAGTAATTGTTCTTAACTGTGGATTCTCAGTGAATCTGAACTCAAGCAAGTAGAACTCTCAAGAAACTAGCAACCAAATTGAAGAAACAATACTTGAAATAAAAATGAAAATATATACACAATATTGTAAAATGTGTTACATTACATTAAGTTTGTCTTTATTTGTCACAATTTGCTTTTAATTACTGTATTTCAGTATGAGTATCAAGTCAATACAGAGTTTATAACATGGCACAGAATGGGGTGTAGTATTAGTGAGGCCTATTTTAATAGTAACTTCTCAAGCAGCCAGAAACTACATTTACCAGAATCTACCAATCCCCATAGGTGCCGGTTAACAGAGAGTCTACTGTACTAAAAAACAGCTTTTCCCTTTAAGGGACCTATCTGCATTACACATAGATATAAATAATAATTTTGGAGATAAAATGTATTTCTTACCATCTGGAGGAAGCTGACTGGCAAATTCTGCTGGTAAAGTCAAGAGAGCGTAGTCCTTAAGCGCAGCCAGCCAGAGGCGACTAAGAGTGGGAAGCTCTGGCTGCACCAGGGTAATTAAGCTGTCTGGTGGCAGCTCATCAACTGTGCCATAATCATCATCATCTTCATCGCCTCCATTCTTAACTCCTTTCTTTGGCTTAGTATCTGCTTCTTTTTTAATCTTCATAGCTACAACATACACCTTTACAAAAAGATTGATACGAAGTGTTGGTTGCGTTGGCAAACATAAGTGTCCCATAAATGCATCCCTTCCCAACTATGCTTCATTACACTGGACACAGAGCTCTATTGATCTAGCAAGCTGCTATAAGAGCTTCAGTGGAAAAGTAAGCATTGGCAGCACAATATAGCCCCTCCTGTGTGTTCTGTTACTTTAAGGACTCTTCAGAATGAAATGAAAATAAATACCAAATCGAAAATAAACGTTTCAAAATTGTTACCACAGGCATGTGAGTACAAGAAATAATGGCTGTTGACAGAAAGTACTTTGCTGTACTGCATTTTATATAGCATTATTGATTTTTTGAAGATGGCAACAGTCCAGCTAACATGTTAGATTAATTTAGATATGTTATGTTCTGTACAATGAAATAATCAATAGAGAGAAAAAGTATTAACTACTCAGAGTATGTTCATATATTGCTTTCTTCAATCCACAGATAAGGTAGAAAAAAAATGATTTCTGGTATACTATTATTCCTAAATGCTTACCTCGGCCCAAGCTTTCAGTACTGCTAATTTTTCCATAGTAGTGGCGCTTTCTCTATAAAGTTGGCTGGAAGAACCCTTTCCAGTTTGTACTTTGTCCAGAGAAGAGACAAGCAGGTTGTGAACACGGCGGAGATCATTCAGGTCACTTACCACTCCACTTCCTATCCAGGTGCTACACACCTAAATATGAAATTTAATTATTCAAATTATTTCCCCATCTTTTAAGAAAATAATAATAGTAATAGTAATAATAACAGTAAAAGTAATAATAATAATAATAAACAACTTCATTTGTATACAGCCCAATCTCCCCAAAGGGACTCAGGGTGGTTTCCAACATATAAGGCAAATATTCAATTGCTGGAAAGAAAACCATACAGACAATTACATCAAAATAAACACATTCAACAATGTAAACACAACCTAATTTAACTTAATGCACAAAATAGCAATAACTAAAAGCATCATAAAATACCAAAATCCTGGTAAACACACATTTTTTTTTATTAAAACCTATTTTATTGTAGCTCTGTCAGTAGAGGTTCAACATACCAATGGCCAGAATTACAAAATGAACATGGCCAACTATAAAAGGGTTGGGCAAGGGATAGTGCAAACAGCGTCTCATAAGGCCGGTGAAGTGGATGAAGTGCAGGACAAAATGCTATTTGGCTATTTAGGGACTGGGTCTAGGGACTAATTATTCTCAAAAATTTGCTAGAACATCCAGGTTTTCAGATCCCTATGAAAGTAGGACAGTGTGGGGATTTGCCTAATCTCCCTGGGGAGAGTGTTCCAAAGACGGGGGGTCACCACCGAGAAGGCCCTCTCCCTCACCAACTGTGCTTGTGACGGTGATGGAAGCGAGAGGACAGCCTCCCTGGCTGATCTTAGAGCCTTTGCTGGTTCAATTGGGGGGGGGGGGGATGCGATCCCGAAGCATCCTCTATTACAAGTTATATTAAATGACCAAAGTAAATTCCTTATATACTTTTAAAATACTCTCTATAAATAATATTTCATTATTGAGCTGGTAGATCCTGTCTGATCTTGGAAGCCAAGAAGGGTCAGCACTTGGTTGGAGAAGGAATAACAACAAATACCAGGTACTGTAAGCTCTTATTTCAAAGGGAAGAACTGGTTAAAAAACCGAACCCTTAAGTATTTCTTGCCTAAGAAAACCCTATGAAATGCATGGGACCACTGTAAAACAACAGAAAACCAGAAGACATATATTATTATTTTTCCCCTTCACATCCATAACCTGTTACTTCTACAACCAGGTTGCAACAGTACATTTCTTTGTACCTGACAAGCTTTTGCTGTTATATCTGAAGGGGTATCCTGTGAGAAAGCTGGCCTTAAAGCAGCTCCAACCTACAAGAGGAAGAAGAAAACAGTGTGATGGAATAACTCCCCAAATCCCATCTAGTTTGCATTAATTAACAATTACAGCTATTATATCTACTGAGGTGATGTGGGTGTGTGAGAGAGAATGATGAACTGGACAACAAATTTTAGTCTAAATTTTTAACTGGGGTAGAACATTTTTAAAAACAGACATACCTACAAAACAAGACAATTTTATTAAATAAATTTCATTCTGAAATTGCTATTATAACGAATACTGTTAGCACTAATACTTCTAATCAGTGCTGCTAACACTTTTAATCTCCAGAACCTCCCATATGTGACTAAGCTGATCGTAAAGAATAAATTAATTGCTTCGGTGTTTTGGGGTCAATTAAGAGACCAGCATTGGCTGGCAGAGCTCCACAATTATATTTAGACTCGATTTTAAATCGATTTTAAACTGCCACAGATGCAAACATTATCTTACATTAGCCTGATACTGCTCTAGAATCACATGGCCTGGGAACTCAGGTTCAGGAACAGCTGCAAATTTCTTGATGATGTCTTCAAGTGCTTGGAGGCCAGCCATTCGCAACTGGTTACTATGGTCCGTTGCAGCCATAAAAGCCATGCGAATAAGATCTGAGAGGTGAAGTACTAGAAGGTCATCTGAAAGACAAGCAAGAAAATCCATACTGTTACTTCAAAAGGCACCTGCAAGGGCAGGCCTGCCAACCTGCCAGTCATCAACAGAAGTGACATTTTTACACACACATATTATACAATCTCAGCAAAGCTAGTTGAAAGAAAAACCAAGTCCTAGCAGTGCTTTAAAAGCCACGATATGCCAGACTTTAGTTGAATTTAACATATCTCTAATTCAAGCTGCATTCAATGTTAAGTTGAATTTGTTTAATATTCTTGACAACAATTGAATCACAAATTAAAATGGGAATAAAATTTACATGGAATACAGTTCTGTTCATAACCACAAAAATCTAAACTGTGGTTAGCAAGCTTGAGAGTATCTACTGTTCACAACAAAACATCTGATCTCTCTGAGGGTTCAGTCATTGGCCCTTTTGGATTAAAGGAACAATTTAGTCATACTGTTTGGAAAACAAAAGCTTGATTCAGACTATAAAAACAGATGTAGTGCAAAGAGGAGACGCATAGAGAATGTCACCAGATTTCTGCAGTAATGGCTTTTATTCAGTGTTTGGAATGTTAGGTTTGATTTAGTTGGGTTTGAAAATGAAATCAATAACTTTAAATGACAGAATTTGGAAAAATGATCAGGAATAAACACTAATAATGAGTTTGTTTAATGCAGTAAGATATTGTTACTCAAATCCTTTGTCAAAATGTTTGCGTTGGATCAGGTCATGGGATTTACTGAAAAAGGCAAGATGTTGTCCCTATTGAATTTCAAGAAGCACATCTTGCTACTGGCTACTTCAAAACAGCTCATTTTTTTCTATCTAAAACTACCTTTCTACAACTTAGAATTTCCCACCACATGAATTACAGGCAGTCCCCAAGTTGCAAACAAGAAAGGGTCCATAGGTTCGTTCTTAAGTTGAATTTGTTTCTAAGTTGGAACAGGTCTACCTCTCATTGACTATGCATATGCAAATACAAGTATTCCATATACAGGTTAGAGAAACTCAACCTGAACAGCAAAATGTTCATTGTTGTTTTAATCCAAAGCCAAGGAAATTTCATTATTTGTAATCAAGAACTACATAGAAGACATGACAAGTTGACACATTTCTTTGAAAGGAAGAACCTTTTGACAGGGAATCCACAACTTTAGAAAATGAGGCAGAAATTCCTCTCAAAGCACTTGAAAGAAATAAATCACCAGGAACAGATAGCATATCAAAATAACTGCTCAAGAATACAGAAATGGATTCCATCCAAATATAACACTCCCCCTTAAAAACCAATGAAATGGGGGGAAGACAGTCTAAAATTTGAAATATTATGTATTTTTATCATATATTTTTATATTTTAGGTACTGTTCCATTATCCAAGTGAAGACCACAAGGGGGTGCTAGAGAGAGAAGGACAGTCCATTTTACGTTGGGTGGGGGGAGTTGAAAGAGGATAACAATTTCCCCCATTTTTGATGGTTATTCCCCCCCCCTTCCCATTTCATAAACAACAGGAACATGGGTGGGGGAAATAATGGGAAAACAGGGGAAATGGTTTTACTCCTTCAACTCACTCTCAACCCCCATAAAATGGACTATCCCTCTTTCTCTACTGCCCTCTAGTGGCCTCCGGTTGGATAATGGAACATTACCATATATTACAATCCAAGAAAGGAGATGCTAGAGATTGTTCTAATATTGGACATGCAAGAAAAGAGATGCCCCAAATTTTACAGCAAAGGCTTTGACCATATAAAGAGTAAGAAGTTTCAGGTGTCCAAGCTGGTTTTAGAAAAGGAAAAGACATTAGAGATCATATTGCAATGGAGCATAAGAAAGAATTTCAGAAGAAAATCAGTCTGCATATTATACATTATAGCAAAGACTCTGACTATGTGCATCATAGAACTGGTGACACATTATGACAATAGTGGCGATGAGGACTATGGAGAAGGCGTAGATAGAAGAGGAGGAGAGAAAGGAAAAGAAGAGGAAGCAGCACTACCAACAAAAAGCATCAGGAGCTTACTTTTAGGGTTTCTCAGTTTTGCTGAACGGGCCAGAGCCAGATCAAAGTGGACTTTGTTTGCATTTTCACAGAGCATGATGATTCGACAGAGGCAATCAGCAGCAAATACTCGAGTAGCCCACCGAGGAGCCACTGAAGGCTTGGATTTATCTTCTTCGCCCAATGTTGTAAACATTGTATCGTCATCCATTTCATCCTTCTTTTCTGCATCTTCATCTTTTTCACCTCCCAATGAAGCCGTTGCGGTCATGTCTACAAATAATACAGAATTTATTTCTTCATTTATAATGTTTTCACCAGAAAAACAATGGGGTTATGCAGTGAGAGCTACTTGGATAAATGAACATTAAAGTAATTAAAATAAAACAGATTCTGTTACAACACAAACACAGTAACTTGCCAATATTTTGCAGCAAATCCACAAATGCATTCAAAAAAAGGAATGTGACAAATTTGTTGGAATATTTTAAAAATCATGCTTATAAGCTGAAGAAGCATTTTCCCATTTGATTGCACACATGTATTTTCTCAGCTCTAGGGAAACATGATATGAAATGCCCGTACCTACCTTCTTCTTAAAATGTACATGATAATGCTTGGATAGCAAACAAAATACCAGCTGGTTCTTTCAAAATGTCACCATACATATGCACAAAAGAAGAAGAAATATTTGTGTATGACACAAACAGTGACATTATTTTTCATTTGCAACAGGAAAAGAAATAACTGGCAGGAGTCTAATGCAATTCCATAGAACTGTTTTACAGAAAGTACAAAAAAACTAAGAAGTCAAAAGCTCAATTCACTCCAGGGAGAAAGTAATACAGAAGAAATATTAATTAAGAGATCCATGACTAAGTAGTTTGATTAATTTGTTAATATCTCAGAAACAATGTTCTCAAAACAATTTTATCAACATAGTCAAGCACACCTAAGACTATTTATGAAGTTAATTTCTAAATATGCCTAAGGCTCTACTGACATTAGGATGTTGCTGTATATTAGTAGAAAACTCTAATCAGCATCTACCTGAACTTTTAGAGTTAGAATGTATGGGTTGACCTTTATTACCCAGAAAAATAGTTTCCAAGAGTATATAATTTCAGGAAAGTTAGTCCTCAAATGGATTAACTGTGCATTTAGTTCTGTATCAATGTTTGTGATTTGAAAGGTAGTAAATGATTGGGGGTTACAATGAAAAATTCAGTAGGGAAAATTAAAGAACCTTAGCATGCCTAGTTTCTTTAGTCTTCTCTACTGCTTCCTTTCCTGTGTTTCCTATCCCAAAATTAATCAACAAAGCAACATTTAAAAATAATATTTTTGATATGTACATGAAGAAACTTATTAATGGCAGCCCAACAGCTAAGGAATGTCCTTCTTCTGAAAGGTGACTGAACCATTTTACAAAGCTTTCTACTACTGACATTTGTTTACTAAGTGAAGCAATAATTCAGAGGGGCATACTTCAACATATCATATTCAAATAATTAATATCTGTAAGGGCCGAATGAACAGTATACAAACTGTAAGGAAAATTATTTCTAAATAAAATCCTTCTATAGGTTGGCCAAGAATCGACAACTCAAATAACATTCATTTGGCCAATTTATGCAGTCATTTTTGGATACTTACCACTGGACGCAGCAAGGACATCCTTGCATAACCTTAGCCAGTGAGAGAGTTTTTCTACTGCCAGAGATGAAAGCATATGCCCCAAAGTATCATGAATATCAGAGCACAATTTCCGATCTGTTTCCCGATCTAACATCCCAAAAAGGACTCCCTCAAGTCCAGTCTCGGTGATATTAATGCCTTGATGCCGACCATGAATATCCCTTCGGGAACCAGGACCTGGAGCAAAAGGACTAACATCTGCAAAGCAATTTGCAATTAACAACACAGATTAATTTTTTGTTCAAAATGGTAATTATCTAAGAGTGTTTTAATCCTTTAGCTGCAAGCCAAACACTGTGTAATTATTTATTTCCTTTCTAGAAACAGACCAGGTACTACAGGCAATGACTTAGGAAGTGCAAACTGTCCAGGAGAAACCATTTTGAGTAGCACTGCGGGGCTTTTTTTTTTTTTTTTAGAGAATCAGGAAGTAAAGCTGGTTACTATTCAACTAGTGTATAGTACAGATGTGTCTATGCTATCTTTGAACATAGATGTCATTTTACAAAGCAATTAAATTGTCCTACAACAAAAATATCTCCCCCTCCCCCAATTATATTCTAAATGTCAAGAAAAAAGAAATTACAAACCATGAAAAGAACTTACTAGAGACAAATTTAACACATTTATCACACACACACACACACACACACACACATCACATCACATTCCTATAGCTAAGGTTCTCAGGAAGGATCTCAGCCTATCCATTACTCAACAAATGATGAATCTAGGTACTACTTAGTTTCTGATAGCTAAAGGTACATTCGTAGGTAATAAATGAATGGGGTGTGGTGTCTCCACCAACATTCAAAAATAAAATTGAAAATTTGGCCTTGAATCTGTTGATCAGTTTCTATCCAGGTCTTTATGGTTTATACCTTTGGGCTCGCCTGAATTTGCCCAGTCACAGACAAAAGTCTGTCAAATAGAAACTCTCCCTCAAAATATTTTGTGCATTACAATTCAGCAAATTTAATAAGACAATTTCCTGAGACTGCTGATAGACCCTTGCTAACCTCTGTGGATGGAAACAACTTTGTGTCTTGCTACAGGGACCATAACAATATGGTTCTGTGATTCCCCTCCCCTCTGTCCACCACGCATGAAGGATCATTGGGGAGTGGGATCCCTGCAGTAGGTCCAGGCACTGGCAAATGCTCCAGCATACATTACCATTATGCCACACTCAAGCATTTAAGATGGCAGCCTTACAATGTAAATATTCTCAGTTAATAAATTGTACTAAAATAAACATTCAGTTTCAAAGCGCAAAAGTGCAACTGAATTTTACACTTGTGTGGCTTCTCATCGGATAAGTCCATATATTTCCTGGGAGTTTTCCAAAGTTGGTATAAGTGGTTAATACATTACCATGTTATTTAATTTTTGGTACATCTACACTGTAGAATTACTGCAGATTGAAACACTTTTTAACTGTCATGGCTCAATGCTATGGAATCTTGGGATTTGTCGTTTGGTGGGGCACCAGTGCTCTTTGGCAGAGAACGCAATGAATATTGTTCTCCAACTTAAGAAAGAGATCTTTCCCTCTCCTGTTACTTAGAAGTCATTATAAAGTGTTAGGGATTCAGTCAAAATATCAACAAAAAGATAAGTTCAACATGGGGGCTTTGGAACATCGACTAACAGGAAAGAAATAAAAGTCAATCTTTCAAAATGTGAAAAATTCATCTTTTTTTAAAAAATGAAGTCAGGCAAAATGGGAAACAACAGGGAAACACATGTGAAATGTTGAGAATGCCAGCTATATCCGATTTGACATTTAAAGGGAACTTATAAAAGGAAAACTTACTCATCCCATTGCTTTCTTTTTCTCCAGCATTTTTAGCTAAGCTCATGGCATATTCACACACTTCTGCTGCTTCTCTCTGAGCAAGTTGTCTCAGACAGGCTACTGCAGCCCGACGCAGAAGCAGGTGGGAGCTGCACAGGTGAACCTGAAACCATGATTTATTGAGTCAGTCCAAAGAAATAGTACATTTTCATTAATGGCAGTCAACTTCTCAACAGACTGAAGTTTCTATTACACACAATTTGAAAAGGTATTAATATTTCCATAGGAAACAAAGTAAATCAGATGACATGTGCACACTGTAAAAAGAGGTTCAGATGAGTCTACATAGGTGTACATGGATACTCACTAACATAAAGCCGGATTCAGACTTAACAAACTAGGTTATTATATGTCTTAAAGAGTGCTATTATAATATAGGAATCTAGATGTTCAATAAAAACTATGTTCTATAAACACAATTGAAATTACTACCTTTAAAACACTGTGCAATCCACACAAAATGATGAATTTTTATGTTTCCTTCAGACATAATGGGAAACCACAGGTTCCTGCAATGTGACTCAGCCTTTACAAACATCAGGCTTCTGAGTCTCCCCTCTGCTCTCCTTCTGTACACCAGTAGGAGATCAAGTACATCTCATTTGGGTTTTAAACTACTCATGGTTCCCTGTGGTGTCTGTTTTAGTAACCCATAGTTTGTTCAAACTCTCTTCACTGATTTAAACACCCGCACACAAGCTCCTGAAGCAGTTTCATACATAGCCTTGTTCCCACTACCCATAGTAGTAAGAACAAATCTCAAACTGAAGCTTTTTATTCCTAGCTAATTCACATTGTTTCTTATTACATGTGAGCTAAGTCTTAGCTTGCTTCATTCTTCCCTACTCTGATCCTAGAGGTTCCCTCCAAGGTTCAAATTTCCAGGATGCTACAGGAGTAAGGAAACCCCGTTGATAGCATTTCCATAGTTTTGATTCCCCAACTGGGAAGGTAAGTGGTGAGCAATTGCTTTGTTTGTACCTCAACATCCTCAGTGGGAAAGTGTGGGATATGCTTATACTGTTCTGATCAAGTGTTCTTCCAGCCCACCAATTTTTTTCAATCATGGAATTCTTTATAAGACTTTGACAAAGGAATACATAAATAAGGGATGGCATTCAACTAATTTATAAATTTGCTTTTAGTGCTAAAAAAGCCTTATTTGTAGGTTGCTGTGAGTTTTACGGGCTGTATGGCCATGTTTCAGAAGCATTCTTTCCTGACGTTTCACCTGCATCTATGGCAGGCATCCTCAGAGGTTGCAAGGGCTGCTGGAAACTAGGCAATTGGAGTTTATATATCTTTGGAATATTCAGGATGGAAGAAAGAACTCTTGTTTGTTGGAGGCAAGTGTGAATGTTGCATTTGGCCACCTTGATTAACACTGAATAGCCTTTCAGCTTCAAGGTCTGGCTGCTTACTGCCTGAACATTCCACAGATATATAAACCCCAATTGCCTAGTTTCCAACATACCTCACAACCTCTGAGGATGCCTGCCACATATGTGGGTAAAATGTCAGGGGATAATGCTTCTGGAACATGGCCACACAGCCCAGAAAATTCACAGCAACTCAGTAATTCTGGCTATGAAAGGCTTTGATGACACAAGCCTTATTTGCATTAATAGGTGGACATGAAGAGGAGCACTGCTTGGATACTACTTTTCCAATGTCTATTAGTCCTACCCAACAGTCATTCAGTGCCACAGATCCATATTTTACTATCAAAGCCAAAGTACATTGAATTTCTATAAGATCTTCACACTCTGACTGCTACTCTAGCTAATGCCGTGATCAAGGATTTATTTTCAATTTACATGTGATTTTTTCAGTGGGAGAAATGTTTCATGCAACATAGCCACAAATAAAAGTACTAGTTAAGTGCTTTGGCTAGCAACCACCATAGAGGGTCAAGGGAGGCGTAACATAAGACCTTTTCCAAATGATTCAGTGGTGTCTGCCTTCTGAACTATTTAATTCCATGGCAATTCCTCTTCTTCTTTTTATTAGAAGCCCTTAATAAGATTTTCTAGATAATGAATAGCTGCAGAGATTTTAAATACTCACTCTTTGCAAAGTATGTATCTAAAAGAAAGCTAAAATTGCTAATATTCTAAATGCAATATATATATAAATAAAGGCATGATGCCAGACTGTGGAGGAGGTGACATTTCACTGTCAGCCAATTGGGGTAACGCTATCAGCAGCAAAGGGCAACAGTATTAAAGCTTTGTAAAGAAAAGTAAGTAGGAGCAGATGAAGTTCACATGATGTGTCATAAAAGGCTTCTGCTCTTGAATGTAAAACATGGGTTACATAACCATATAAACCATATAAACCACACACCTAAATATGTTACTCAAATACAGAAATTTTCAAAGCTTTATGGTACACATTTTCTTCCTATCCAAATATGTCTCCCTCCCATATAAATTAATTCCAGCTCATTTATCAGGTTCATGGCTTCTCTTCACAGGAGGTACTTGAACACAGGAGGATTGTACAATCCTCCTACAAAAGAAAGCAGCACACTGTTCAAAATAGTTGCCAGCGTACTAGGACATGTGTTTTAAACATATTTGCTTCTAGCATTTTAGCATGTTTGAAAAGGTACCCAATTAACTTAGGCCAGGACATCATAGAGATGCCGAAGTGCTTATCTGTTTGGATTTTGCCTTAAGATACGCAACAGTTCAAAAATGGTAATAAAAATCTGAAGCAGATTTTCTTAAAGGAATAACAGGTAAACCCAAAAGTGGTATCAGATAAAGAATGGAAAAAGTACTACTTGTCAAAACACTTTTGACACAACTCATCCCCCCTCTATAACTGCCCCTGCATAAAGTACCCTCTCTGGATTAGTCATATGCATTCGGGCCAAAAGGCATACTGTTTTTGAGTCAGTTTCTGTCTGATCCCTCATTTCGTTTACCAGAAAGTCACCCAAAAGGGGAGAGGTGCTTTCAGTTTCATCCAGCAGAAATGTCCATTGGCCACAATGGGAAACTTTAAAGGCTTAATCCTCAGCCATTTTAAGGCCTATCTGCATGAAACCTACCTCCGTTGTAGACCCCATTTACAACTGCACGCCTGCCAAGTTTCAAAATAATTCACGAATCTATTGATTTTTTACATTTATTTTAAGTTTTAAACATAATTTTTTTAAAAAAAAAAGTCAAACTGCAAAAGAGGGTTCTGGGAATTCCCATACCATGTCCATCCCAGTATAGATCTGTCCTCTTGATGCACTTTCTCTCATCCCTTAGTGAAGGTCAACCCCCATTGTTCGCCCCTTCTGAGTCACCCCTCAGACACATTACTCCATTTACTTATCTCACCCAGGGTTTTATAAATTTTAACCTTTGCATTTGGCCCGCCCAATGTGTTTAATTCCTCTACCATTTTATTTTGTGTTTGTTTTATTGTATATTTTGTTATTGTTTGCATTTAACTTTGATGTTATTATTTGTTTATTTGTATTTTACTTTGCTGTATTGTAATTCTTGGGCTTGGTCTCATGTTAGCTGCCCCCAGCCCCCTTGGGGATATGGGGGTGGGGTATAAAGTTTATTTATTTATTTATTTATTTTTGTCGCCGGTTGTGTCCATTCTCAGCCAATCATAGTATGGACACCACCAGGCTTGTTATTGGCTGAAAGATACAGAGAGAGAGAAAAGTTTCAACTCCCATCATGCTCCAAGAGGAACTGTCAATGGCCACCCTATGCAAGTGCCACTGGGAAAGCGAGTTCTAAGTGCCCTCTCTGGAGGAGGAAGGAACTTTCCAAGAAAGAATGGAGGAGGCTTCTTCTGCTGGAAAGAGAAAAAGACACCATAGATCCCCCTGCCTCAGGTATTTTGTTGACTTAATCCTTTCTGAAAATATCTCTACGAATTCATTTCACTGGTCTTTTCATCTCTCTCTTCCCTTTTCTGTTTTTGAAAATTACACAAACACTACAAAGCTTTTTGCTAACAGTGATTCGGGCCCAACTCTACTCTGGATGTGTATTAATTTTAACATAGTAACTGTGTGAAGGAAGAATATGGTTTATACTCACACAAAGACTGGGAACGAGACTGGAAAGGTTAACATGTCGTGGTGCAAACATATGAAGCTGCTGGAGGCAGGAAATGGCAGCTGCTTGAACCAGAGAGTCTGAATGATCTTGTGTAATTGCACACCCCACCAGACAGGAGGAACGGATGGTAGAAACCGTGGCTCCATTACCTAAGAAAATTACACGTTTAAAGCACATTTTGAAATATTTATCTTGTTTTCTCTTTCAATTGCACCTATTTGCTTATGTCCTGTTACACACACTTAGCAGGGTTCTTAAATTTTGACACACACAGAATTGTAACCCTTTATTACCTTTAAAATATACCAAAGTCCTTTTCTACTCATTGTTAAAACTCATCAGATTACATGAGTCTCTCAGACCCTTCCAGTTGAAAGGACTACATAGAAGCATTCCTAGCCTATGTAACTTTAAGAGAAATGTGACATTATCCAGTCAGATTTAAAACACCACCCACATCAGTACATTTTTATATCCATAGTTACTTCAATCTCACACAGAATAAATTTCAGCTGGTTCTACCTTGCCTATATTATTACTACTCCAAGACCCTGGTTAAAATTAGAACAACCGTCCTGGGATTAGACATTGAGAATGATAGGATGTACATATATATCTACCGATGACATCTTCAGATTACTGCTTTGAGAAATTTAATATAGACATTAGAAAGCTTGGAGGACAACACAGAACACTGGGACTCTCCACAGATCATGGGTAGACTGAAGTCCTCCCAGCGACAACTTCTGGATTTGTTTTCCCACATAGGTCTAGAGAAACTAGAGCACTCTGCCTTCTACTCCCATTCCATCTGAAAAGTCTACTTCAATGACATTGAATGCTGTTGAGGGGTCCAGGAGATCCACACTTCCAACAATTCATTCTCAAACATCCACCTGAATTTCCAGTCATTGCAAATTATGTCCTGACACCATGCCTAAAGCCATACTGAAACAAATTTAAGTAATTACTGCTATCCAAAACTGCTGTGACACTATATAATCAATAAATATGCTCAGAAAAAGTAGATTCGAAACTAGGAAATGAAAGCTTCATGCTCAAGAGATCTGGGACCACCTTTTTTGAGAGTGTCAACGATCATATCTCTTTTGGGACCAATCAAACTACTCTATCCTTTAACTGGACATTCATTGCTTCCGACATCTGACAAGCTTTTGAGAACTCCTAGTTCCTAGTTATCTACGCAATTGTTATGCAGCCTTGCACTTTATCCTATGTCCTCTTCCCATGGCTACATCTTTGCATTTATCCCATTCCCAGTAGGATTGTTTACTACTTGGTCACGTTTACAGTAGCTTACCGTCATTGGCTGATGAGCGCTGTTTTTAATTGAGTGTTAGTTGTTGTTTATATGTCCATTCGTTCTTAATTGTATTTTTTAATTGATTTCATTTTATGCTCTGTCTTTAAGGCACCTTGTGCCATGTGTAAACCGCCCCAAGTCCCTTTGAGGAGATGGTGGCAGGATACAAGAATAAAGTTATTATTATTATTATTATTATTATTATTATTATTATTATTATTAAGTTATTATTGTAAACCTAACCCCAGCAGGTTTCACTAACCAGAAGATGCAAGTTCCTAAAAGAAAATGGTAATCCCTTAAGCACTCTGTCAATATCCTCAGACTATATAAACTCAAAAGCATGTATAATAGGATAAACCAGTACCATTCATTTTTCAGTTCCGTCAAAATTGGCATCCACGCCAGAGTACATTCCAACATTTTCATTTGGAAAACATAATGCAAATTTATTATAGCATGACTTCAAAATTTTCACTGAACCTCCATCAAATAGGCTCCTGACCACTTGAAAGAGATTTCCTTGCTGGCTTTCTGCAGCTATAATGATGGCGGTGAAGTGATATTTTCACATTTTCATATGTATTCTTTGTTAACACTAACCTTGCAGCTCAGGGCCCACTGTTGTTATTATAGCTCCCAAACATCGACCCAGACACTGATGAACCTCTGTGTGTGATGGAGGCACCGTCAAAAGCAAGGTGAGAACCAAAGACAGCGTGGGTTCCACATATCCACGATACATTGGACCACTAGAATCCACTATTAAAGCGAGTGAATGGAGAGACCATGTCTAAAAGAAGAATAAATATGTCCGTCATATAAAAAACATGGTTGACACAAAAGTTCTCAAATGGCCTATAGTTTCTCATTCTAGGTTAGGAATGCAATGCACACTCCCTGACTGTGACTGAGAAAAACCAGGTGTAAGTAGAGCAAAAAGTACTAAATTCTCCTTTTATTTCATTGAGTGGATAAGCGGGTAGACCTCTGGTATCTGGGTCCCATCATATTTCACATTTTCAATTTGCAGATGCTTTGGCCTCTGACTATACTGTCAGAGACACGGACTCTGGCTGCAACCCTATGGTTCCCAGAATGCATCTCAGGGGTTACATAGAACCAGAGATTATTGACAATGTTGCTGCTCTGCATGGGGAGATGTGACACCAGATGCCTTCTCGCAGGTGCATTTAGCCATAGCTGAAGGTTTTCCAGCATCTTTATTTCTGAGAACGGATCTACCAATTTTGTAAAGGGCAAAAAACAGTATTTTGGGTTTGTTCTACTAGATCCACAAACAAGCCTCTCAGCCATCGACATGAAGAAAATGTCAGGTAGCTCTCAGAGTATTTCTATCTAAATTCTCTACCACCGTTACAATGGGAGTTTTATCAGTAGGAGTCAAAAACAAGGGTATGGTAGGTGACAAACATAACATCAGGTTTATCAATATTTCCTTCCTGTCAGTAAAATTTCAGCAGGACTTTGAATCAAATGGAGAGTTTTTTGCCCCTCTGCTATAGTTTCTCTGTTATATAGGTTAATATCTAGTGTTGAAAAAAGAATAGAAAATTAAACAAAATCTTTAAGTATCGACGGTGGTTCAGGCTGCATCCCAACAGGCTCTATATGAGGGAGGGACTTTTATATTCTCTTCAAATGAACACTTTGAAAGTGTAGAATTTGCTGCCTGCATCTTGATAGGATTCCCTGCCTGTTTATTTTGAATAGTAATAATTTGCATGCTATCATTGATCGATCACATTGGAAATACAATGAATTCCCATCAATTTTCTGACCCTCACAAAAATAGTCTATTAAACGCATACAATCAAATGAAATGTTCATACAGAAAGTCCACAAATATACAAATTTCTTGTGAATTTTGCCTATAGAAAGCTTTTGAAATGTTCACTCCTGTTTGTAAACAAGCAAAGCCTTAATCCACATACAGACAGATGACTTGGTAAACTGTAAGATGCATAACCTTTAAATAGTGCTAGACATTCTTTATTTCTTTTACCTGAACTTCGGGTGAAGTTCCATCTTGTGCCAGTGCTAAGAGAATACTAACACTAGTCTTCAAATGTTGCCCAGATCCGATGCCTCCAACGTAACGATGGAGACAGCCAAGAGCTAAGGAATGGCCTGTTCTTGAGACAACATCTCTAGCAGATTTCAGCCTGTAAACACATTTTTAAAGTTATACTTCTTTCAATTGGTTGTTGGTATAGAATTTGTTGAAAAGAAAAAGAAAAAATAATTGGAAGACTTAAGAAGGAACACGACAAGAGAAGACATCGAACTTTCAGACAAGGCACACTGAAAGAATTATGCAAAATGTGAAGTCATTTAAAAATGCCTGGTGTTATATTCAGGAGACAGATATTTGTCATAGTTTACTCAGAATGAAAACAGTACTTACTTGTCAAAGCTATACTGGGCCATCCTGGCAATGAAGGTGGCTTCTCCGACCACCTGGGCCATTCTGCCAAGAGCTTCTCCTGCCGCACATCTCAGAATGGGATTAGGATTGTCAAGAGCCCCCATTACAAGGGTCAAGGCAGACTTGCGAACTTCTTCTGGCCCTAAAGTGCTTTTATTTTCAGCCAACCCCTTTAACCAAAGAAAAATGAAGAAGTTCAGATTTAGAAATTTTTAGTTTACTAATTTTTGGTAACTACCTGGAAAGTTAGAATGGCTCCCTCCTTGCTTTCACTTAGGAACTAAGTTAAAATCTTCCTATGGAAGCAGGCCTTCCCCAAATGAGAACAGTATTTTTTTTAAACATCAGCTTCATGTGTTCAATATGTGAATTAGTGGACCTCCGGCAATTTGGACTTGACTATGGACTAAAGGGGAGCCCCCGGTGGCGCAGTGGGTTAAAGCACTGAGCTGCTGAGCTTGTTGATTGAAAGGTCGCAGGTTCGATTCCGGGGAGCGGCGTGAGCTTCCACTGTCAGCCCTAGCTTCTGCCAACCTAGCAGTTCGAAAACATGCAAATGTGAGTAGATCAATAGGTACCGCTCCGACGGGAAGGTAATGGCGCTCCATGCAGTCATGCTGGCCACATGACCTTGGAGGTGTCTACAGACAATGCTGACTCTTCGGCTTAGAAATGGAGATGAGCACCACACCACAGAGTCAGACATGACTGGACTTAATGTCAGGGGACTACCTTTACCTTTATGGACTAAAGGAATAGAGATTAGATGGGCTTTTAATCTACTGAATGTTTACATTATGTTTTATAGTCTATTTATTATACATATTTTGGGTTGTTTTAATATTTATTATTTTCATTAAATATGTTGTGGTTTGCTGATTATGTTTATTTTCTATGATTGTTATATTTTTTTGTCTGTGCTGTTCGCAGCTTTAAGTCCTATTTTGGGAGAAAAGCGGGACAGAAATAAATAAATAAATAGTTTGGCTGTGACTATTGCTGGAGGAAATGAATTCTATGAATTTCCAATTATAAGCAAGCTTCATGTTGCACATGTGCTCTGGTGAATGTTTCATACTCAGTTATGTGATGTATTTTCTCCGAAGAATGGCTGTTTCTGAGAGCAGTAATGAACTGAAATCAGATACATTACTTTGTTAGTAATAATGAGTGTTTATTTTTCTACTCATGTTACCATATCAACTTATTTTTAGTTCAAGTATCAGAAAAGTGGCTAATGTGGAAGACAAACAGCACTCAATCTCTTCAAAGGATCTACAATTAGAAGCTGTGTGTAGCCCAACTATTAAGGCTACCTTTGCAATGGAGAACATTTCCAAAATAATATTAAGTTCCTATCTAACTCCCCACAACCCATCAGATATCTCAAGTTTTAGGTGTGCAATTTGTAAGAATTAATGATGACTTCCAACTTGGAAAGGGAATTGTTTATACAAACACAAACAGCTATCAATGGCCATTATTAATAAGGAATGATTGACAATGACACTTCCATAATCAGAGGCACTATGCCTAGGTGTGTCATTTGTAGGAGTGCACAAAGGGAAGTGTGACACTGCATTAATGCTGCTCAGCAATTCTTGATTTCCATTTCTGTTAGAGAGAACCCTTTGACCTTTTGAATTAACTCACCATAACAATATCGGAAATCAATTCATCTATACACATCTATCAAGGTCTTGCAATTCAAGCCTTATTAAATTTTAATTACTTAAGGAGAGCAAAAACAGAATGCAGATTTACCTTTAATGCACTAAGAACAGCAGTAAAAATATTGAGCTGCACGGCTTGCTGACGAACACCTTTAGCCTGCTTGACACATTCTGCAAAATGATCCAACATCTGCAACCTGAAAATATAACAGTTGTAAGAGAAACATTCTTTGGAGGGGAGGTCATGACGGCAGATACCTCCTTGAGGCAAAAGGACTGCATGTGAGATACACTGCAGCTAGATATTTTTCATTTTTCATCATCATCATTGGTTGCATAGACTATTTTTTTTCCTTTTTAGTTTAAATAGTACTTAATTCAGCCCATCAGGGTGAAGAATCAAAGCACAATTTTTTACTATAAACATACCTGTGTTTGTAGGAAACATGAGGGAAAACTACTCCAAACAGAGCAACTGAAGCATCGATGACTGATACTCCCAAAGGAAGAGGACCAGGAACAGCTTCACCAGCAGGGATGCGCAGGTAAATGGAAGATGGGTCATGTTCTAGAGCGCCGCTTCCAGAGGCACTGTTTGGCTGGAGCTGCAAAGCATCATTTGAAATATATTGATATTACACACTGGAATAAAACAAACTGCCATGGTCAAAAATAATTATTACTAAATTATATGATGCTGCCATTTACATAGATTAAAATTGGGACTCAAACTTATCTATCAAGATCAGTCATGCAATTGCCAAGTCTGCATGACATTTATGATTCCTCAAAGAGGCAATAAAAGATCAAACATTCAGAAATCTGAGAAAATAATGCATTCACAATTTAGAGTTGCCAACTTTCTCTTTCCATAAATACACATCACTGGTGGTCTGCATCTCAATCTAATCAGCGCCATAGGGCTCCCCAAAATGCAAACCCTGCTGAAATACTGCTTACTTTTGATGGAATCTAACCTAACCCTAAGGACTGAGGAATCCAGGAGAACTAAGCAGTCCTGTTTGTATACACAAAGTACACCAATGGAGGAAAAAACATCCCGGGGGGGGGGGGGGGGGGTGATGAAAAGACTTTAAACGGCAAATGTGAGACCCTTATAATAATTTTTTGTTAAGATTTTATACCTGATCTTCAATAGATTTATGATCTGTCTCCTGCAGCCAAGAACCAAGGAGAACACTGTCATCATAATGGCAAAGTGATCTCAGCAAGGATGTAGTAGTATTAGCAGAGTTGTCCGTCAAAGTAAATTCTGCCACTAGCTCTCGAAGAAGTGCATTAAATGATCCTAGAACAAAAATAATGTGAAGAAAATTCTCTACATACAAGGCAATGATAAAGCTGTATAAGAAATCCTGTATTAATAGTATTACAGACTGCTTTCTGAATGTTGCTGCTCCAAGGATTTTGAGAGACCACTGACCCATCTCCAAAGTTATCCATGGTTTTTAAATTTTTGTGGGGTCTCCTGAAAATGTGGAAGGCTGATTGTAGTGCATTGTTGTATACTTTCCTTCCACAAAGTTCCTTTCTTGAGTATAGCAGCATTATCTTGAGTATAATGACATCACTAGGATTTGATTGTTGTATCTATGTACATAGATACATAGTATCATTGTATCACAGTAACATAGATACATTGTATCTATGTTGTACATAGATAAAATGATGGTTAAAAGAAGATATAATTACAGGCAACATGTCTGCACCTTATCTACACCACTAACTAGATTTCTATTTGGGATCATCAATTATCTCCATCCAAACAAAACCCGTTCAGAAATATATACCCATATATACTCAAGTATAAGCCAACCCGAATATAAGCTGAGCCATCTAATTTTACCACAAAGAACTGGGAAAACATATTGACTCGAATGTAAGCCAAGGGTGGAAAATGCAGCAGCTACTGGTATATGTCAAAATAAAAATAAATTTCAATAAAATTACACTTAGGCACCAGTAGGTTAACTTTTTGGAATATTTACATAAAACTGTAATTTAAGATAAGACTGACCTACTCTGATTAAACCAGGATTCTAATGTTCTTCAATGTAAATGTGCTTATGTATCCTTCCAATACTAATAGAGCAAAATAATAAATGTAATAAAAATAATAATAGAGTAAAATAATGGAAATGTAATAATAGAGTAAAATAATAAATGTAATAAAATAATCGAGTAAAATAATAGAAATGTAATAATAATAATAATAGAGTAAAATAATAAATATAATAATATTACTTTCAGAGTAAAATAATAAATAACTTTAATTCGAGTATAAGCCGAGGGGGGCTTTTTCAGCCTAAAAAAAGGGGGCTGAAAACCTTGGCTTATACTTGAGTATATATGGTAGTTTCATCAACATCACAGTCCCAAACATTTCAAGCTGAGAACCTGCCCCAAGAGGAGGGTACAAAGGAACTAAATATGAAAGACAATATAATAAATAAAGGATCGGATTAATAAGTACAATTCACTTAACTTTACCTTCATATGTTTTTGGTGGTAACAAAGCCAAAATGTCATAAAGCCTTAATCGGACCATTGCTGCACTAGCCTTCAGGTGAGCTCCATGGGCTTTAATTACAGAGGGAATGCTATAATGTTAAAAAAAATTAACAACGATTATTAGTAAAATCTCATTGTGCAAAAACAAACATGATGCAAAAACAAAACAAAAAAATTCAACAGGAGTGTAAAGTATCTTAAAACGTGTCAATATTTATTAATTTCAAAATCAATTCACAGCCTTTAAATCAAGAAAGTACACAATTTCATAAATCAATATGTGCCTTTATAAGATGTGGGGTGAAGTTCCTCCAATTTACTGTTGGTGTAGTAGGTATGAGGAAGATAAAGTTATTTAAAAATAGTTGACTGTGCATTACTTCTCTTGTTTATGTAAGGTCCTAATTTATAAGGTCCAAGGCCCAGATTCTAATTAACTAAAGTAATGGAGCCATAGTGTTGTAGCCCCCCAGATATTGTTGTACTACAGCTTCTAAGAGCCCCAGCTAGCAGAGCCAATGGTGATCAATGCTGGATGTTGCAGTCCAACAATACTCAGAAAATCCTACACTTCCCTACCTGAACTGTGAGACAGTTGAAGAGAACCTTCCTAACCTGAGATGATTTCCAGTCTGGCTAGCAGACACAAAAATGGCCAAATCTTTATAAAATTGACAGTATGTTATTGAACATAGATTTAAAAAAGACAATAGCGATTGATGTTAAGAGTCCACTTCTTCCATATTTTTCAGTTTCAATTATCATGGAAATTTGTCATGATTGAGGAATACGTATTGGTCTACGACCAAAATAAAGTTAGCATTGAGCAGAAATATAATTTTTGAAAATATTACCCAAAAGTCCACATTTAGCCCACCACTTGAATCCCATCAGGGAGATAGGGCGGGTTATAAATAAAGTGTTATTATTATCATCATCTATATGTCTTACATGTTTTAGTCCCTGAATAGCTTTATGAATTTCATTAGATAATTATTATGTTTTTATGAGATTATGTAAAAAATAGAAATTTTAATTCTATGAGAGGGCTCAGAAGAGTGTGTTTTCAATATTATTTAATTATTCTGGGATTAAATACTTTTGCTTACCTCACACTTTTAACTGATAGTAAATTCATGGCTCCTCTTTAGTCTTTTCTTCTCTAGTTAATGAACTGACTTTTTTTTTTAAATTTGCCCTAAATGAATTCATAATATTTTTGGTTGGTAAACAGCACAGCCTTTGAAATGTTATTTTGTTTGAATAATTGCAATTTTGCAGTATATATATATATATATATAAACATTGCCAGTCTCTGAAATTCTTTCAGCTCAGTCAATAGCTTCACTTTGCACTTTTTTGTGTCAGAGTGACTTGTGTCAGAGTGACTTGCAAGTTGCTTCTGGTGTGAGAGAATTGGCCTTTGCACTGATATCTAACTGAATAATCTTTAAATGAGAACTGCACTTGCTATTTCAGGCATCTATATTTATGCAGTCAAAAATGGTTTTGAAAGGAAAACCTGTTTCCCAGTGACTGAAAATTCATACTTACTGAGACATCATAGTCATAGCACATTCTATAGGGGTCATCAGTTTTCGAATAACATCTTCTGTTAGAAGCTCAGGACAGTGAGCAACAAAACTCCTCATAGCTGGTAATTAAAAATATGTTGGTTGAAATAACTGTGCAAATGAAGAAAGGTGAACTCTCAAGAAGTAGAGAAATTCAAATTTCGATGCAAATGGCAGTGCTTTCTCTAGCAAAACATTAACCTAACAATTTAGTTACCAAATTGGAAAGCTAAGAAAACATTTTTAAAATAATATATATGCTGTTTGGGCCCCCTGGTGGCGCAGTGGTTTAAACTGATGAGCTTGCTGACTGAAAGGTTGGCAATTTGAATCTGGGGAGCGGGGTGACCTCCCGCTGTTATCCCCAGCTTCTGCCAACCTAGCAGTTCAAAAACATGCAACTGTAAGTAGATCAATAGGTACCACCTTGGTGGGAAAGTAACAATGCTCCAAGCAGTCATGCCGGCAACATGACGTTGGAGGCATCTACAGACAACACCAGCTCTTCGGCTTAGAAACTGAGATGAGCACCACCCACTAGAGTTGGAATTGACTTGACTTAATATACCTTTACCTATATGCTGTTTATTTATTGGTTATTGGTGTTTTACTTGGATCTCTCTCTCCCACCAGATTCTACTTTAACAATATTGCAATGGTAATCTAGTCTTGACATTGTGACTTTTCCATTTCAGCTGGATTTGTGACTGAGCAGAATTTTTGATCTGCATTATGTAACTACAATGATGACAGAATGAATTATCATGGGAACTGTTTGCTAGCTTTTTAAGACTCTTACCACAGAGAGCTCCTGCACGTCCTTCCAGTGTTACTTGCCAAGTAAAGGAATCACCACGGGCTTTCTCTGCTTCCAGTTCCTTTAAAGAACGGGGGAACACATTTCGCCACAGGAGCAACATCTTTGGAAGATGGTAACGAACAACTGAAGGACCTAGTTCAACAGACAAATTAAGACTACAGCTTATTAGTGCTCAAGGAAATGCAAAACAAACTTTACCAAATATCTCTAAAATATTTCTACACAATTTATGCATGTCCCTGGAGAGAAAAGGTCGTAGACTACTTGAGCACATTTTAATCAGGAAAAAGCACAGCTAATAAGTGTATACTTTTTTGCACACTGTGCTATAGTGGTTCCCAGACGTCCTTGAATCCCGATGTTACTGGACTTACAAAAAACTGACCATTAGCTATGGTGACTGCAAACTGTAATACAGATCCATAGAGTTGAAAGAGATCACATGGGTCTTCCAGTCCAACCCTCTGCCATGCAGGAGAAGCACAATAAAAGCAGCCCTGATGGATGGCCATCCAGCCTCTGTTTAAAAGCCTCCAAGGAAGGAGCTTCCAGCACACTCTGAGGCAGAGAGTTCCACTGTTGAACAGCTCTCACAGTCAGGAAGTTCTTCCTAATGTTCAGGTGGAATCTCCTTCCCCGTAATTTGAACCCATTGCTCCGAATCTCCAGGGCAGCAGAAAACAAGCCTGCTCTCTCTTCCTTCTGATATCCTTTCAAATATTTTGAGGTGACCCAAGTTTGGGAACAGCAATGTTACAGGAAAAGCTAATACTTTTGTCAAACTTGAGAATGGGAGATTACAAAAATATTTATATTTTTTTACTCAGATAAATAGCAGTATTACAATCAATTAAAGCTAAATTTTAAAATAATCTAATTTCTAAAGGTTTTTACAACTGAACTGCTAGAAACTATATACAGAAGTTTGGAAGAGACCCATTTATTCTAACCTGTATTGGATGTTTAGCCAACCAAGACGTTTTACTGTCGAGGTTGACTAAGACAAGCTTATCAAGACATAATAGTTATATTAAAACACAGTGACAGGGTAGCAGGTAGTTTCACCTAAAGTCATTAAAGCACCGAGCAAAAGCCATCCAGCCTGTGTTCGCTGTAAGGACAATCTACTATTCTGTGCTGCAGTTCTCAAGAGGTCCTCAGCAATGCTAACAACCATCTGAAAGCAAGAGAAAGAGGATTTTAAAAAAGTTTATCCAATAATTAATTTAATTAATCAGCTAGATGTAAAGAGGACAGTGAAATACTTAAAAAGGAAAAAAAACTATTTCATAGTCTAGCCGTCATCATTTCTTTACTTTAATGTAACTATAAGCATCTTTTATTATACCTTTCTCTATATAACTAGGTGAGGACACCAGCCAGAAGAATGGATTACAAGCAACCTCAGCTCTAACAGGAAATATGGAAGGATAGGGAAAGGATTAAATCAAAGAGAAAAAAAACAAGATGAGGGATAAAGCTGATGAAGGAAAAACATGGGAAAGGGGAGCATAGAAAAAGGAAATTAAGGGAAGCTGAGAGAAATTCAGGAAAAAGGAAGCAAGAGGAGTTGGAGTGGGAAAGCATGAGCAATGGGCTCAGTAGTGACAGAGGAAAGTGTAAGACTCAGCTATTTGTTCTCAAAGCAGGAATAAGAAACTGAAAGAGTAGAGATAATAACAACAGATAAAACTCATGAAACTGATTTTAATGTTGTGTATATTTATCTTATCTCCCGGCACGGAATGCTTGCTGTATATATGTTGTGCTCTGCTTTGAGTCCCCTTTGGGGTGGGAAGGGCAGAATATAAATATTTCAAATAAATACACACTATCCAGAATGGGAAGCTGGGGTGCCAAGGACTACAAATGTTTACAGCAAATGAATTAGGTTCAAGAATGATGGCACAGTTTAGAGCAGTGATTCTCAACCTGTGGGTCCCCAGATGTTTTGGCCTTCAACTCTCAGAAATCTTAACCTCTGGTAAACTGGCTGGAATTTCTGGGAGTTGTAGGCCAAAATACCTGGAGACCCATTAGTTGAGAACCACTGGTTTAAAGTCATAATAAACAACTGTGTCTTCAGTTGATGATTTTATTAGGTATTGATGTTTTATTTTAATTGTTGAATTGTTATATTTTGTATTGTTTGTTGTGTGATTTGGGCATCTAATTGTGCCTTTCCTGTAAGCCGCCCTGAGTCCCCCCCAGGGTGAGAAGGGCGGGGTATAAGTAGATGAAATAAAATAAGGGTAAAGGACAGAGTTAACACAAACACGGTTTTTAGTATAATGCAGTTCTGTTACAATTGTATATTGCAGTCTTTATTACATTAACAATAATAATTTCATTTGATGACAGTTGCCTTTCACTGCATCCACAGCAATATTCTATAGCAAAACAAAGCTGTTCCCAATCTTACCTTCCCTTTTGCATGAGGAATGCCTAGAGGACATTGATGAACTCCGCCTAACAAAGCAGCCATTGCAAAACTGTATCCACTAACAGCTTCTGGTGATGTCTTCAGGTTGTTGAGCCTTTCTGCACAGCGGTCTAAGAAAGGCGTCAACTGGAAAGGCAAGGCCACAGCTACACAGCGCAAGCACCAGGCAGCTGCAAGTCGAGCAGCCATACTGGGATGAAGAAGAACTGAAGTCACAGTCTCAAGCAGTCCTGAAAGAGATATAGATGACAACAGCTTCTTAAAAAGACAGCATCAAAACGTTTTTAAACAATAAGGAAAACCACGAGCCATGTGCTTCTTCCTCCATTACCTCCAATCAATGATCAGAAATACAAGATAAGAGGGTATTTAAAAGCCAAAAAACTATTGCATAGAATTTAGGTCTACTTTACAACCTTGGAAGCTTTTATACTGAGGGATTTGCCAGAACCGACACACTTAGGGCCCTTCAGGCAGCCCCTATATCCCAGGATCTGGTCCAAGGTTTTCTGCTTTAAACTGGATTATATGAGTTCACACTAGTAGATAATCTGGGATAATCTGGAAGGGACCTTAGAATTGAGCTATACTTTATATCAATTTCTCAAACTGTGCTCCTCCAGATGTTTTGGACTTCAATAACTAACAGCTGGTAAAATGTTGGGATTTCTGAGTGCTGAAGTCAAAAACACCTGGAGGAGCACAGTTTGAGAAACACTGCTTTATATAACAATGGAGGAAAAAGTCCATCCATGGTAGCTGTGTGTGCACTTCCACAATGATACATACATATAAATCCTCTCTATCCATGGATTCTGTAATCAGGAATGAAAACATACAGTTGGGAAATGTTTCTGTCCTTGCCCGCCAACCTCCCCCCCAAACAAACAAACAAACAAACAAAAAACAAACCATGATTTTGCCATTTTAAAGTACACCATTTTATTATGCCACTACATATAATATCCACAGATTTTTGTATCCATGGCTGGGGAGAGGGGTGTCAACACCAGTGGATACCAAGCTTCCGCAGTAGAACAAATTAGAGAGCCTGACCATTTCTTTCCAGATAAATCTGTATTTGCATGTAGACTTAATGACTAACCTATAGAAGGTTCTTGTATAAGAGGTGATGCAGTGGCATTCAGGCTCTGAACGAGACTCCCAAGCTCTTGAAGGGCACAAACCATTACATGCTGACTTGCAGAAACATCAGCTGCTCCTGACTTGTTTTCAGTATTAGAATCATTCACAACAGCTTCTGTCAAGGGAAATGAGGTGAGAAAAAGGAAACATGTACCATTCAACTAAATCTGATGTGTAGTTAGAGGAGTGTAATTGGAAACCACATTAAAATTAGAAACAAACTATAATACAATTGATAAGAAGTTAAAGCATATTTCGACCTCTTTAATATGCCATAGAGTTCCGTGTTATTTTTGCTCCAAACAAGGACAATGGCAACTTTTACAGAACAGAAATAGGTTTAGCACATTCCTATGTATCTTGCTGGAAATCCATATTTTTCCATCACAAATGTAAAGAAATCATTTTTTAAAAACTATTTTTGGAAAATTTCCAAAGAAATGAGAAAAAAGTACTAGGAAATATTTTTTCATGAGATAAAATTACTTGTAGTTGTCATTTTTAAGTAACATAAACTAGATTGAAGAAAACTAATGAAAACCAAGAGAGAGAGAATTAAACTATCATATTATTGTGTCCTGAAACATAATTATATTAGCCAACACACATTTTGGTACTTCAAACATTAGCACTGTTTCTGGGTGAATTTGATGCCCACGGCCATGCCACCTTGAGCCCACCCAATCTTGTTTGATCTCGGAAACTAAGCAGGTCCGGGCCTGATTAGTACTTGGTTGGGGGCTAAATTTGACCTGCTGATTCCATAAATGGCACCAGTTTCCCCCTAATTGTTCTAGTTTTTGAGATACAGAATATATACCATCTCTCAATAATCCTCTGACTGAATTGTTGAGACTGATACAGGAAAGAAACACCGTACATTCGATAAAAGTGCAAAACAGCAAGTTTTGTCTTCCACTGATGTTCTTATTACATAAGAGTAATTAGGCTGAACTTCAGGAGAACACAAAACTTGCTAAAAATAAATGTTCATCATCTACAGTTATTTTTTTTAGCAAGTTTTGTATTCAATAAGTGTTCACTATCTACAGTTAGGGCCCCCTGGTGGCTCAGTGGGTTAAACAGCTGAGCTGCTGAACTTGTTGACTGAAAGGCTGGCAGTTTGAATCTGGGGAGTGGAGTGAGCTCCCGCTGTTAACCCCAGCTTCTGCCAACCTAAGAGTTTGAAAATATGTAAATGTGAGTACATCAATAGGTACCACTTTTGCAGGAAGGTAATGGCGCTCCATTGGAGGTGTCTATGGACAACGCTGGTCTTCGGCTTAGAAAAGGAGAGAAGCACCATCCCCCAGAGTCGGATACGACTAGACTTAATGTCAAGGGAAATCTTTACTTTACCTTATCTACAGTTAACTAGAAAATGTATTAGCCTTACAAAAGTGTGTTCTAGTCCTTTTTGTATTTTTATTGAATGTATGGTATTTGTATGGTATTTCTTTCCTATATCAGTCTCAACAGTTCTGTCATGCCAAACCAAACACATGAAAAGGGTGAGAATAAGGGCTTTTTATCTAGAACTTTTGAGAATATAAGCACCACACATATAACCTTTGATCAACCTAAGAACAGAAATGAAGAGATTAAAAGAACAGAGGCAAATAAATGTTTCATTCCCCTGTGCAGAATCTTTCCTCAGGAGTGGTATTGGTTTTTGAGCACTGTACCCCTTTGATCACACCAATGTCTTTCCATTTTAGAAATTAAGCTGACTTGAACCTGGTTAATATTTAGATATGAAACTGCTAGGAAATACCAGGAATCTCAAAGAAAAGCTATGAAAGAATCTCACCTGAAACTCTGTGAAGCCATTGCCAGTTGGAATAGACAAATCTAGTGTTCAGTATAAAGGCAGCTATCTATGTCCCTGTGATTGCAATTCCCTACATTCCAACATCATCACATCTGGAGAACTTAAGACTTTCTGTCCCTACTTTACACTATCATCCTCTGATATAGAATGTGGCAGACAAAAGCTAGAATAACTTCATTAAACTTCACATTTCACTGAACACATTATCACCATGCTGTGAACACACACTACTAATTGTTAAGCAGCAGTTTTTTGTTCATACCTGCCCCTTTATTCCATACATGTTACTGCTGTCAAAGAAGTAAATAAGTAAGTAAAGTAAGTAAGTACTGCTGTCAAATAACATAGTGGCATAGTGAAAAACCTAGAAATATCAACACTGCATTATTGGAATTGCAGGGAAAATGATCATATCTCATAAGAAATGCAGCACTAGCCACTCAATTTCTGACTCTTACCTACTGCTTTCATTTGCGTAGCAATAGCCTGGCAAATATCTTTGGCAGCAGCAATCTGTGCCTTTTCTCCTAGTAAACTGCCCACAGTTGCTCTTAGGATAAAAGAGACGCATCTTCGAGAGTACACAGCTTCTACATGAGTCTGGGTTGCACGAGGATGAGAAACCAGATCCAGTACATGAGACAAGAAGGTGGCAAAATTGCGCTCCAGCCACTGGCCTCCTAGTGTTGTGACAAAGACGACATAGGCCTGCAAATTCAAAGCCCAAAAATTACCATTTCTAAAACAGGATAAAAAAACAAAGGGGATGCATAAAGAGAAGGCTGAAATGATACAAGGTGTGTGACATCTCAAAGCAAGAAAATCTCATTTCATGGATGAGTTCATATTTGTGGTCTATCACATATTGCAAATATATACAATTGAATGTGCATTCAATGCTACCAGAAGTTAAAGGAATACATGTATGAGGGAATTTGCTATGGTCTCTGTACTTGTACAGTCTACTGTCCTAAAAAGCTTATCCCAAAAGCTGAAACTGTGCATTTATGGCATGCTGAATCAAGAGCTATGAATACCCAAAAGTGATCATTTTCCAGAATGCTGCGAAACAGCATCTGTTCCAACGACTCTTGTTAATCTACTTAGGAAAATAAGCCACTCTGTATTGTTAAAACCATTTCCGTGTGAAACAAGTATTTTAAAAGGGTAAACTAACCTGAGTAACTCCAACTCGCACTTCTCGATTGACAGATCCTCCCACTTTTAACATTTCCCCACCACTTTTTAAGAATCCAGACCCCCCACGCAGAAAGCCAGTGGCCATGAGTTCCAAGACTTCTTCCAGTGTAGCTCGTTTCACATTCTGCCGCATCACTGAAAGCAAAAAATAATAATGTGACAGAATATTTTAAGGAACATTTGTTTGCACTTGTATTATTACTGAAACACACTCTATGTGGGGTTGCCCTCTAAAGACGGCTCGAAAACTGAAACTTGTGCAAAGATTGCCAGCCAAGCTACTAACAGGAGCTGATTACATTGAGCACACCTCTCCACTGCTAAAACAGCTCCACTGGCTGCCTGTTCGTTTCCGGGCCCAATTCAAAGTGCAGGTCATATCCTATGAAGTCCTACACAGTTCAGTTCCAGCTTATTTGCTCGGCTGCAACACCCCCCTTATGAACCAGCTTGAGCCCTGAGGTCTGCAGGGGAGGTCCTCTTGGTCCCAACCCCTTCACAAGCATGGCTGGAGGGAATGAGAGAGAAAGAACCATCCCAAGGAAATTAGATTGGCTCCCCCCAGTCGATTTTTAGAAAGCAACTTAAAACTTTGCTCTGGAAACAGGCTTTTGGAGATGATCAGTAGAAGAACTACTTTAGTAAGACAGATGGTTTTAATATTTTAATGCTTTTATTCCACCAAGAGCAGCTATTTCTGATGTTGATGTTATGTTATATTCTTATATTTTTTTTTCAGTAACTGCAATGGTTCTATTTTAAGTTATGTTCATTAGACCTATCTACTACGTTTTTTGTTTTTTTTAAAAAATGTTTTAACTGTTATTTTGCTGTAAGCCACCCTGAGTCCCTTTCTAAGAGAAGGGGTGGGATATAAATAACATCATCATCATTATTATATCTGACACGTGGAGAAGCATCTTACATTGCTATAATAATAAAGATATTTACATGATTGATTTACTGCTTACTATCCCACCTTTCTCCCAAGACAGGACCTAACGTGGCTTATAGCAAAGAGTTTGTTATGAGCCAACACAATTCAATATTACAAAATTAAAAACAAACAAGCAATTCAATATTACAAAATTAAAAACAAACAAACAAATAATACTTTACTTTAAAATGTTTAAACTACAGTATTCCTATTAAAAGACAATTCTGCAACTTCCAGTTAACAACCAAGACCAAGCTGTTTCTTTTATTGGTTTTTTAAAAAATGTGTTTTTTAATTTCATAACTGCAGAAAGATAGGGGTAACCTGTCACTGGAAGGAATTTCAGATATAATACTTAATGCAGTTTCCAAAATTCTCAGAAGAGCATAAATTATATAGCAAATTCACAAAACAGTTCCTGTCACACTAGATCAAGATCTGCCATTGCAGATGAATGATTTTAACCTAGCCAAGTTGCAAACACTGAAGACATAACTCTTCCCAACTCTATTCCACAGTTCAAAAAGATAAAAATATCTTCACCTTACGTGAGCAAACAAACCTTAATATGAAATCAAAGCACAGAATAATAGTCAGGCTTTGTTTATCTATGGTGTATATATAGAGTCAACCATTCGCGGCTTGAACACATTAAAATCTAAAAATAAAACCTTGATTTTCCAATTTAAATATGCCATCATATTTAATGGGACTTAGGAATTCGCAGATTTTGTTATCCTAGGGCAATCCTGGAACCAAACCACATAATTACATATACATCTCAGAATTTAGTACCTGCAGCTTGTTTTGGTATCAATGCTGTAGCCATAACTGTTCCCAAAAGTTTGGATACTGCAACTCTCACACCATAGTTTGAGTTTTCCAGAGACTTAAAACAAAGAGTTGCTACATTTTCGAGTTCTGCTGTCCACATAAATACAGCTTCATTTTGCAGTTCCAATAAGCACTACAGAAAACAAAAATATTAAATATTATTACAATTGATAAATGCATATCTGTACATTCCTGGAATGTTGCCAGCACAGAATTTGCCACCACTTATCCCACTTGAATAGTGCATGGCAGGCACAGTATTTTTAAATCATTTGAAAAATGTATAGCAATTATTTCTTGATTTATTTACTACTATTTTGATCCCACTCTATCTCACCCCAAGGGGAACTCAGAGCGGCTTCCAATTTTGGAAATTATTCAATGCCACAATTACACAAAACAACAATACATAGCACAATTAAACTGTGTTAATTGTACTTAATTACTTAATACTTGTGATTATCCTTCCAGGAAAGATCTGGAATTACAGTCGGTCCTCCACATTTGCAGGTTTGACTTTTGTGGATTTGATTTTTCACAGATCTGATTACAATGTTCTGTCTAGAAATGTCTAGGTCCTCCAGTGAAAACCAATGGTCGACTTCTGCAAAATGTCAGTCGTAGAGCCATGCTTGAGGACCTAAGAGATTCCTGGGGAAAACATCTGGTAAATGTTGACCAAAGAAGCATGCTAGAGAAGCTTGATATTCCTAGAGAGGTATTATTTCAGGTTACAAAAATAGCAATTTTATTATTTGTGGGGTTTTTTCACCTTTTCAGGAGGTGTCTTGTGCCCCTAAGCCCAACGAATGTGGAGGGCTGAATATAATCAAATATTATTAGCAAATTGAGACAACCACACACACCTTTAAAATGGTCAGTTTTAAAGTGTAGCACTTTAAAGGTGTATTATCATTTATGAGATCTGCATCCCATACTTTATAACAAATATTACAATACTGAATACTGCAAATAAATTGGCTGTGTTTTAGACCAGCTGATAGAAAAGACAACTACCAATCCACACCACACCTGTCAACAACAATTAATGTCACAACTAGCAAATGGTGTGGTAACAAATAAAGCAGTAGTGGCCTCAAGCATCCATACTAGAAAGAGTAAAGGTATTACACAACTTATAAATGCATATGAAAGTTTTAGTGATCCAAAACACATTTCTACACTATGCAATATGAAAAGGTCCTACCTTAGCTACTGCACATCGTACAGCCATAGCTCTGTCTGTCAAGAGAGACCTAGCATTTTTGTAGATATCACGGTGGCAAGAAGCTGCGGCACAACCCAGACCACTCAGGACTTTCTGTAAACTCATTAATATTTCACTTCGGCCTTGTGACTTTAAAAATGCAGGTGGAATGTAGAAGAATGAGAAAGAGGAATCAAACAAATTGTTGTGTACTTTTTCAACTTTTTATGAACTATAACAATAGGAAATTGCATGCTTATTTCTTCAATATGAACTAAAATATAAACCCAGCAGTGTATGTGAAAATAACATCATGTGTGAACTAATGAAAATGATGAGTAAATCATGTTAACGCACATTATTAGCTCTAGAGTGAAGACAAAAAAACTGCAGAGAACAAGCAAATGCTAGAATATATGCAACATTTGTTTATATTAACTAAATTTCTCCAATATTTTTATTTAAACCAATAGCAACTCAAACAATTTCTGAATCTGGAATATATGATAATAGAAATGAAAGAGAACAGATTAATCAAAAATAATTCTGAAAGCTTTGACTAAATCATTAATTGATATTTGTAATCTGCAGCAACATGAATAACGTATTTTTGCTAAGGATGGAAGAAAAACGAAGAACACATAAAACATTTTTAAACACTACTTTCACTCACCTCAGCACTTTTCAAAGATTTTAACAGATTGTTAACCGTTTCTGGAAAAGAACTGCCCAGCATTCTCCCCATCTTTTCATAAAAGGCTCCAACACATGCCACTGCAGTGCTGCAAAAAGGCAGGATAATCACTAATATTTTCACAGCATTAGACAGAAGGCAAAATATTGTGAGACAAAAACGGGTAATTTTATGCAGCCAGAAATGCAGAAAAATCAAGCCTGCATTTTAGCTAGGCAGAAAATTTTAGAAATGAACAGGTGACAATTCAGAAGGATTATAAACAAGTAAAACATACATTGCAAAACTGTTTTGAATCACATTATTTACACTATCTTTATCCACAAAGTGAATCACATTACTTACGTATTTCAAAATATGTACAACTTGTTAACTAAGGGCTTTTCCAGACAGGCCCTTTATCCCAGGATCTGATCCCAGGTTTTCTGCTTTAAACTGGATTATATGAGTCCACACTGCCAGATAATCTGGGATAAACAGAAAACCTGGAATAAGATCCTGGGATATAGGGCCTGTCTGGAAGGGCCCTAAATATTGTTTGGCATACATTAATAGTGTTTTTCAAGAATGGGTGAAATAATTAAATAAAATGCATCTTTAAAAAAATGAAGTCTTAAAAGTGTGAAATTTAATCCAAGATAGAAAGTTATATTGAACTACTGAACTATAGTTCTTAAAAGACATCCCTGAGTGAATGGTATGTAGGGTCTTAAAAAAACACATCCTGTCTGATGTTGGAAGGTAGGCAGGATCAGCCATGGCTAGTACAGGGATGGAAGTACTAGCAACTAATGAATACTAGGTTCTTTGTCTACTTTCTGAAAATGTTTTGCTGTAAACTTGTATGAATAACAATGTCTTCAACACCACCGAATTTTTACATAAAGTGTCCTCACAATGTTCCATGAAGCAGATTTTTTTGCTGCCCCCCCCCCCCCCCCCCCAAGTAAATGCACAGGAACACATACAGACAGTGCAAACAGCAGTGCTGGAAATGGGTAGTTTAAGCGCATATCTCATATCATTATCTAACCCTATGAATGTGTAACCTACGGGCCCCGGGAAAGGAAGTATCAGGTAGAACAGTTACAGGTAAACAGAGAAGTAGCAATCCTCGCAGTACCTCCCTGTGCTCCCTGGACACTCAAACTGGACACAATGTGCTCTACTATGGCATATTTGAATAAATATATTCATATTTAAACAGTTGATATTAACGTAAGATAACTGATTTTAGTGTTTATGTATATTTACAGTTTGTTTTTGGGCTGGCACTGAATATTTGCCATATATATGTTGTGCTCCGCCCTGAGTCCCCTTCAGGGTGAGAAGGCTGGAATATTAATTTTTTAAAATACATTAATCAATAATCTAGTTCCATCTTGTCTCTTTCAGAATACACAGAATAGATATCAATGCTTTAAAAGTAATGCTACAATCCTATGGAAATTCCTGAAGGATCTCTTTGATTTCAATGAACTTTATTTCAAAATAGAAATAAACAACAGCATGTTCATTAGATGAAACCAAAGGCATTGATATTTAAAGGAAGGATACGTTGCACTGTGCAAATATCCTTTCTTTACATACCAATGTCTTTGTTTCCATCTATCATGTTCCTTCAGCCCCGGAAAAATAATAATGAACAAGTCTTGTGAGAAAACAATATGAAACAGGTGCCACAGTTGCTTCAAAGTATCAGTCACTTATCAGTAAGATACACCAGATCATTTTAAATACAGCACATATTTAAAATAGCACGAGTCTATAAGGAATTTATAATTGGGCAACTACTTGTTCAGCTTCAGCTATTAATAACTGAGCCATTACATTTTCTTACTTGTTAGAACATTCCCTATAATAGTAAACTATTACTTACAGTTTAGTTGGTAAGTAGGCCGAAGTATCATCTTTACTTTTGATAATGTCATTGCACTTATCAAGGGTCTGAAATACAGTAAAGGTGTCTCCAATGCTGTACAGAGCAGCAAGATTTTTAGCAAGTAATTTTCGGGTAGGTGGTCCAGGTGAACTGCTGATAAGACCAGTTAACTGTTCAACAAGCTTTTTTTGTTTTTCTTTGACATCCGTCTGTTAAATAAAACACAAATTCAAATTTCTCTGTTCTGATATTTACATCTCAGCATGCTTAGTTTTGTTGACTGCTATTCAGTTATACTTAATAAATGTCTGGTTGCTCCTGACACGCTAAATAAATAAATACGTTATACTTAATGGAAAAATGGAGGCTATTTTTGGGCAGATAAGTTGTCCCACTTCATGAGTCATCTTACTTTACATCAGTGGTTCTCAACCTGCGGGTCCCCAGATGTTTTGGCCTTCAACTCCCACAAATCCTAACTGCTGGTAAACTGGCTGGGATTTCTGGGAGTTGTAGGCCAAAACACCTGGGGACACTCAGGTTGAGAAGCACTGCTTTACATGAAGGTGTCCTGGCGTCTTGCAATTTGATGGTTCATTAAACAAAGGCAATACTGGTTTTCTGCACTGTCCCATTTACTGGACCTTTTTCAAAAGCACTGATACAATTTTAGTCATTGCATGACATTCCCTGGTTTACAAGATGAAAACAAAGAAATAAGTTTAAAACATCAATTACTGAGCTTCAATGCGGATTGGTACCAACTGCACTTTCTCCAGAGCAAAGGAGTTAGACTCAGTGAGGCATACTTTGGAAAACATATATAAGATGGTCAGAGATCAAACAAGCTCAAAGGTTTTATATATCTGACTTGGGTATTTGGCTGTTTCCAGTGTTCAAGAATGTCCCACCCTGGTTATATTTACCAAAGTGCAGGCACAAAAGCAAAGGGGAAAATATACCTTATTAGCAGCAACAAGGACTTTGTCAAGAAACCGCAGCCATTCAAAAATGAAAACTGGTCGCTTTGCTTCTGTGATCTGAGCTAAAGCCTCTTCATTTAATAACAAACTGTGAGCTAGCTCCATGGTTGGTCAACTTCAGATTTTCTGCGGATGCATTTATTTCCTATTATAGAAATAGATCAACATATTTTGTTCTTTACAGTCCTTAGTCCTAGTAACTGTTCACAAACTACTCATCATTTATTTAATAGCATTTGCATTATAATTCATTTGTGCATACACCTTGTACTAAAAACCTCATGAATTTACAACTCCCTGACTCCATAGCACTGAGCCATGGCAATTCAAGTGGTGTCAAACTGCATCAATTCCAAGTGTGGATGCACCCTGTGTTTTGACTGCAACTCCCAGAAGACGCAGCCAGCTTTACAGTGTTTGGGAACATATCTCTGGTCTGCAACTCTGTCCAGTGGTTCCTAATGTTTGTTCAGATTAGAGAGCTGGGACAAAACCAAAAAAAGGAATTTCAACAGGGAGAAATATTTGATATTACATTAAGGCAATAAAAATGAAATGCACAGATCTAGAATGGGTGACAGCTGGCTTTAAATCAGTCCATGTGAAAGGGATCTAGGCGTCTAAGGCCCCTTCCACACAGCTGAATAAAATCCACATTGAACTGGATTATATGGCAGTGTGGACTCAGATAACCCAGGTCAAAACAGATATCGTGGATTATCTGCCTTGATATATGGCTGTGTGGAAGGGCCCTCAGTAGACCAGAAAGTGAACATGAGGCAACAGTGTGATGCAGCAGCTTAAAAAGTCAATGTGATTCTAGACTGCATCAAAAGGAGTATAGTGCCTAGATCAGGGGTCCTCAAACTAAGGCCTGGGGTCGGATACAGCCCTCCAAGGTCATTTACCCGGCCCTCACTCAGGGTCAACCTAAGTCTGAAACTACTTGAAAGCACACAACAACAACAATCCAATCTCATCAGCCAAAAGCAGGCCCACACTTCCCATTGGAATACTAATAAGCTTATATTTATTAAAATTGTTCTTCATTTTACTTATTGTACTGTTTTAAAGTTTTTTGCACTACAAATAAGATATGTGCAGTGTGCATAGGAATTCATTCATTTTTTTTTTCAAATTATAATCCGACCCTCCAACAGTTTGAGGGACTGTGACCTGGCCCTCTGTTTAAAAAGTTTGTGGACCCCTGGGCTAGATCAAGGGGAGTCTTTCTTTCACTAACTTCTGCTTTTGTTAGACCTCACCTGAAACATGAAACACTGTGTCCAATTTTGGGCACCACCATTTAAGAGAGATATTGGCTAAAATGATCAAATGTCTGGAGACCATGCTCTATGAGGAGCGGCTTATAAAGAGCTGCTTATGTTTAGCCTACAGGAGAGAAAGTTAAGAGGAGACATGGTTGTCATCAGAATTACTTTTTTGTGTGAATGAAGTCAACACTGTGATGGTGCAGCTAAGAAAGCCAATGCGGTTCTAGGCTTCACCAGTGTTGAGATTGAGGAAAACCACAGTCCCACTCTATCCAGCTTTGGTCAGACCTCACCTGGAATAATACTGTGTCTAGTTTTGGGGACCACAATTCAAGGACATTCAATTGACAAGCAAGAAGGTTGTCCAGAGAAAAGCAACTAAAATGATCAAAGGTTTGGAAGCCTTTGAACTGGAATATATGGCAGTGTGGACTCAGATAACCCAGTTCAAAGCAGATATTGTGGGATTATCTGTCTTGATATTCAGGGTTATATGGCTGAGTGGAAAGACCCTGAGTCTACACAGCCATATATTCCAGGGCCTTCCACACAGCCCTATATCCCAGAATATCGTCGGAAAATCCCACATTATCTGAGTGTGGACTCAGGCCTCGTCCATACAGCTGAATAAAATCCCACATTATCTGCTTTGAACTGGGATATATGGCACTGTAGACTCGGATATTCCAGTTCAAAGCAGATATTGTGGGATTATCTTGATATTCTGGGTTACTTACTTACTTACTTTCTGGGTTATAGGGCTGTGTGGAAGGGCCCTGAGTCCACACAGCCCTATATCCCAGAATATCAAGGCAAAAAAACAAACAAACAAACAAACAAAAAACTCACATTATCTGAGTGTGGACTCAGGCCCCTTCCACACAGCTGAATAAATCCCACATCTGCTTTGAACTGAGATATATGGCACTGTGGACCTGGATATTCCAGTTCAAACAGATATTCTGGGTTATATGGCTGTGTGGAAGGGCCCTTTGATAACCCAGTTCAAAGCAGAAATTGTGGGATTCTCTGCCTTGATATTCTGGGATATATGGCTGTGTGGAAGGGCCCCCAGTTCAAATCAGAAAGGCCCTATATCCAAGGGTCTGATCCCAGGTTTTCTGTTCATCCCAGATTGACTGGCAGTATGGACTCATATAATCCAGTTTATGGCAGACAACCTGGGATCAGATCCTAGGATACAGGGACTGTCTGGAAGGGCCCTCAGATAACTCAGGGCCCTTCCACACAGCCTATATCCCAGAATATCAAGGCAGAAAATCCCATATTATCTAATTGTGTAACCCAGTTCAAAGCAGATACTGTGGGATTTTCTGCCTTGATATTCTGGGATAGGGTTGTGTGGAAGGGCCCTCAATTTGAAGCAGATATTGTGGGATTTTCTGCCTTGATATTCTAGGTTATATGGCTGTTTGGAAGGGCCCTGGAAGGCGTTTCCATCTAAATAGAATCATAGAATCAATCATAGAGTCATAGAGTTGGAAGAGACCTCATAGGCCATCCAGTCCAATCCCCTGCCAAGAAGCAGGAATACTGCATTCAAATCACCCCTGACAGATGGCCATCCAGCCCCTGTTTAAAAGCTTCCAAAGGAGCCTCCACCACACTCCGGGGCAGAGAGTTCCACTGCTGAATGGCTCTCAAAGTCAGGAAGTTCTTCCTCATGTTCAGATGGAATCTCCTCTCTTGTAGTTTGAAGCCATTGTTTCACGTCCTAGTCTCCAAGGAAGCAGAAAACAAGCTTGCTCCCTCCTCCCTGTGGCTTCCTCTCACATATTTATACATGGCCATCATATCTCCTCTCAGCCTTCTCTTCTTCAGGCTAAACATGCCCAGCTCCTTAAGCCGCTCCTCATATGAGGAAGAACTTCCACGTGGTAAGACCTGTTTGACAGTGGAATATGCTGCCTCACAGGGTGGTAGAGTCTCCTTATCTGGAGAGTTAAGCAGAGACTGGATGGCCATCTGTCAGGAGTGCTATGATTGCATCTTCCTGCATGGCAGAATGGGGCAGAACAGGGTGGCCCTTATGATCTTGTCCACTGGTCAGCAGTTTAGGAAGCTGAAGCCCCAATCCTATGGGGGAAATTTATGATAGGAAACCCCTAGGGCTGAATGACAGATTAGAGGTATTTCCCCAAAATCTATAACGCCCCAAGCAGTGTCCATGGAGGGCCCACAGCTCAGGGCAAGTAACATATGGGTTGCAAACATCTGTCTATTACTCTCTCTCCCTCCCAAAAAGGGGGCCTATGAGAGGACTCAGGTGCTAGCACTGCAGATTACTATCTCCCATCACAGGGCCTTGCCAACCCACAGATAAAGGGAGCCAACAGGAGCTCCCCCACCTCAATGAAGACCAGCCTCTTCTCAATGCTCTCTCCTGAGCTGAAGGCCGAAACACCCTCTCCCCCCCCCCCGCGCGAAGTCCATCCTCCGTCCTAATTTGTCCCAGCTCCGCACCCGTAGACGCTGCGGTTCTTCTCTCCCTCACCAAAGCCCCCCTCCCCTCCCCCCTCTTCCGACGCTTCCCCGAAGGAAGCAGTCCTTGCTTCTCGCACACCGACCTTTCCTGACGGTCCTCGGCCCTTGGCAAAAGGCGACACACACCCGACGCCGCCATTCCCGGCGTATAGGATGGCAGCCGACCTTCCCCACACAGCCAGCTGAGGAAGCACCGGCTGGGGCGCATGCGCACTAGAGACCCAGGAAGCGAGGGGGCCGCCGCAGGTACGCATGCGCGGCTGGCCAAGTGAGCCTCTCGCAGAGCGGCTGCTCAATGGTAAGAGGGAAACCTGGGAAGTAAATTGGGAGGGAATGGGTCAGGGCGCAGTGGTTTCCAACCTTTGGGCCTCCAGGTGTTTCGGGGGGGGGGGGGGGGCTGAGTCTGAGTGAAAGAGGGTCTACCCTAGCAAACCTTTTGTATCATTACCCCAATACCCCCATGCATATGGGATGTATTGAGTATAGTGATCAGATCATGATATGAATAAACATAACAGTTTAAATAATGCACCAGTAAGGCCTTTTCGCGAACCACCATGAGAATTTCGGGGGGGGGGGGGGGTGAAGCCCCTCAACCCCCCCCCCGGGCTACATGTTGAAGCCCCAAACATCTGGAAACGACTGGCTTAAGGCATTGTGGATGAGTGGCTAGTAATAGATCACATTAGGGGTGCATCTGCACTGCAGAATTAATGCAGTTTGTCACCACTTTAGGGCTCAATGCTATGGAATCCTGGAAATTGTAGTTTTGCGAGGCACCAGCACTTTGGGAAGAGAAGACTAAAGGCCTATTATTATTATTATTATTATTATTATTATTAAACTTTATTTGTACCCCGCTAGCATCTCCCGAAGGACTCGATGTGGCTTACAAAGGCCAAGGCCTCAACATAACAACAACAAACAATAACAATGCAAGCAACTTAAAAACATAAGCAATAACACAACAAAACATTACACTATTACACAATAAAATCAGGGCCGGGCCAATGATGGGTACAGGTTAAAAGTGCTGGGTGTGTGAGGTGGTATGTTGGAGTTCTGGGCAAATGCAATGTGCAGAGAGTATTAAACTCTAATAAAGTGCTTCTGGGACAAAGTGCTGGAGGTTATCCTATTCTGGAAAGGCACATCGAAATGACCAAGTCTTCAAGTTCTTCCTAAAGACTGCCAACGTGGGTGCTAGTCTAATGTCTTTGGGGAGGGTGTTCCAAAGTCGGGGGGCAACCACAGAGAAGGCCCTGTCCCTCGTCCCCACCAATCGTGCCTTACAAAACTACAACTCCTATGAGTCCGTAGCATTGAGCCATGGCAGTTAAAGTGGTGTCAAACTGCATTAACTGTATTATTTATTTATGTATTTCTATCTTGCTTTTCTCCCAATCAGAATTCAAAGAGCCAAACAAACAAGTAATAAAAAACATTATAGAGCATAACAATAAGCATAATCATAACACCAACATATCGAATAAACACGATAAAACTGGCAACATAAATAGATAACACGACACAGTTTAAACATTCAAGAAAGTTTTTAAAATCTCATCTGGTATCCATGCCTAGGCCATAGTCAAGTCCGTTGAATATATACAGTAGCTATATACCTATTAACACAGGCATCACAAATAAACAACAACATTTTAATTTTTAAAAGATTAACCAGTGTACTGTGGAATGCTCTTTTGTGTCCACCAAGTACATCATGTATTGGCTAGGGGAAATATGTGTGTGTGTGTCAAATCTGATCCTGAAATCTTTGTACCATATAAACTTAATGGGCACTTTTTTCTGTAACAGAGACATGGAAATGATGGGGACCAGACCTTGCTAAGAGAAGAATTTGGAGAATCAGAAAGTTCTCCAGGATCAATTTCACGTGGTTTTGTGACCTACAATTATTACTTATTCTTAACTGAGAGTTATTATAAGAAACAGGCCAGTTAAAGTTTTAAAAGCCTAACTATTCAGAGAAAGCTTTCATTTCGGAGCATTCTAAAATCTAACAAAATATAATTTATAAGCAAAGCGATTGAAGCTGAATATTGATACGGAGCATGGATGATGAAGAAGATGACTACATGTCCGATTCCTTTATTAATACTAAGTAAGTAGATCATTTCTCTAAACTTAATGCTCATTGCCTGGTATATATGGTAGCATTAGTCAAAATGCCTTTGTGGAATTGTAGGTATTTGAGAAATATTTGGTAGTAGATAAAAGGTCTTGCTAATATGGCATTCTTTTAAAGCAGGGGTCTTCAAACTTTTTAAGCAGAGGGCCAGGTCACAGTCCCTCAAACTGTTGGAGGGCCGGATTATAATTTGAAAAAAACATGAACGAATTCCTATGCACACTGCACATACCTTATTTGTAGCGCAATAAACACCTGAAAACAATACAATGATTAAAATGAAGAACAATTTTAACAAATATAAACTTATTAGTATTTGAATGGGAATTGTGGGTCTGCTTTTGGCTGATGAGATAGGATTGTTGTTGTTGTTGTTTGCTTTCAAGTCATTTCAGACTTAGGTTGACCCTGAGTGAGGGCTGGGTAAATGACCTAGGAGGGCTGTATCCGACCCCCGGGCCTTAGTTTGAAGACCCCTGTTTTAAAGGATATATGGATAACAACAACATTCTAATGTTACCCAAGACCTTTGGGCAGAACCTGGAATACTAGGAAAGACCAAAATATAGTTGGTGAAATCTTAGATGACAATCCAAATGTATCCCTGTCATTATCTTTTTTATATTAGTAACTTATATCCACTTGGAATGGCACAAATTGATTCACAGTATCCTTGTTGTATTCTTTCTGACTTTTGGCAGTCTTATGGTGGGGTTTTCTTGGCATTACTTGCTCTGAGAAGAATTGATTTTGGTTTTCTCTGAAGCTGAGGAAGTTTCCGTAACTGAGCATGGAGTTGAACCCATTCTCCAGAGTTGTAGTCCAGTGTGAATCACAAAGTACAGATATAAACCAGATCTCTCAGTAATGCACAAAATTCTATATAATAATGATATTAATGAACATAAAAACATGTTTCAGGGAGGAATTTTTACTTTATACTCTTTATAATCTATTATTGTTTTACTTTTGCTCAGCCAGGATGTCAGACCAGGAATACCATTGCCAAGGCGCATGAAAGAAACCTTTAAGAAAGAAGAAAAACAAAAAGAAGCCAATGAGAAAAGTAGGCAGAAAAGTATAAAAGAACAGGAGAAAGAACAACGTGACACAGTTTTAAATATTGCATTGGGCAATGAAAACAAAGGTTTTGCTATGCTTCAGAAGATGGGCTACAAAACTGGGCAACCTCTTGGCAAAAGTGGTGAGTTTTTCAATTTACAGTTTTGAAGATGTGGCTGTAATGTCACCGCTAAAAAATCCCACTGTGATTCTAGGCTGCATCAGTAGGAGCATAGATTGAGGGAAGTCATGGATAGTCCTTGGGGTCTCTTCTATCTCTATCATTCTCTATAGTACCAGCATCTAGTGTTTTAATGCTTAAAATAAAGTGAAGAATATATGATTATATCAGATGTTGCCAGACTGCAGTTCTCATCAGCCCTCGGCCACATCATCTGTGGGGAGGAATCATGGGAATTCTAGTCCAACAAGAAGTCCTACAGGTCTGCCTCCAAAGAAGTTTGTTTGTAACCTATGTTTGTACAGAAGTAATTTCCTGCAAGTGATGAAGCATCCAGACGACTGGGAAAGTTAGAGTCAATGTTAGATAAGAGATTGATTGCTTTGGTAACTGCAGGTGTAGAGAAATGGATTTGGCAAGTGAGCCAGTTTTCTATGCCACTAAAACAATTATTGGTACCTAGACATGTTTGCTGTAGTCTCTTGAGGTGGAGGGGAAACAATCAATTCCTGCTTCGGCATTATATCGAGGAAAAAACAATGTTCTCAAATGGAAAAAAGTATCAAGGTTTTATTTATTTGTTTGTTTGTTTGCAGTATTTATATACCACCCTTCTCAACTCCAAAAGGGGTCTCAGGGCGGTTCAGAGTGTTGGCAACAATTCAATGCCATTGATAAAAAACAGTATAGAACATCAAAATTGACCCTCCCCTGATAAAATATTAAGTATTATTGAACACACCACATAAAATAACATCACATATCACACAAAGACATAGCCGTTGTCCATAAACAATCCTGGGTCATTGCACTTTCAACTTTCACTTTAAATATTCCTATGATGGGCCGAGCGCTTGGTTCCACAGCCAGGTCTTTAGCTGTCTCCTAAAGGTCAGGAGGGAGGGGCAACATGTTACTATTTCACAAAAAGTTACAAATGTTTTAATGATCTATGAAGTTACCAAGTTTTATCAACCATTTTGAGCCCAAAACAAATCTAAAAAATTAACTGAAAATGGAGAATATCTCATGAGGCCTTATGACTGAGGCTAAGGGGTTGTTTATGTGCAGAGAAAGGCATCTAACAGTAATCATTTGAAACTTTGTGCCCCACCATTTTAAATGACAAAGGCTTTCATTCATGAGTAGTTCATAGTTACAGAGATTTGGCGATTTCAAATGGGCCCACCTTTTTTGAGACACCCTGTATATCAAAGTAGCAAAGCCTCTTGAGAAGAGCTGACAGAGACTTAGAAATACCACATAGCATTGTTGAAAAACCTCAATGTTTAAAAAAATTGGACTGCATTTCAGAGAAGGCAACCTATCTTTAATGGATGTCATTTTAGTGATCAAGAAAAAAAGGATTCTGATATGGATGTGAAAGATGAGACAGAACAGGTGAAAGATAGCTCCTGTGCGGAGTGCTTTTTAACATCTACTGTGAGTGTTTTCATTTTCCACAGGGAAAGGGATTGTTGAGCCCATTCCTCTCAACATAACCACAGGTTTGTGACAAATCTACCCTCTCTAATTTTTTAAATTCAAACACAATAAAGCTCAGCTTGTTAAAGTTGTGTTTTGAATTTGGAACAGGCAGGAGTGGGATCGGACATGAAGAAGTAAAGAAACGGAAAGCTGCCGAAGACCTGGAAAGCTATAGAAGAAAAATGCATATGAAAAAGCAAGCAGAACAGCAGACAGCTGATCTCTTCAAGTAATGACAGACTCAAATTTATACAGTTTTTAACCTGCAATAACACTTGTATATTTAGAAGATGAGTGACAGTTCAATGTGGTTCACACCACACTTTTAATGCACAAAGTCCTAGGCTTAATTCCTGGCATCTCCAATTAGTTTGGTTTCTTTGAAATCCTGTATTTGGCTTGATACAGAAAAAGCTTCCTTGGAATATGTAATGGGGTCGATTAACCTGTAAAGCAAAGCTATGCAACTCCTCAAAATCCCTCTAATGTTTTAAGACTAATAATAATAATACTTTATTTATATCCCACCACCATCTCCCCAAAGGGACTCAAGGCCGCTCACAAAAACACTTGAAAGTGCAACACACATAAAATACACAGTACATGAACATACAGGGTGAGGCAGCATAACTTCCTTTTTTTAAATGCACGCCATTCAGTCGGTTGAAGATGTAGCAGAGCGCTAGCGGTCTCGTTCGAGAGGCGGGAGTATAAAGTTTTGTCCTGACACAGTTCAGTCGCCATCATGCATTGAAAGTGAGGAGCTGCTTTTGCCATTGAGGCCTACTTTTTGAGCAAATTTGGAGTGGCCAGCCCACTCACAAGATTTGGCCCCTTGTGATTTTTTTCTATGGGTTTTTTTGAAATCCCGTATTAATGTGAACCGTCCAAGGACCCTACAAGATTTGAAGACCAACGTCCAGGAAGAAATTGCCAACATAACGCCTGCTATGCTGGCAAGCGTCATGACAAACGCCAGAAATTGGTTAACTCAGTGTATAGAGAATGGGGGATGTCACCTACCTAATTTGATCTTCAAAACTATGTAAAACAAAACTTTAGGTATGTGCCTAAATTATATTAAAAAAATCTGATTCATACAATGGGTTTTATTAAGTTTTGAAAAAAGGAAGTTATGCTGCCTCACCCTGTATAAAGAAATGGCAATGTTAATTTACATAACAAATTTACATAAAACATCATAAAAACCCTTATCACCCCAGCCAGCACAACAAATGGTAAGGGATTGTCGTTGACCAGTATCAGATTGTCTTGCCTCTTTCTAACTAACCCAACAAGGAAAAATTATACATAAAATATAAACCAAGTCATGCTTTTTAGCCAGTGATACAAAGCACACATATAGATTGGAACTATATAGTCAGTCCTCTAATGTTGACTTTCAGGGAAGGAGGTTTGTATTCTAATGACTTTCTTAAGAAAAGTATAGTTAATTATATTTTGAGAATAATGTGCATGGATTTTCTGCTCAAATAGTAATAACTTCAATGCTTTCATTTATTGAGAGACACCATGTAGGTATGTTTGCAGAACTGACTTTAATGCTTATTGTTATTTTAATTAAAAGAATGAGACTAAGGACAAAACAAGAGCAGCTGCAAGTCAAACGGGACCTTGAGAAAAGTCAGAAAGCCTGTCAACAATTAGATATGCAAAAAGTAAGTTTGCATTTAGAAACTGTTTTTAGTTAAAAATGTGAAGAATACTTTAAATATTACTCCTCCTTAACAAATTTCAGCTTTTCAGTGCTGTAAAAAATCTTTGATGAGGAAACCTACACCTCTTCCCATCACAAATATTTCAATGAGTATTCATTGGGGTTTTCCCCCTAAAAATATTCCTATAATCTTTACAGACTAAAGGAGAGATTACAAGAGTTCGCAAATCCTATGTGGATTTCTTTGCAATTTTAAATTGCCTTTGCTGTACTGTTTTAGTGTATTTAGAACAGGCATGGCCAAACTTCAGCCTTCCAGGTGTTTTGGAAGGCCTAAGAAAGAATTGTGGGAGTTGAAGGCCAAGCACCTGAATGGACGAAGTTTGCCCATGCCGAATTTAGAACATTAAAGGAAATTTGTATCTTTTTCTGTTACCAAATTGCTAAGAAATTACTTAAGTAGAATATCAGTTCTTTCTGTATTCTTAAGGGTCTTGAACTCCCCAAAGAGATTTGGTATTGGATAATATCAGACAATGAAAAAGAAGATGCAGAGGAAGAAGAAGAGGAGGAGGAGGAGGAGGAGGAGGAGGAAGAACACAAAGTAAGCCTGTCTTCTAATATTGTAGAGGTGGCTGACTAATAGTTCCACTTTTTAGAGATCCATGGTAGTTACTAAGCCAGATACCTTGTGGGAAGACAACAAGAATATTAAATGCTAAACAATGTTGTTCCTTTTCTGCCATGGCCCTTGCCACTATCAGTCCAACGTCTACTTGAATCTCTGCTGATAAATTGCCCTTTCACACCTGTTTGCTCTTCCCTTCTGAAGATCTTTGCTGGTTGGGAAATTCTAGAGATTTTCAAAAATTGTAAATTTTCCAAGTTTTGCATCAGATTAGTATCAGGTCTTGGCTTTCTCCATTTGACTCCACTTGAGCTAACATCTCAACTAGCCTGTCTAGCTTCTTTAGCTGGCTGTGCATATCACTATTCTTTAAGGCAGGTCTACATAATATACAGTCTGTGGGCCAGACGCAGCCCGCAGAGGACTTCCCTGCAGCCTGAGGAAGGCAGGCAAGGGAAGGGCCAATCAGCAAGGGGAAGCCAGCCCCTTTGACAGCCTTGTGCAGGAAAAGGGGGCAGCAGAGACAGGGCCAGGATAAATTGGTGATCATGTTGCAGCCTATTATGATTAAGCATGGAGGGAGGAGTGGTTTGTAGAAGGGTTTTTTTTAAAAAAAATGGCCGTTGACAACTGCCAAGTTGTGCAGACCTGCTTTGATGTATTTGAACCCTTTTGCTTCTTTTGGAGTCCACCAAGCTTTGGGTGGCCTTTATATTCTTTCAGGTGTCCTGTTCTGTTTATTGGCAGTGCAGATCTGGTACCACAGTGCATCTTTTTTGTCTCTCCATCCACCCTTTCTCCACCTCTTGTGATTCAGGGATCTGGAATGTGATGTGGGAAATGTTTGCCATTCTCAATGAGGAGGGAAATTAGAAAAGTAGCTGATTAACTGGGCATCCTTGTGATAAAATGGTGACAGCTTTGTACCATTCTTTGCACCTTGCTGGTATCTCTTTGCTACCTAAGAATAAATGAAGGAGGAGTGCAGAAAAACCCGGAGATAACCGAATTAAACAAAAAATTCTGCATGAAATACTTTCTCTGATACTTCTGCAGTAGATTTTCAAGGTCCGTTAATTGTTTCCATTTTAACCAGTGTATTATTACATGACATATACTGCTTCATTTTCAGTTGATGAATAAAATTTATTTTCTGGTTCTGCTCATGAAATCACAAAAGGTAGCTGGAAAGTTGCATTTTTTTCCCTGCTCCAGCATTTGATGGAGCCTCTCCTTTCTTTTCGTGTAGTTTTCAAAAATTGTTATCCTTTTGAATGACATTGGGTTTGACTTTGTATTTATGTACACAATTTTGATAACTATGCAACATCCTTTGGGGGGGGGAAACCTTCTCTAACATTGGTTCACCACTTGAAATCAGAGTGGTGGATGAAAATGCACTGGGCTTCATGTAATTGTATCTCAGTAACATGTGTCTCGTTGGGAAGCTTAAGTAAACATTTTGCCTCTGGTTTCATTTAGCACACTCCAATATTTGAAGCCAGAAAGTAATCCCTAGTAAGCTGCCTAGTGTGCTTGGGATTCTTGTGGTTCCCCCCATCAGGTTTGCTTTACAGTTGTTTAATGCCATGTATCCTTCCAGCAACACCGCTGCTCAATAACTGTATGCAGCATTCCTCTGGACCCTTTTAAGTGCAAATATTACTAAGATAGCACAATAGTGGGCAAAGCAGTTTCAGCCTTAGCTGAAGTAGCTAATGAAAGAGTTTGCAAGTTTGGGTTAAAATAACAACCAGAGAGGCATAGATTGCCCCCTTATGTGATGTAGCACATAACACCTGCTTTCAAAAAACTCAACAATAATTTTGTTTTTCCCTCTGCTTCTCTACATGAGCAAGGAAAAGAGGAATGAGCTGTCACTGAGTAAACACTTTGAGGTACCACCTGAGATAAGTGAGTGGGACAGTGAGTGGGTACTGGTTCTGCCTTGTCCATACATGGAAACAAAACCGAGGTGCCAGCCATCAAAAGTCTCTGACTGACTTCAGATAGGGACCCAAATCATGTTGGGAGCATGTCCCCATCCACAATCTGCAGGAAGGTTTGAGGGCATTTTCCCTCTTATTTTTTCCCCAAAAGATTTTTATTTAAGGAATTAAAATCTTTCACTAATGAAGATGTCAGAGAAGGCAGAAGTGCACATAGAGCTTTTAGTGCTAGTGAAAAGATGGAAGGCAAACAGAACACCAAGTAACCAGGCAATTAGTTCATGGACAGGTTGCAAACATACCGTAAGTAAACTGGGAAGACTTTTATTACGATTATTAGCGGATGCTCCAGCAAAGGATCACCGCCTTGTCGGGGCGCTGGAGCTTGAGCACCTCAATGATGTCATGAGCGAAACCGTGAAGGGACACCCAAGACGGGACGGTTGTGGCAGAGAGGTCAGACCAAGCGTGATCCCTGGGGAAGGCAATGGCAAACCACTCCAGTATCCTTGCCAAGAAAATTAAATGGACCAGTACAACCAGAGATATGTCGGTATGCCATTGGAAGATGGGACTCCCAGGTCGGAAGATGGCCAAAATGCTACTGGGGAGGAGCAGAGGATAAGTTCAACTAGCCCCAGATGTGATGACGCAGCTAGCTCAAAGCCGAAAGGAAGGCTAGCGGCCGACGGTACTGGAGGTGAACGACGAATCCGATGCTCTAAAGATCAACACACCATAGGAACCTGGAATGTAAGATCTATGAGCCAGGGCAAATTGGATGTTGTGATTGGTGAGATGTCAAGACTAAAGATAGACATTCTGGGGGTCAGCGAACTGAAATGGACTGGAATGGGCCACTTCACATCAGATGACCACCAGATCTACTACTGCGGACAAGAGGAACATCGAAGAAGTGGAGTAGCCTTCATAATTAATAAGAAATTCGCTAAAGCGGTGCTTGGATACAACCCAAAAAATGACAGAATGATCTCAATTCGAGTGCAAGGAAAGCCTTTCAACATTACAGTGATCCAAATATACGCCCCAACCACAGCTGCTGAAGAAGCAGAAGTAGATCAGTTCTATGAGGATCTGCAGGAACTACTGGATAATACACCAAAAAGAGACATATTTTCATTACAGGAGACTGGAATGCCAAGGTGGGAAGTCAAATGACAACTGGGATCACAGGCAAGCATGGTCTGGGAGAACAAAATGAAGCGGGACGCAGGCTGATAGAATTTTGCCAGGAAAACTCGCTGTGTATAACGAATACTCTCTTCCAACAACCTAAAAGACGGCTTTATACATGGACCTCGCCAGATGGTCAACACCGAAATCAGATTGACTACATCCTTTGCAGCCAAAGGTGGCGGACATCCATCCAGTCGGTGAAAACAAGACCTGGGGCTGACTGTAGCTCAGATCACGAACTTCTTATTGCCCAATTTAGAATAAAACTAAAGAGATCAGGGAAAATAAACAGACCAGTTAGATATGATCTCACTAACATTCCTAGCGAATATACAGTGGAAGTGAAGAACAGATTTGAAGGACTAGATTTAGTAAACAGAGTCCCAGAAGAACTATGGACAGAAGTCCGAGACATTGTTCAGGAGGCGGCAACAAAGTACGTCCCAAAGAAAAAGAAAAACAAGAAGGCAAAATGGTTGTCTGCTGAGACACTGGAAGTAGCCCAAGAAAGGAGGAAAGCAAAAGGAAACAGGGATAAGGGGAGATATGCCCAGTTAAATGCGCAATTCCAGAGGTTAGCTAGAAGAGATAAGGAACTATTTTTAAATAAGCAATGCATGGAAGTGGAAGAAGACAACAGAATAGGAAGGACAAGAGACCTCTTCCAGAAAATTAGAAAAATTGGAGGTAAATTTCAGGCAAAAATTGGTATGATAAGAAACAAAGATGGCAGGGACCTAACAGAAGCTGAAGAGATCAAGAGAAGGTGGCGAGACTATACAGAAGATCTGTATAGGAAGGATAATAATATTGAGGATAGTTTTGACGGTGTGGTGAATGAATTAGAACCAGACATCCTGAGGAGGGAGGTTGAATGGGCCTTAAGAAGCATTGCTAACAACAAGGCAGCAGGAGACGACGGGATCCCAGCTGAACTGTTTAAAATCTTAAAAGATGCTGCTGTCAAGGTGATGCATGCCATTTGCCAGCAAATATGGAAAACACAAGAATGGCCATCAGACTGGAAAAAATCAACTTATATCCCCATACCAAAAAAGGGAAATGCGAAAGACTGCTCAAACTTCCGTACAGTGACCCTTATTTCTCATGCCAGTAAGGTAATGCTCAAGATCCTGCAAGGAAGACTCCAGCAATACATGGAGCGAGAGTTGCCACATGTTCAAGCTGGGTTTAGAAAAGGCAGAGGAACGAGAGACCAGATTGCCAATATCCGCTGGATAATGGAGAAAGGCAGGGAGTTTCAGAAAAACATCTATTTCTGCTTCATTGACTATTCTAAAGCCTTTGTGTGGATCATAATAAATTGTGGCAAGTTCTTGGTGGGATGGGCATCCCAAGCCACCTTGTCTCTCTCCTGAGGAATCTGTATAAGGATCATGTAGCAACAGTAAGAACTGACCATGGAACAACAGACTGGTTCAAGATTGGGAAAGGCGTACGGCAAGGCTGCATCCTCTCACCCAACCTTTTTAACTTGTATGCAGAACACATCATGCGATGTGCGGGGCTGGATGAATGCAAAGCTGGGGTGAAAATTGCTGGAAGAAACATTAACAACCGCAGATATGCAGATGACACCACTCTGATGGCCGAAAGCGAGGAGGAGCTGAGGAGCCTTCTAATCAAGGTGAAAGAAGAAAGCGCAAAAGCCGGGTTGCAGCTAAACGTCAAAAAAACCAAGATTATGGCAACAAGAATGATTGACAACTGGAAAATAGAGGGAGAAACCGTGGAGGCCGTGACAGACTTTGTATCTCTAGGTGCAAAGATTACTGCAGATGCAGACTGTAGCCAGGAAATCAGAAGACGCTTACTTCTTGGGAGGAGAGCAATGTCCAATCTCGATAAAATAGTAAAGAGTAGAGACATCAGACTGGCAACAAAGATCCGCCTAGTCAAAGCCATGGTATTCCCTGTAGTAACCTACGGATGTGAGAGCTGGACCTTAGGGAAGGCTGAGCGAAGGAAGTTCGATGCTTTTGAGCTGTGGTGTTGGAGGAAAGTTCTGAGAGTGCCTTGGACTGCGAGAAGATCCAACCAGTCCATCCTCCAGGAAATAAAGCCCGACTGCTCACTGGAGGGAAAGATACTAGAGACAAAGTTGAAGTACTTTGGCCACATCATGAGGAGACAGGAAAGCCTAGAGAAGACAATTATGCTGGGGAAAATGGAAGGCAAAAGGAAGAGGGGCCGACCAAGGGCAAGATGGATGGATCCTTGAAGTGACTGGATTGACCTTGAAGGAGCTGGGGGTGGTGACGGCCGACAGGGAGCTCTGGCGTGGGCTGGTCCATGAGGTCACGAAGAGTCGGAGACGACTGAACGAATGAACAACATTAGCGGATGATACCAGGTGCTTCAAGGTGTAACCTGCTTTCAATTTTCATTATTAACTAGGCCTTTTAAACAGTATTATTAAAAAAAAACAACCACAGTATTGGACATATATTTGTCCTTTCATGAATACAAGGAACCCAAATCCAGTGGAGTTTTCTGCAGGAGGAAGGAAGGCAACTGGGAGTATCGCTGCAAGTGGAAAAGGGAATTAGCAAAAATATCCCCCTCCTTTTTCCAGTAGGAAGGTCCTGTAGATACTCTGGATCCCATCGATTAAAGATAATGTCCAATAACTTGTCCATCACTTAGATAGCATAATGTTATACTAGTGCAGTGGTGCTCAACCTGTGGGCCCACAGATGTTTTGACCTTTAATTCCCAGATATCCTAACAATCGGTAAATTTGCTTGGATTTCTGGGAGTTGTAGGCCAAAACACCTGGGGACCCACAGGTTGAGAACCACTGTCCTAGTGGAACTAGATTGCACCACTAGTAATATGGTCATGCACTTTCCCATTATGCAACAGTCAATCCAGCTGTTCACTCACAAATATGAACCACGCCCTTAAAGATTATACACAGTACTGAATGGGATACACTGTTGTTGTCTGAAACAAGGTAGCCACATGAGAAGCAGCATTTCTCCCAGCATAAAGGCATAACAGAATTCTGATTTACATTTACATTTGCAAATCTAAGGTCATGTGCACCTTAGATTGCTAGAATATCTTCAGTGGACATTTTGTATTAATATGTACAGTAATTCTGTTGTGCTTTTTAACAAAAACAGGAATCAGAAAAGTTGCAAATTCTGACAGCGTATTTAAGGAAAGAATACTTTTATTGCATCTGGTGTGGCACAGCATATGAAGGTAAGCATAAACCCCCTTTTCCCTATTAATTAAAAAGTACTAACACTGAAGTAGTAATTCTCCATCTTATTTTTCAGTTGTTCTGCTGGTGGAAACCTTTTAAAATTAATGTGGCTTTTTTGGTCTTCTGGCTGAATTGATAAATAATATCTAATTACAGATATAAATTGATAACCAAGCTGCTATCCTGGATCTCTCGGGGCATACAGTGTTTTCTGTAATGGCACTCTCAGCACTAAGATAGCTCACATTGGGCCAGAAAATCCAGATCCAATTCCTCTGTGACCCAATTTCATCTTCAGATCAGGACAAAGGCATCTTTCTGAAAAGAAGTGTTCCATGTCCTGATTAGCTGCTTTTGCTCATCTGAGATCTTTAAAGGTTGTCATGTAAAGAATAATCCTTCTGTGTTCTCTTGCTGAGGGAACAGCATCTGCTATCAAAGATGTGTGCTTTGGAGCATTAGGAGAACTTTTCAGAGTGGTTTTTGAGGTACATACAGAATTGCACAAGTAATCTCTTTATATCTCGCTGTTCTTTATTACACTGGTGCTTGCTTTCTTATTTAAATTGCTTACAAGAAGACTTCAAATATTGCCCTTGAATTTCTTGATTTTGTTCTTGCTCCATGTGTGGGTGCTCATCATAATAAATGTGTCACGAGATGGGTTTGTGAAATGATTAATAGATTCCAAATCACGACCTCCCTGAACCGCTGCACTCTGGATAGAAGGTGTCCCAGAAGCAAGCAAAATACAGCAGAGTCCTTTCTCAGAAAAAAAACATGCTTCAGCCCGTCTGTCAGCAGAGTCCCAACTGTATCTCACCTCACCTACACACGGTTTAGTAAACTCCTGGATTCAAGTTTTCATCCAAAATATCCAGAGGCTTTAATTTTCAGCATTGCAATATATACAAATGTACAGTAGGGATACACAGATCCATTTTCACGCTTGTCCTTACAAACGATCAGACTGCCTGAGAGTCAAGATACAGAATAGATAGATACTGACAAAGAGTCACACAGGAGAGAGATGAAACCTTTCATCCCCCTTCTATATTCCTGGCAGGTTGTCAGGAAGGGACAATGGATAATTTAATCCCTTTGCATTACACCTCACATGGTTATGACTCAACCATTACCACATCCCCTTAGGTATTTCATCGTGACATTCATAGTGATTTCCCAGATGCTATCAATATTTCACATGCTCATCAAATTCAGGTAATTTTTTGTTAGGTCATGCTTGATTTAACCTGTAAGCATCATGTTATAACTTGTTTTTATAAGCGGGATTATTTTGGTTATTATGTTTTATCTATTTAAAAAAGTTATAGCATGATACTTATAAATTAAATCAAGTCTGACCTAACAAAAATTATCTGAATTTGATGAACATGTGGAATATTGATAGCATATTGATAGCTTTTTATAAGCGGGTTTATTTTGGGTTATTATGTTTTATTTGGGGGGGGGGGTGCTGATGGTGCAATGGGTTAAACTGCTGAGCTGCTGAATTTGCTGACCAAAAGGTCGGTGGTTTGAATCCAGGAAGCAGGATGAGCTCCTGTTGTTAGCCCAAGCTTCTGCCAAACTAGCAGTTTGAAAACATGCAAATGTGAAATCAATAGGTACCATGCAGTCATGTCAGCGACATGACAAAGGAGATGTCTCCAAATGCCAGCTCTCCAGCTTAGAAATGGAGGTGAGCACTACCTCCCAGAGTTGGACACGACGAGACTTAATGTCAAGGGGAAACCTTTATCTTTGTTTTTTCTGGTAACTGTACTGAGGCACTGCATGTTTGCCGTTTCATTTGCTTGGAATCTGCCGAGTCCCCTTGGGAAGATAGGGCAGAATATAAATAAAGTTTTATTATAATACTAGCCGTTCCCTGCCACCCATTGCTGTGGCCCAGTCTGGTGATCTGGAAAATAAAGTAATGAGAAAGTGTTGATTACTAATATATGTAATTTCTTTATGCTTGTGGAAAAACAGTATTTCTTGTTATTTCTTTGTCAGTGTTGAGGTGGAGATTTTCTGGTTTGCCTACTCTGGGATATGTAACATATAATTGCCCTTTCAAATCTATGATACTATATCTGGGTGTATGTGAATCATATATATCTATCTATATCTATGGCTGGATGGCTCTTTGTCAGGAGGGCTTTGATTATGTTTTCTTGCCCTGGTGAAGAGAGTTGGACTGGATGGCCTTAAGTATTTTCTGTTGGCCATGGGGGTTCAGTGTGGGAAGTTTGCCCCAATTCTGTTGTTTGTAGGGTTCAGAATGCTCTTTGATTGTAGGTGAACTATAAATTCCAGGAACTACAATTCCCAAATGTCAAGGTCTATTTCCCCCAAACTCCATCTGTGTTCATATTTGGGCATATGGAATATTTGTGCCAAGTTTGGTCCAGATCCATCATTGTCTGAGTCCACAGTGGTCTCTGGATGTAGTTGAACTACAATTCCCAAACTCAAGGTCAATGCCCACCAAACCCTTCTAGTGTTTTCTGTTGGTCATGGGAGTCCTGTGTGTCACCTTTGGTTCAATTCCATCATTGGTGGAGTTTAGAATGCTCTTTGATTGTAGGTGAACTATAAATCCCAAGAACTACAACTCCCAAATGACAAAATCAAAAAATTTTGAGTGAAGGACATACATTGGGTTGTTAGGTGTATGCTGTCCAAATTTGGTGTCAATTCTCCCTGGTTTTTGAGTTCTGTTAATCCCACAAACGAACATTACATTTTTATTTATATAGATACACACACATACACATATACATACATACACTTCTCCCTTATATCGGTGTGACATATCTCTTTTGGCACTTGTATAACCTCACTTTTTATAACTTACAGATCAAGAAGATCTATCTTCAAACTGCCCTGGAGACACTTTCGCAGATCATGAATAGTGCTCTTATCAAGGAAAACAGGATCAAAAAGTCTGCTTAAGATCTATGCAGGGATCTGGGTTCATGAGGCAACCGACTACTTTAGAAGACCACATATTTTTATAAACTGAAGTATTTTGTGAAGTGTTTTATGTTTAAAATAGGAACTTGGTGAATGAATTTCTAATCATTTGGAAGTGCACCCATAAAATGGAAGTTGGAAACAGGAGTTGTGCAAATCACTTGACTGTAACATGGCCGAATGGTATTTTCTTTCAAAATGGAATACAAAAACACAGCAAAGCAGCTGAAAGTCCCTGACCGTTTTCTCCCATTTTAAGATAGGCACCAGCCCTTTTTACCTGTTCATACATTATGTCAAGGGTGTGACATCCCTAATGAAATAGGACAGTGTAGCTGAAGAAGTCCTAAGTGGTAGTCATGGGGCATCTGTGATAAAATTTGGGAGTAAACCCTGCTCAGTAGCTCTTTTTTCTGAATAAATGAACAAATGTAACACTTTACTATTGACCATTGTTTTGTCAATATGATATGAATGGGTTTAAACACTTTGTTTTATATACACATTTATAACTTGAATAACTTGGAAGGCATAGTGTTCACTCTCATTTGTCTCACTGTCGTTTGTAATTAGTAGTATGTAAGTTGGATGTCTATAACCCGAGGACCACTGGTATAAATGTAGAATCTATACATCCAAGGAATCTGTTTTAAAACAAAGCAGCTCTTTCAACTAGGACCTAAAGCTGACGAGTGTCTTGAGAGCCTAAAGACACCACCCAGTTCAAGGCAGGATTTTCAGAATTTTAAAGAACTACGCCCGTAGCTCTCAACACCCTCTCCTCAATTTTTCAATTATTGCTTTGCCAACTGGTTGACCAATCTCTCCCATATAGCTATATATGTATTCCCAATTTAAAGAAGTGGACTTTAGAAAATGATTCTGAAAAAGAAAGCAGTAGGGCTTGAGATGTATTTGTGGTCTCTCGCAGTCTCCTGAGACTTGCAGTCCGTATTAATATGGTGTAGGGCAGCAGCAAATCATGAAGGTGTAACCATTTTTTAAATCAGTGATTCCCATCCTGTGGTCCGTGGACCACCAGTGGTCTGCGAGAACTAAAATATGGTCCGCGACCTCACTGTTACTACACGGTTGCAACAAGAGCGACTGGTCCGACAAAACCCTCTTATAGTGCCGAAGCTTAATAAACATGGTTTGCTGCGGGCGAGCAGGTAGTGACTACTGGATGGCATATGTTCTGTATCAGAAACTAGAGCTGATGTGGTCTATCCAATGTAATTTTATGAATCAGAACCCCAAATACTAAACTAAAGTTGACCAAAAACTGATTCGTAACCGTTTTGCTACTAATGTTGGAGAGAGTCCCTAGTCAAAGTGGCCACTGGTCAAAAAAAGACTGGGAACCACTTTTTTAAATGGACACCCACCCCATCCTGCCATTTGATACTCCCTAGAAAGGAGTCACTTTCAATAAATTATTACATTAGACTGTTGGTCTCCCTGCATTATCTTTTAAAACCCTCCTGCTTAGATACATCCTTCCTCTGTTCACGCCCAGTGTTTATTTTAAAGTTTTTAATTTATTACATCTGGCCCGGCCATAAGGTTTCAAATTCTGTGTGCTATTGTTTATATGTAAGTTATATTGATTGTACTGTTCTATTTCCTTGCTGTTTTGTTTTTACTGATGTGTTGTTGGGCTTGGCCTCATGTAAGCCGCCCCGAGTCCCCTTGGGGAGATGGTGGTGGGGTATAAATTATTATTATTATTATTATTATTATTATTATTATTATTATTATTATTATTATTATTAACTGATCCAGCTTTTTGGGAGATTTGTTAAACTTCCCAATACATACAGTGTCAATTTGAAATGTGTAGCAAGAATTGGTGCAGTATTATCCAGTCTGGCACTAAAACACGCATAACATTGACCTGTGTGAAGTCCCTTTGTTACCCTGGGAATGATATTTTAATAGCAGGTGTGATCACAGTGGGGTGCTTCCAAATTATATTGTGAACTAAAGCATAAACAATAAAATGGTGACCACTCGTGGATAGTTACAGATGATCAGCTCATGCTAGCAGAGAAGATACAGGAAAATGCTCCTGTGAGCCTCTGCTGCATTATGTTCAGCAGTTACACTTCTCTATGTGATGCATTCAGGTTCCCACAAGATTGTCTTGCAGCCACCTCATATCTTTCTTAGGGGAGTAGGGAACACCATTTCAGTATTGGAGCTGCACGCCTACAGTCCACCTACGGGAAATACATTTGTCATAGTCATATCCAGGCAACAAAAAAAAAACAAAATCAACAAAACTGCAATCCCTTTATTGGCATCCAATACATCTTGCAATCTTTTGCAGCATCACTGACTCCTCCATCAGCAAAAACATTAACAATAATACATGAGACATATTAGAAAAATGACAATGCCAGAGTCACAGACCTACATTTTATTTCAGATGTCATTTCTGTTGTTAGTCAAAATGGTCTAGAGCTTATTGCAGATTGTTCAGTGCATGTAACCCAGTAACAAAATGTAGTTTGCCAGTTCAAAAAAATGAGCAACACAAGAATGCAAAAAACCCAGAAATTTACTCTTGAGTATTCAAAGCAGTGTCTTCAAAATAATCAACAGTATAATTTCTTCTGAGTTGTATTAGTCATATATAGTCCATAGAATTCAGAGAAATAAATCCTCCAATGCTTCTTGGATGTAGAGTTGCTGCTTAGCCTGAAATGTAGATGCTGCCAGCCAGGAGCTTTGTGCTGAACAGCAAGCTTTCCAGGAGCAAACACAAAAGTAAGCCCAACTCACAGGACAAACTCTCCCTAGTTATATCCCTCTGGGGGTCACCCAAATTGATCAGCCTTGGTTACCCAGCCTGTGATTGCAATTAACCTGGGCACGTTTTTCTCTTAACACACACACACGCACCTGCACACCCGGTATTGATTCCACTGTAACTTACCCATATACCAGGGAAACCTTTTGGCTTCCCTGGGCTACACTGGGAAAAGAATTGTCTTGGGTCTTATATAAAATATGCAAACACTAACAATAACTGATGAGCAAAAAAAAAATGCTAAAGGGTTTTGTGTGGTTTCCAGGCTGTACAGCGATGTTCTAGCAGCATTTTCTCCTGTCGTTTCACCTGCATCTGTGGCTGGCATCTTCAGATGATCTGATAGTAGTAAAGCAAATGGAGTATATATACCTGTGGAATGTCCAGGGTGGGAGGAAAGGGCCATTGTCTGTTAAACAAGTGTAAAGAGTGCAACAAGTAAGCTTGATTTGCATATGCTGACTGAGATCCAACATTAGCATGTGAGTAACCATGAAGATAGCATAGTCAATTAGTGAGAAGACATCTGCATAGAAGTAGCATAGCCTTTGTTTCCTTTGAATTGTTTGCTGCCTAGAGACATCCTTTGTCTGGGTGGTGTTCACTGGTCTCTGATTGCTGCTTACTGCCTGGAGCCCTCCTGTGTCTTTGGTGGTGTTCATTAGTCACTGTCTTGATTATAGTGTTTTCCAATAATGGTTGATAAACTTTGTTCACTTTCATGGTTTCTTCCTTTCTGTTGAAATCTATGTGCTGTGGATTTCACACAATCTTAGAGTTGGAAGAGACCTAGTGGGCCATCCAGTCCAACCCCCTGCCAAGAAGCAGGATCACATTCAAAGTACCCCCGACAGATGGCCATCCAGCCTCTGCTTAAAAGCCTCCAAAGAAGGAGCCTCCACCACACTCTGGGGCAGAGAGTTCCACTGCTGAACAATTCTCACAGTTAGGAAGTTCTTCCTAATATTCAGGTGGAATCTCAATTCCTATGAAGCGGAACAAAAGCCATTGTTCCGCTTCATAGTCTCTGCGATTTCAAGGGCTTCTTTCTGTAGTCTGGCATACTCATTATCAGAGTGGTCCAGAATTTCTGTGTTCTCAAATAATACACCACCAAGACACAGGAGGGCTCCAGGCAGTGAGCAATCGTACCAGTGAACACCACCCAGACAAAGGATGTCCCTAGGCAGCAAACGATTCAAAGGAAACAGACTATTTCTATGTAGCTGTCTTCATGGTTACTCACATGCTAATGTGTGGATCTCACTCAGCGCATGCAAATCAAGCTTGCTAATTGTACCCATTACACTTGTTTAACAGACAATGCTTTTCTCTCCCACCCTGGACATCCCACAGTTATATATACACCACTTCCTTTATGACCATCAGATCCTCTAAAGATGCCAGCCACAGATGCAGGTGAAATGTCAGGAGAAAATGCTCCTAGAACATGGCCATGCAGCCCAGAAATCACACAACGCCCCAGGGATTCCAGCCGTGAAAGCCTTTGAAAACACAAAAGGTGCATAGTTTTCATGATATCCACCACCACAGATAATCAAAATCAAGAAATACAATTTCAGCTCTATTAGCAACAGAACAGCAAGTTTCCTGGGGAACCAGGCTCCCCCTGTCCCATTTTTGTTTTTTGTTTTATTTGGTCGTGTCAGGAGTGACTTGAGAAACTGCAGGTCGCTTCTGGTGTGAGAGAATTGGCCGTCTGCAAGGACGTTGCCCAGGGGACGCCTGGATGATTTGATGTTTTTATCATCCTTGTGGAAGGCTTCTCTCATGTCCCCGTATGAGGAGCTGGAGCTGATAGAGGGAGCTCATCCACCTCTTCCCGGATTCAAACCTGCGACCTGTCGGTCTTCAGTCCTGCTGGCACAGGGGTTTAACCCACTGCGCCACCGGGGGCTCCCCTTGTCCTATGCAAAGGTAACTATTCCTTTCTTAAGCAGAGAATATTGAATATCTCAAGAAGTACCTGTACCGCTATATCTGGAAAATCCTTTAGTTTTATATATTAAAAACACCTAAATATCTTTTTAGCAATCCAAGCATTTGTTAATAAAGAAATCTTACAGCATGCATCCCAATGGACAGAGAGCATCATATAATAGCTTGACCATTGGACTCTGGCTCAAGATAGGGCTTTGATTCCCCACTTGGCCATGGAAACCCACTGGGTGTCCTTGAGCTAGTCACACACTCTCAACCCCAGAAAGCCCTGTGATAAGAATTCATTTAGGGTTGCTATAAGTCAGAAAAAAAATAGAAGGCACACAATAATAAGCATTCTCAACGCATATTGTTTCTCACATAGCAATATGGTCTTCGAATTAGAAATGGACAAAGAAATTCCATGGGTCAAAGACATCACTGAAACTGACCCCTGTTTAAGTTTTTTTTTTCTCTGTGAGAAGTAGGGATGTACTTTGAATTCAGATGAACACCAAAGTGAAATCAGGAGTTTTATTGTACTACACTCCTAAAGTGATTGGGGAGCACCACACAAGAGGGGGGATCTGCCAGCCACTATATACCCTGAAACATGTTGACAATGTGGTTTTTATGCAGCTCCACTGAAGGATTCCCAACCACAGACAACCATGGGCAAGATGTGGCTTTCTTGCAGTTTCGCTGTATGCCCCTCTGAATTGGCTCTAATGTTTTCCCAAGAACATGCAGAGATCCTGCTTAAAAGTTACCAAAACCAAACTTGAATCCCTACAGAAACTAGGTGTGTGTATTTGGGAGGGAGGGTGCATTTATGCCACTGATACTAATATTCAATAATGTAATGGTAAATACAGACGTAATGGTAAATACAGGCCGTCCCAGAGTTACAAACAAGATAGGTTCTGTAGGTTTGTTCTTAAGTTGAATTGGTATGCAAGACAGAAGAAGTACATTTTAAAGTGTAACTCCAGTCAAATATACATACATATACATATACATATACATATACTTTTGAATTACATAGGTAAGGGTTAACACCCCTGTGATATTTGTTTTGCTGTCTGTCCTTGTGACAATTTGATTTTGAAAAGTTTAGTTTGTTGTGGAAACAAGGATTGGTGAGAAAGCTTCAGTGGAGACACCTTTCCCCCATGAAAACTCTTTCAGAAGTGAATTTCCCTTCCAAGAGTTAGATTTCTCTCACCTCCATTCTTAACTATGAGTCATTTGTAAGTCAGATGTTTGCAACTTGGAGACTACCTGTATGTCACTTTAATCGTGTGTTTTTTCTTGCCCACTCCTTGTCTGGGTCAAAAAGTTTTGCCTCCTGTGTCATAAAAGCGTTATGAATGAACATATAACAGAAGTTGCTACAGATCATAGCCTGAACTATCCTCTACACAAAACTACTGTTCAACATTGTTGCCATCAATTTGTACACATTTGCACCATCGTTTAACCCAGGCATCAAAACCATTTTGGAAAAATTAAAGGTCTTGCTTCGTGACCCATGATTTTAAAGTCGTTTTAACATCATTCAAGTCATTGAATCTGAAACCACGTAGGTTGTCTTTCAGAGGTCCAAACAGGTAAATGTCAGAAGGGCCAAATCAGGGCTGTAGGGTGGGTGAGGCACTATTGACCAGCCCATTTTTGCACTCGCCTGGGTTGTGAAAAGTGACATGTGTGGGCGTGCATTATCGTGATGAAGCTTGATGGAACAAATGTCTTTTAGTGGTCTCTTCTTTCTTATTGCCTCCTTAACTTTCTTAAGTGTGGCTACAAAGGTTTTGCTGTTGATACCATGTTGGTACCATATTAACAGAAAATCAACAAGAATAACACCCTGAGTGTCCCAAAACATTGCTTCAGCATGATAATGTGCGCCCACACATGTCATTTTCACAACCCAGGCAAGTGCAAAAATGGGCTGGTCACTAGTGCCTCACCCACCCTACAGCCCTGATTTGGCCCTTCTGACATTTTCCTGTTTGGACCTCTGAAAGACAACCGTGGTTTCAGATTCAATGACTTGAATGATGTTAAAACAACTTTAAAATCATGGGTCACGAAGCAAGACCCTTAATTTTTCCAAAATGGTTTTGATGCCTGGATTAAATGATGGCACAAATATGTACAAATTGATGGCGACTATGTTGAACAGTAGTTTTGTGTAGAGCGGTGATTCTCAACCTGTGGGTCCTCAGGTGTTTTGGCCTACAACTCCCAGAAATCCCAACCAGTTTACCAGCTGTTAGGGTTTCTGGGAGTTGAAGGCCAAAACATCTGTGGACCCACAGGTTGAGAACCACTGGTGTAGAGGATGGTTCAGTCTACAACCTGTAGCAACTTCTGCTGTTATATATAAATTCATAATGTTTTTCTGACACAGGAGGCAAAACTTTTTGACCCACCCTACGTTTCTGGAACTCTCCCCATAAATAAGGCATACAGGTAATGAGTGCCTTGTTCAAAGTGAGGGGGGAGGTGTAAAAAAAAATACACTAAAAGTGAAAGCAGACTCTGTTTGCACCCTTTAAACTGAGAGAAGCCTTTTTAATTGTTGCACCAAGGATGTCAAGTGACAGAATCAGTGGCAGCAGCACATGTTCGAAAACACAAAAATGAGCACTGAAGCTGCATAAAAGCCACATGTTGTCCACCTGCTTCAGAGGTAAACATACAAAGGGGAAAGCATGGAGGGAGTATTGAGTGGCTGGTGGGTCTACCTTCTAAGCCTAAGGTATAATTTATGAGAGAGTTACCACTTATCGTGATCTGGGGGTAGGGATACATTGTTTACAGAATTCATGATTTCAGTTTTCCTCTCCTTTGTTGAACAGAGACAGATATTAGGTAGAAAGAAAGGATGGGGGAGAAAGAGAATTTTAAACATTTACAGGAAATCATGTGAACGACATTCTTCCAATGCCACTTCACTATTTAAGAGCACAAAACTTTCAGGCATCATAACATAAAGCCTACGTAATGCCAACACCTATCAATTGGAAAACTTTCAGCTTTCTTGCGTGGGATACAAATGCATGATATATTTAAAGTCTATACAAATTGGCCCCAAAACAGAGCTGAATGAAAAGAAGAGGTGAATCATTCTCACCTTAAAATATTTATGACTGCCCCCCCCCCCCCACAAATCTCTGCCCCTATCTTTTTGTATGAAGATAAAAATATGCTCCTTTTCCCTTCAAAAGGAATGGCAAATTTTGTACATGAAACACTACCTCCATTGACAGAAAACTTGGCAATTTTGATACCATCAGAAGAGACAACTAGGCCTGAACAGGTTAGCACCAGTCTGCCAAGGACTATACGATTTCCAAAAAGCTTTCAAGGCATGTGGTTCTCAACCTGTGGATTCCCAGGTTTTTTGATCTACAACTCCCAGAAATCCCAGGTAGTTTACGAGCTGTTAAGAATTTCTGGAAGTTGAAGGCAAAATAATCTGAGGACCCACAGATTGAGAACCATTGCCCTACACCTATTTGCCTCCAATTTGGCAGCCATAATCCACCACTGAAGGACTATTACTCTTTCTAGTGTCAATCTGCCAGGTAGAAAAAAGGTTTTGAACCACTTTCAATGCAAAACTTATTCAATTTTGGCTACTCAACTTGTTCAGGGCCATCTATCCAAGCTGAAATGGATCATTTTCTGAAAGACTTCACTGTACCCTGAACCAAAGCTTCTGGAAAAATGTCTATCTTTAACGGGAAAATCTCAAAATTATCCAAAGGTTACTGCTGGGGATATGGAAGAGGCAATCAAGCTTGAAATAGCCCACATAACTGTGCACAGACAGGTCAAGCTCTGATTCATAAAAGATTTCAAAAATGAATAACATCAACAAGCAGCTTTTGACCAAGATACGACCATTGTGTCTTGGCAAATATTTGCTAACACGTATGTGGGCCATCTAGTTTTAGAATGTTCAAAATATCTTTTGCTGTTGGTCTTTGCGATGGCTCTTTTGAAAGCAGTATCTTAATGAGGCGTGCCTAGAAACAAAGAGAAAATTGTATTTTAAAAATGCAATGGATAGTGATACAATAACCAATGAAAATGTTTTACTGCAGTATACCTCTCTTGGAAACTTCTTCATGAATGCTTCTGGAAGTTTGCCTTCTTTAGCTTCCCAGATCACCTGTAGAAATATGCAATCTGTTTACACAATTGCCATTTCATGTATCTAATGAGATGATTTCAATTGGAAAAGTTCAAGGCTGTAGAAAAACCTCTGCAAATTTCTCAAACAGCAATGAAAATGTTTCAATTTGAGATTTTCTCTGCTTCATATCATGAGTTACTTTTTGTGGTGGAATGAAAATCATGAGTAGTTCACGTTTGACCACTCCACATACTGTCTTGCCAGAGAAAAATATATCACACAATTGATTAATAAAGAACAAGGTTTACTATTTGATATGCAAAGCAACATATGCACAATCATTTTAACAGTTCATTGACTCACACAATGTCCTGCTTTGCACTGCTTTGCAGTGGCTCCGATCCTTCCTGGAGGTACCCAGTTGGTGAAGCTGGGGGGCACCTGCTCAGACCCCTGGCCGTTTACCTGTGGGGTCCCGCAAGGTTCTATTCTTTCCCCTATGCTATTTAACATCTACATGAAACCACTGCATGAGCTCATCCGGAGTGCTAGTGTTTGGTGCCATCTCTACACAGATGACACACAACTCTACTACTCTTTTCCACCAGACTCCAAGGAAGCCACCTGGATCCTTGACCAGAGTCTGGCTGCAATGATGGGCTGAATGAGGGCTAATAAACTGAAGCTTAATCCTGACAAAACAGATGTCCTCCAGGTCAGTCGTAAGGCCAATCAGAGTACAGGGTGGCAACATGTGCTCGACGGGGTTACACTCTCCCCGAGGACACAGGTCCACAGTTTGGAGGTCTGCTCAGGTGTCGGCGGTGGTCGAGAGAGTACCAACTGTGCCTGTACCTCGTGAAGTCTGACTTGGCCATGGTGGTCGATGTCCTAGTTACCTCCAGATTGGATTACTGCAATGCACTCTATGTGGGACTGCCTTTGAAGACAGCGAGGAAACTGCATCTGGTTCAAAGATCGGCAGCCAGGTTAATAACGGGTGCTGATTACAAGGAGAGGTCAACCTCCTTGTATAAACAGCTCCACTGGCTGCCTATAAGTTTCTGGTCCCAATTGAAGATGCAGGTGATCACCAACAAAGCCCTAAACAGTTCAGGACCTGCCTATCTTCGAGATCGCATCTACCCCCTACAAACCAGCACGTACTTTAAGATCATCTGGGGAGGCTCTGCTCTCGCTTCCGCCGCCATCTTAAGCGCGACTGGTGGGAACGAGAGAAAGGGCCTTCTCGGTGGTGGCCCCTCAGCTCTGGAACTCACTTCCCAAAGAGATCAGATTGGCACCTACCCTTTCCATTTTCTGCAAGGAGTAACACCACTGTGAGTTGCCCCTGGGCTGAGAACAGCGGTATATAAGCAAAGTAAATAAATAAATAAATAAATAAACCTGTATGTTCCGTTGTGCCTTTGATTAGACAACTTAACCAGAGAATTGAATCGATCTCGCCATAGCTCTTTGCACTTTTGTTGGCCCTCCCACCTGAAATCCTGTTACTGTAAATGCCTGAGGGTATTATCCTCCCAGCTGTGACCCTAATTGAATTGAAGTGCATCTTGCACTTTCCCTAGGCTCTGTCTAGGAACAATTGCATATTTCCTGATCCTTATGCACTCAGTATTTACTCTTTCAGCCATTATACTGTTTTTAAAATGTGTACTGTTGTCCATTTTATTTTGTTTCATTTTATCTTATTGTGTGTGTTTTGATCTGTATTTTCAGGCTTGTCCCCTTATAAGCCGTCCCAAGTCCCTTCGGGGAGATGGTAGCGGAATATAAAAATAAAGTTGTTGTTGTTGTTGTTTCCAGGAAATTCAAAATGGCCCTTAAATGTCCATAGGAGAGACCTTCTTCCAGAAGTTCAGAAGCAAATCAAACTGTCCCTGCAAACTCCTGTACAGCTAGTTGCCTGAATATGCAACTGTTGCCAAAATTCCCTGGCTCAGCTAGCTTCTGGGTGTGGCCCAACCAATCAGATTCGTGCTTTGCATTTTCAGTTAATGCACACTAACTGATTTTTACATGCTCCAACATTATGCTCTATGGAGCATGGTCCTGTACTGCCATATTGAGTAATGGTGGACCACATGGCCCCAGGATGTTTTTGTGGCCTTTCACAATCCAGACTACCCTTTTTCTGGCAAAAATCCCCATGAATTGCTTATCTTTGAAGTTTCCAGAAATTACCCTTTTAAGTGGCATCCTTCTACACTACACAATTATAGCAATATAATTGAGATTTAACACAATCCACAAAATTTCCAGAAGAGAAAAGTGACCCCGGGTTCATTACAGTTGCACGGTTTTGATCATAGGCTTTAATTTATTTTTGGCCAGTTGATGAACACAACAAAAGAAAGTTCATTGGTCACTGAAGACTCTAGTGGTATGGAGGTTTCTGTCCTGGGCCTGGTCCTGTTCAACAGCTTTATGAATGACTTAGATGAAGGCTTAGAAGGCATGATCCTCAAGTTTTCAGAGGACACCAAACTGGGAGGGATAGCCAATACTCCAGAAGACAGGAGCAGAATTCAAAACGATCTTAACAGATTAGAGAGATGGGCCAAAACGAATAAAATGAACTTCAACAGAGACTAATGCAAAATACTCCACTTAGACAGAAAAAATAAAATGGAAAGATACAGAATGGGGGGCGTCTGGCTCAATAGCTGTATGCATGAAAAAGATCTTGAAGTCCTTGTGGACAACAAATTAAACATGAGCCAACAATATCATGCGGCAGTTAAAAAAGCCAATGGGATTTTGGCCTGCATCAATAGCAGTATCCAGGGAAGTCATGCTATCCCTCTATTCTGCCTTGGTCAGACCACACCTGGCATACTGTGTCCAATACTGGGCACCGTAATTGGAGATATTGACAAGCTGGAACATGTCCAGAGAAGGGTGACTCAAATGATCAAGGGTCTGGAGAACAAGCCCTATGAGGAGCAGCTTAAAGAGGTTTATTTTTAGCCTGCAAAAGAAAAGGCTGAGAGGAGACATGATGAGGGCCACATATCAAGAGAGGAAGTCATAGGGAGGAGGAAGTAAGCTTGTCTTCTGTTGCCCTGGAGACTAGGATGCGGAACAATGGCTTCAAACTACAGGAAAGGAGATTCCACCTGAACATTACATTAGGAAGAACTTCCTGACTGTGAAAGCTGTTCAGCAGTGGAACTCTCTGCCCCAGAGTGTGTTGGAGGCTCCTTCTTTGGAGGTTTTTAAGCAGAAGCTGGATGGCCATCTGTCGGGGCGATTTGAATGCGATTTTCCGGCTTCTTGGCAGGGGGGTTGGACTGGATGGCCCACAAGGTCTCTTCCAATTCTATGGTTCTATAATTCCAAGTACAAAAGATACAGCCCAAGAGACCTCTTCAGTCAAGTCCCCAGAAAGTTTTTCATCATCAAACATGTCCATTAAAAACAAGCACTTCGTCATACTTGATACATACATTTCAAACATCTGGGGTCTCCCCTTCTGGATACTTATTTCCTATACATCTGGGGCAAGAAAGACATGCATGCACACAAGTAAAAGAGTTTTCAGATGAATTACCTTTGTCTTCTCATGATCTGTTTGAAATGTGGACAGCATTTCAAGTAATATTAAGCCAAGTGAAAAGATATCCACTTCTTTTCCGTAATTCCTCCATACCTGTGGACAATGCAACAAAAACTCATTACATCTACCGTCTTGTATTTTAAGAAGGCCCTCTATTTATTTTACAAAGGAACCTTTCCGGAGTGTTAGCTATTTATCCAAAAAAGATAACTACATCATCACTGCAGTGATTATTTCTCAAACAAACCTAAATTCTAATGTTCATGAAACAAGCATTACAGTCACAGGTGAGAATCTGAGGTCCTTTGAGGAAAAGGTGAGGTAATTAAGAAAAACAAAATACTGCTCATCAAGAGCATCGTTAAGTTACAACCTAAATCAATAACTAAGTGTGCATGCCACTTAGAAAGTCTGATTTCAAATCACAATGCAGTGTAAAGTAGATGCGGGAAAGCGGTATCAACACATGCATATGACTAAGAATTACCTGTTCAGGAGCCATATACAGCTTTGTTCCCTTGCACTGTGTATGCTGTTCATCTATTCCTGTTGTTACCAGTCCAAAATCACCAATTTTTATTTTGTTGTCTCCCGATATGAATATATTTAAAGGCTGCAGAAGCAAATACAAAAGGCAAAATCAAAACAATTTCAGGCATCCAAACAGGTAATGTTATTCTGAATTAGACTGAGATAGTCAACACTGTAGTCAGGCCTCCACAGGACTCCTACAGAACTGGAAACAACACAAATAATAAAATACAAGGGATGAGGGAGAGGGCCTTCTCGGTGGTGGCCCCTCGACTCTGGAATTCACTCCAAGGACATCAGACATGCCCCAATGCTGGCAGTCTTTAGGAGGAGCCTGAAAAAGTGGTTGTTCCAGTGTGCCTTCCCAGAATAAGGAGAATCTCTCAGCAATATGCCCTCATAATGCACTTTAATACTGACTTAGGATTGTCTGCGCGCCCTCATCTTTCTCCGAAAACCCTATCCTAATTTGCCTTACCTTGTTCATACCCAGCACTTTTTAAATTTGAATTTTACCTTTGGCCTGGCCATTGGTTTTTAAATGCTGCATGTTTTTGATATTGTTATCGTTTATTGCTTATTGTGTATTTTTTGTTTTTGAGTTTATTTGAACTGTTTTGTATTGATTTATTGTTATTGCTTTTGTTTATTGATGTGTTGTGGGCTTGGCCTCATGTATGCTATACCAAGTCCCTTGTGGAGATGGTAGCTGAGTACAAATAAATTATTATTATTATTATTATTATTATTATTATTATTATTATTATTATATACTGTTTTCTGCCCAGGGGAGTCCCTTTACCCAAGGGAGTCCTGATAGGTCCTCCAACAGAATTCCCAGAAGCTGTTGGGATGTTCAATGCTTAGAGAAGTGTTTTTCTCACGAGACCTTATCTCATTAGGATATACTTAATAATAATAATAATAATAATAATAATAATAATAAAAACAACAACAACTTTATTCTTATATTCTGCCACCATCTCCCCAAAGGGACTCGGGGCGGCTTATATGGGGACCATGCCCAACAGAAGCAGAAATTAAATATTGATTGTTTTTATACTGTTTTATGTTGTTTTGTACTGTTTTACACTGTTTTATACTGTTGTTATTATTATACTGCTGTTAAATTGTATATTTATGTTTTTCTGATGTGGGTGCCATGGGGTGCTGATTTGTTAGCCATCCTGAGTCCCTCTTCGGAGGTTGAGATAAGACAGGATATAAAAGCCCTAAATAAATAAATAAATAAATAAATAAAGCACAAATTATTTTAAAAAAACCTTTATATTTCAATAATTAAAATGATAAAACCAACAACAGACATCATAAAGCATAAGTACAACAATAACCATGCTTCATCTCTAGGACTCTTTGAACGTGATTCTGAATGTGCTATCTCGTGACGTTTGTCCTATTCCATCAGTAATCCGTCGGAAACTGCAAAACATTGCAGAAATGGAATAATTGCACATGGAATTCTAATCATCTTATTTTAAAATTTAATATGGTTCTGATGCTGCTGCTTTTATGTGTGATTGTAAAATCAGTATGCATTCTCTCAGCAAAAATCACGCAAGAATGGTAACTTGAGATCTCCAGGCTACATAAGTGGGATTAAAAAGTGATGTAAAGAGGCATATGAACCGATTAGGAGCCAGCCTTCCATGGTGTGATAGTCAAAGTGCAGTATTTTCTAAACATAAAAACTGGGTGTGATGGGGTCGGTATGCATCCTATCCTGAAAAAATACAGATTGTATAATGATATAAATGGAGTATATATCAGTATGTTAAAGGTCCTAGGAAACTCTAAATCCTCTACTCTGATTCTGAAAATTAAACATAAGAGACATACTAGATGACTTAGAAAATCCTAGGGAGAATAATCAAAACAGTAAAAATGAAACTGGCAAATATGGGGGCTGTTGTATAGTTATTCTGCAGTACGTACATCATCTCAACTTTTCTGTTTATTTATTATTTTTATCCAGCACTTTAAACTCCAGAAGAGACTTCACAGCCATTTTTCAGTTGAAAGCCCCCCAAAATCAAACTTTTAAAAATCGATTCTACTTTTTGGCAAATACAACTATCATCAAATGATGTAGGATTGATAGGACTTTTCCGCTTTAGAACAAGCAAGTTCCCAGAAAGGATGCATCTACACTATAGAATTACTGAAATTTGACACCACTTTAATTGTCATGATTCAATGCTATGGAATCCTGGGAATTGTAGCTTGGTGAGGCACCAGCACTTTGTAATGTTATCACTCCCATGAATCCATGACATCGAGCCAAAGCACCTAAAGTGGTGCCAAACTCCTTTACTTCTACAGTGGAGATGCACCCCAAGAGACGCTGACATGTAAGTACTCAAAGTCAGGGGTTCAGGTTTAAAAAAAACCCTGGTTTACTTATGAATTTTAACTGGTTTAACCAAATCCCCATGCTAAGTCTATGAGATGCAAAAAATTAAGAGTCCCTCCAGAACTGCAAGCACTATCTCAGGCAAATATTGACAATTTATTCACACTGTCATTACTTGCAGCAATAGCCGATGTAGTGAAGCAACCAAGTTGGGGGGGGTGTTGAATGCTCTCATTAAGGAGGCCAGACTTGGTGGAGGTGGTTGACAGGGCGGAGCTGCAGGCTATTGAAGTCTGCTCTGCCCCCTGCTGTGCTCTTTGCTTCAGCGTGAGCTAGGAGGCAGGTTTCAACCCCCCCCGTGAAATTTTCAAACCCCCCCCCCCCCCTGAAAAAAAATTCTGGCTACAGCCCTGCTCAAAGTGCACCCTAAGCAAGGGTGCCCAACCATTTGCTCTTTCTCTGCTGGAAATATGGGAGAACAAGATGATGATGATGATGGTTTGTATTTATACACAACTTTTTCACCACAACATATGAATTAAAACCTAACCCATATAAACATTAAAACAGAATTAAACAGAGAAATATTAAAATGCATAGTTGAAACCAATAAAACCATTAAACAAACAAAAAAACCCAGTGAAACTAACTCAAGAACTGCAAGCAGATGGTGTGGTTGTGCAGGTAAGAGTTATGGATGAATGTGGGAGACGTGTCTGTTCAAATTGCTGGGTTCTCAATATTTGTGAGTAAATGAATGTGATTAGCTAGGCATGCATGAGAGTACAATGCGGCAGGAGTGTGAGTGTAACCTGATTCTCCTGCTCTCTATCAGCTCCTATCCTCTGCCCCTCTAGCTCCAGTTATCATCTGTTGCAACAAAAATATAAAGTTATTTAGTCCATATACCTTGAGGTCTCTGTGAATGTAGTTCTTTTTATGAATAAACTCCACTCCATTCACTATCTGCTGAAATTTTAACAATACATCTTCATAGTAGCTTTCCTTCCCTCCATCTTGTTGCATCCATTTCTTCAGTGTTCCCTTCTCACAGTAATCCATACGTATGAAGAGGCAATCATGTAGACGAGCGTGCCCTGAACTATAAGAAATAAATAAATACACTATTTAAAAAAGAACCACACCATTTCTTTGTAGAAATCAATGCTGGGACCAACAGTTTGACACATTTGACATCTATTCCTTCTAGAAGAATTCAGCAGTAGTTGAGATGGTTTAATCTCTAAGGCTGTTTTTATTTTTGTTCAAGCCAACCATTTCCTAACCTGGGCTACTGCCAAAACTGTTCAGTTTAGCACGAAGTGGCACTTTTGTAAATTAATAAATTGATCAAGCGCATTTGAATGACAAATAGTGACTTCTAGCTGACACTCTAGAGCTCTACAGTCTTCATCAACTCTATCTATCTATCTATCTATCTACCTATCTATACATACATACATACATACATACATACATACATACATACATATATATATGAATGTGTTTGTGTATGTGCATAAAGAGAGTGAGAGTGATACAGATTGATACAAAAGAAGGCTAGACAGTGTAAACAAACTCTTGAGAAAGAGATGTTTGAGAGACCTGTCCTTCAGGAATTATCAGGGAAAGTTCTAAAAAGTGGACTATAAGAATATTATCATACTGAGAGATTATGGTTAAGTCAGAAGAGCTTTTGACCTCAGAGTTTTAGTTGAAAAATATATTTGATGTACATACAGAAAGAGAGACAGCATGATAATGATAAAATGATCAAAGCACTAGTCTACTAACAATCTAAATGAAAATTGTAGAACCTTCTTTGTTGATATTAATAATAAATAATTTAAGAAAAGTTTGAATGTGCTATGAAGAATTCAATTTAATTTCCACTGAAAAAGAATTGGAAAAAGAATACATGAAGCCCAGGAGACAATGTGAAAAGACAGAAGATACAACCAATGGACTTAAAATTACAATGGTTGGAATCCTCAATCTATATATATAAATCTGTTAGGTTGGTTCAACCGGACAGCAAAACTCCACAACCCCCCAACGAAACTGTACCAAAATTGCCATGCCCCAAGGACAACCCACTCGGTACAAACTAATCCACTCAGAATTGAAAACAACACAACCACACACAGAAAAAACGGCAAAACAACTGAGCATGCGCACTGGCGCAAAGTCCCCAGCGCGCGCACACATGGCCGAACGGCCAACGCACTTCCCTCCCTCCCTCGCCCCGCCCAGCGCGAAAACGTCACCGCACTTCCCCACGGCACACACACACACACAAACAACGCAACTTCCCCCCGCCCCCTTCCCTCCACCCCCTCCTTCATCTTACCCCTCCCACGCTGCCTCCAAGCCCCGCTCTGCACACTCCAAGCCTCGCCGCGCCGCATCCCCACTGGAAAGACATGCCCCCTCCCTTCGCCCCACCCCTTCCCTCCTTGAGTCACTCCTTCCCTCCTCCCTCCCTCTCCGGTTAGACACGCCCCCTCCCTTCACCCCACCCCTTTCCTTCCAGGAGTCAATCAGGGAGGGAAGGGGTGGGGCGAAGGGAGGGGGCGTGTCTAACCGGAGAGGGAGGGAGGAGGGAAGGAGTGAGTCAGGGAGGGAAGGGGTGGGGCGAAGGGAGGGGGCGTGTCTTCAAAGTCGCCCCCTCCCTTCACCCCCACCCCTTTCCTCCCTGATTCATGGAGGGAAAGGGGTGGGGCGAAGGGAGGGGGCGTGTCTTTCCAGAGGGGGAGGGAGGAGAGAAGGAGTGACTCAGAGAGGGAAGGGGTGGGGCGAAGGGAGGGGGCGTGTCTAACCGGAGAGGGAGGGAGGAGGGAAGGAGTGACTCAGGAGGGGGGGGGAGAAGGGAGGGGGCGACTTTGAAGACACAATGATGGATCCGGACCAAAGCATTCAATACGCCCAAATATCCACACAGATGGAGTTTGAGGGAAATAGACCTTGACATTTGGGAGTTGTAGTCATAGGGAATCAGAGTTCACCAACACTCAAAGAGCATCCTGAACCCCACCAACGACAGAATTGGGGCAAACATGCCACACTGAACCCCCATGACCAACAGAAGATACTCAAGTTTACACACAAGCATAAAGAAGGGGGAGGAAGGAGGGATGCCAGAGAGAGAGAGAGAGAGAGAGAGAGAAAGGGGGGGGGGAAGGAGTGTGAGAGAGAGAAAGAGGGAAAGAGGGCGAGTGAAGGAAGGAAGAGAGGCCAGGCAGAGACTTCAAAACTCTTACTAAAGGCCACAGCAACGCGTGGCAGGGCACAGCTAGTACATTATATAATATGAAGGCTTGCTGTAACAACGATAATATTGTAAAAAAAAAACTCCTCATTCCCTAATAACCTTCACCATCTTTGTTTTCTCCTTGCAACAAGCCAGACATTTATAAAGATGCAACTAAGCAATAATTAATCTATTATCCCCAATTTTTTCTTTTTCTTTCCCTTGTTCCCCCATCCTCTACTTTCCTAATAAATGTTTAATAAAAGTTATTTGGGGGAAAAATAACATTTACTAATGTTTGCCTGATCATCTTGTTTCAAGAGCATTAACACTTATTTAAGTTAAACAAAAAATAACAATTTTTCCTGACATCGCAAAAAGTGCTATTTTTATGTGATGTAATGTAAAGGTCGAGAAAAAAAATCTGAAAACTGAAAAATCTAAGCGAGCAATATCTTTTAAAGATCTGTTTTGTTCCTGAAAATTAGAAAATTATTGGTAACGTGCTCTATGTCTTTGTATTCTATGTATGATTCATTCTCTACTTTTATTATTCCATGTAGTTTTTAACAAAAATAAATAAATTTTAAAATTCTGAAAAATGTACATCTCATATTTTTACTGATCAAAAATATGGCTTTTTTCCATTTTAAAGTAATTCAGCATATATATTTTGGGAAAATTATTTGTGACAATAAAGAAGTGTATGTGCAGGACAGAAATTGGAAAACTGTAGTCTGGTGTAAACAAAGACCACAAAGCAAACAACAAGGGAGACATTTCTCTGCAGTGACCCTGAAGGACTATTCCTCATATTTGGCTATACACAACAAACTTGGCCAGTAGAGCCCCAAAAAGTCAGTGAGGATGCTTTAAACCTTTTGCTAGGATTGAGGCTCAACACATCCAAGCCTAGGCAAGCCTTTTTTAAAATACAACTGATCAACTGATTAAAATTCAACTGATCCCTTTTCTCCCTGGAAGCTTGAGTTGCAATATGCCTTGGTTGATGTCCAACCCCTGGCTACAGCTTCAAGCCATCTAGTAGCAAAAATCATAAGTGTGAGGACATCCTGTCTCCTCCTGGAAGTTTCTTGAGAATGTCCACTAATACCTGCTGAAGTGGAACCCCTGTGATGAGGAATAGTTGGAGCAGAGATTTGATCTGATATTTGGGTCTTCCTGCCCTCAGATTGACCTTACAAAAATGGGACATTATCTGCAATGTCAATGTGCATTTTTCCCAATGAAAAGATCTCCCTAGCTGGTTATTCCTCCTGGGATGAACCAAATGTCCAATGGCTGTGACAATGTCATCCCCCTACTACTTCCTTCTGATACAACCTTGCCAGAGTTTCCTACTTTCATTGCTATGTGGTCTATATTAAATGCTCACCACAATGTTTGCGGCCAATCCAAGGATTGATGGCCAATCCAAGACTTGATATTGCAGTCACACTTTCTCTGGTTAAAAAGCAACAACTTCATGAACCAACACTAGAATCTTAATTGCAGGGTTTAAGAAGGAGATCTGCTACCATGATGATATTACTGACACCTCAGAAACCTACTGCTTATGCAGCAGAATTACCTGACATCACTATTGCTCTCTTCAGATGGCCAAGTATCTTTCCCAATCCAACATCCAAAATACTGAACTATGTTTTCATGGACAAGGTTTGCTAAGGCTAGTACTTCTTTTTTTGTATTTTCTTCATTCACTCTGGTTGGAGAAAGCAAAAACAAAAAACAAAAAAAAAACCTTTGTTACAAATATTAAAATAGGGATACACAACAGAAATCACAATTACTAATATTAAAACAGGGATACCCAGCAGAAATCACAACCCTAACTAACCTTGTTTCTAAGGTTAGTTAGGTGCATATTTTACTGTAAAATACTGGGAATATAAAGGCTGAGTACCCTTTATCCAAGATGCTTGAGACCAGACAGTTTTTGGATTTTTTTTCAGATTTGCAAACACTGATATTTGCATATACATACATATATACCTTATACACAAAACCTAAAAGTAATTTTATATAATATTTTGCAATATTTTGACATGAAACAATGTTTGTGTACATTGGACCATTCAAAAGCAAAGGTATCACAATATTGGAATTTTTTTTGGAGCATTTGAGATTTTAGGTTTTCAGATAAGGGACACTCAATCTGTATTAGATCACCCGATCATATTTTGATTTGGAATACATGTACAAAACCAGTCTCAGAAATCTAAGGGAAATATTTACATCAGGCATCCTCATTACATTGTCATAATGTCATGTCTATTTATTTATTGATTGATTGATGGATTTATTTTGCAATATTTGTATATCACCTTTCTCAACCCCAAAGGGGACTCAGGGCAGTCTACTTTAGCAGACAGAACTAAATGTTCTCTGAAGGACATCTTATAGGAAAGACCCATACCTAAGGATCATGAAAACCAGACACGGCCCCATATCAGAACATTTTACATAATACATGTTTTGCATGAAAGCATAAAGGAATCAGCAACATACACCAGTACAAGTATATACAAAAAGGGTCTTAAGTGAAAATAAAACAGAACTGCTCTAACATAATTGTTCCTTGTTATAGGATTACTAAAGTTTGATGATCACAAAATCATTGCCATTTGTGTACACTTCAACTTTTATGCACAAAATCATGAACACACATTCGCCCTGGCAAAGAGCAATGCCATATCACTGTTCCACAACTGTATGAGTATTAAATACTCAATACACTTTATGCACATGGATGTGTCAATCACATATCATATAGCCATATAGTGGTCATATAGTGAACAAGATGAAAATAATCTCATGCAGGACATAGAAATGTATATTGTAAACAGTAATTGTATATAGAAATAAGCACAGGACTACTTACTCGATAAGCTTGACTCTTTTGACAGCATATATTTTATTATCAATTTTATGTTTTGCCTTGAAAACACTTCCATAGCCACCAGAATCAAGCTTCTCTATGTCTGTAAACTCATCCAGAAAACTGTATTTTTAAAAAGATAGGAAATATTAACATTACATGTGAGAAAAAAAAAACTTTGGAGATGTTATGATAGCAACATACTCCCACAACAGACAATTATGAATTGTATTATAATTTTGTGTGGCACACAATATTATGCATACAGTTATACCTCAATTAAAAGGGAGATGTGTTCCCAGGCATTACTTGTTTAAAAAAGTTTGGTAATAGAGGCAGAAATGGCACAGAAAGAATGGGGATAGATTCCTACATCACAAAAAAGAAGGGCAGTTAAACTATTTTAAGCCAACTGTGATTTCCATTTTGATGGCCAAATTTCTTGTATATTTTTTAACATGCTGGAGGGGAGCTGGTGAGGCTGGCTTATCTAATTCCTCCCTTTCTTTCTGTTTTGCTGTTCAAAAATGCTCAGGAAGGGATTTTGGAAATATCTGCTGCTCACTATGCCTCATAGTTATTTATAGTAGGATCAATGGAGTAAAATCCCATTCTTCTCAACTCAAGTTGTTTATTGTACACATAGCTGCAATACAATATTGTGTTGAAAAAAAATCATTATATCTACAGCCATCTTTCATCTTCATGACAAGATAATGCTGTTAAAAAAAAACTTCCAGCTAAATCAAGGACAAGAAGTAAAGTGGAGATAGATATAAAAAGACATTGTAAAAAGGGACTTCTTTGTCAGAGATGTTGTTAACTAAGCATTCCTATATTCGCTGTTCTCTGTGTTAAAAAGTCCAATGCCAAGGCTTGGATCAGAGTATAAGAAACCACAGCCCACAACTTTTTCACATACCCACTGAAAGACCAGGTTTGTATTTGGAGGGGGAGGAACATTAGATGTGACATTGTTCCTCAACATCACCAAGAGTGCCGTTGGCCAACATTCACTAATATTCCCCTTCCTGAAGAAGAGGGATTTAGCCAGAATTGACTTAGCCAAAAATGTCTCAGTTCAGAGCCAAATACAGACTCCAAACAATCATACAGTAAGATTTTCATTTTGTGCAGTATCAAAAAATGTTAGCAACAGACATCACGTGTTTTGTTGGTCATATTATGACAGGAAATAGAGATGCCTACATTCATCAGTTGATTTGTACACACACTAGAAATTTCTGTTGACAAATCGTATGTCAGGTCAACCAAAGCCAGTTCTTTATCTATACCAAGTTGATCGATTCCATACAAATTAATTTTTTTTAAAAAAATCTGAAGTATTTTTCAAGCATATTCTTACCGTTTGTTGACAGTGTATCTACTTTCTCTTTGAGGCAGCACGGAGAAGTTAGGTGCCAATCTTGGGGGGCTGAAACAAAAATGCCGTTGATTTTTTATTTGAAGCATTTAACCCCATTAGCAAATCAACTAACTGAAAGTTATCAATAACAAAAGCATGTACCTCTTAAGTTTCGTAGCAGATCCTTTAGGATTGTCCTAGAGGGAAATGAAGAAAAAGTGTTACTTCTAAACACATTAAAAGGTGTACTCTGTAAGTCTATAATGTATTTCAGATTTTGTCATCCAGAGATATCAAGTGCCTCACACTGAGCTACAAACCCCAGGACTGCATAAGATCTAACTATGAGAGTTAAAATGGAACAATAATATTATTATAATGCAATCTGAAAGATCCGCTGGACAATTTAATCAGTCTGTCCAGCCACAATATGAACTTTCCTAGGAACTGTTTGACTAAAGGATTATTTTTTTCCATGTCAAGAGTGACATGAGAAACTGCAAGTTGCTTCTGGGTTGAGAGAATTGACTGTCTGCAAGGACATTTCCTAGGGGACACCCAAATTTTTTAATCATCCTATGGGAGGCTTCTCTCATGTCACCACATGAGAAGCTGGAGTTGACAGAAGGGTGCTCACCCCACTCTCCAGATTCGAACCATCAATCTTTCGGTCAGCAGTCCTGCCACCACAAGTGTTTAACCCATTGTGCAACTGGGGGCTCCAGGATAATATACAAAAAATACAGGTTGAGGATCCCTTATGGAGAATTACAAAATCCAAAATACTCCAGACTTTGGACTTGTCTCTTAAGACATATCATTATGTATGCATATGCAAACACTGATACTCTAAAACCAGGGGGGGAAAAAATCAAAAATTCAAAACACTTCTGGTCCCAAGCATTTCAAATATGGGATACTAAATGTTCATAATTTTTTATTTGGAGGGCAGCATTGTTTTTATAATGAATGCTGTTAAAAAAAAACTTTGATGAATACTGGTCCACTGTATCAGAACAAGGAATGATAAAGCTATTCCTGCTGTTCTATTCTGTCTTGTCATTGTATAATCGGCATTGAATGTTTGCCGTATATGTGTTCTGTGATCCGCCCTAAGTCCCCTTCGGGGTGAGAAGGGCGGAATATAAATACTGCAAATAAATAATAAATAAATAAATATACAGTACAGAGTAATGACATGGAAAACATATTTCATACTGTACCGGAGAGGATGGAGAAGACCCATCCAGATGAATGCCACCAAGTTTACTAGCCAATTTGTCAGCTGTGCCATTGGATTCTGAACTCAAAACAGCACCACTGCAGAAAATATATTTAATAAATTTCATTATTATTGTTTAACTCCTGCCGTAGTATTTGTGTATCAACTCTCAATCCAATATAGAAATACACAATGAATACAAACTCTGAAAATATTAACTGTATAAATACATAAATAAATTTAAAACAGACTAAAAACATCACTTAAAATTAATTTGACAAAAAAACTTTTTTCAAATTTAAAGTATGCTACTCTTAATGTCTTCCAGCTCAGTTGTTTTGAGTATTATGGGTTTGGGACGGGTAGGAATTGCTTTTAGATAAAGCACGTATCAGTAACAGTTTATGCCCATTACAAATGCCCGAATCCATTGAGCTTAACGTATTATTAAACTCTGCTCTTTTATAAATAAACAAGATAAATGAAATAATAAAATGTCACAATTCCCAAGGTAAAACAAAAAAAAACATATCTGTGTGCAGACCTAAGTTGTGCAATGCTGGGGGGCAGCAGAAAAAAAATGTATGCATGTGCATAACTAAAAAGAAAATGACAACAAAATCCTGAAGCAGCTTATCCAATTCTTTCCGCTTCTGGCTTTTTTGAATAATAGGCCGCAATGATGTCACCATGGGAATGCAGGAGGTGACATTAAACTGTCACTGCTGCAACCCCCAGAATCCCCCAAATCTGCACGATAACCCATGCTGTCCCTCCCACTGACCCCTCTTGTGCCTGCTCCATGCTTTTACTTCTGGGCTGCTTAAGGCACTGAGGGAACTGTTTACTTGCACTCTTAGCCCCCTACCAGTTGTAAAATGGTCCGGCTTTGAAGATATTACATTCAAAACTCGGGAGAGCCAACGTGGTAAAGAGGTTTGAGTGTTGAACTAGGACCCTGGAGACTAGGGTTCAAAGCTATGCTTAGTCAAATTCTCTCAGCCTCAGAAAGACAAGGGCAAATCTCCTCTGAACAAATCAGAAAACCCATGGTGGGTTCGCCTTAGTGTCACCATAACTCGGGAATTAATTGTAAGGAAAATGTGTTGATTCCAAATTCTAATTTCAACTTATTTGGCTAAGTCCCCACACAAAATAATAATTTGGAAATCTTAACCATCCAAAGCTTTGAATGGTTTTGGCTTACTCTATTAGGAAGCGGGGAGGAACTACGAGGGTTGAATGAAAAGTAATGCCTTCACCTTCGTAACTCCTCAACAGATGGCAGTACTGGTATGTGGAAGGTACTGGCTTGTTCACTAGACCCTCCTCTACAGTTCCATTTTGGTGGGAAGCCTTAGCATTGAACAGTTGTGTTGATAAAGTGTGAAATATGGAATCCTGCACAGACGGTCGGTCAATGCGACTTAAGCAACTTGCAGTCATTGAATTCTTGACAGCAGAAGGTGTCTCCCCAAAGGAGATCATTAGAGAAGCTGTTTATGCAAGCTGTTTATGGTGATTGTGTTGATGTGAGTACTGTGTGTCGTTGGGCGAGTAAGTTTAAAGATGTTGAGGTGGGAACATCTGACTTGCGTGACAAACAAAGAGTTGGACATCCTGTGACAGCAACCACTGAGTTTTACAAGCAAAAGGTTGACAGATTGATTCAGGACGATCGTCGTATCACTCAGAGAAATTTCAAGCATAATCAGCATTTCACAAGAACGTCTGGGTCACATTACTGCTTTGCTTGGCTATCAGAAGATCTGTGCACAATGAGTTGCGGAAAGAGTGTCGATCTCTTCCTTGACAGAAAACTTGTTCATCATTGACAGAAATGTATCCAATTGTCCAGTGATTATGTCAAAAAGTGAATAGTGGTAGTTAAAGAGCACGTTCTAAGGATTATTTCTGCATTTGATTTATTAAAATATTCCCATCCAAACCCAAGTAATGAAGGTGGAGGCATTACTTTTCATTCAACCCTCGTATATTCATCTTTTTCACTCCACTGGCTCTTTCTAATTCTCCCACAAGGATGCCACAAACTAGACAATATGTGAATATTGCAATCTATCCCTGTAATCACTTCTGCTTTTTTGTTATTTAAACAACCAGTAAATTTGTTTCTTACTTTGTGTTTTGAAAAACTACATATTCTGATGAATCTGAAGCAACACCACTGGCTTCTGGAAGAGATCTGAAAGACATGTTTTCAAAATGCAGTTTAGGTTTCCTAAAAGTCTATGATGACACAAAGGCTGTACCATTTTGTTCCTTCTTCCTATTTTTGCCAGGGAAAATATAAAAATCCCAAAAGCACTATGTTGGGTCATCTATAGGTAAGAGGATCCCCAAGGCAGCTGATAATCCCTAAAACTGTGATGGCGCAATTGATTAAACCCTTGTGCTAGTTGAACTGCTGACCTGAAGGTTGGCAATTCAAATCCGCAAGACGGGGTGAGCTCCCTGTCTGTCAGCTCCAGCTTCCCATGCAGGGACATGAGAGAAGCCTCTCAAAGGGTAGTAACACATCCAAGCATCTCCTAGGCAACGTCCCTGCAGGTGGCCAAGTTTTTCAAGTCACTTCTGACACCATTTAAAAAATCCCTAAAAACAACAAGAGTTTGAGAGGGATGGCACTGGCTGCCGATCCAGTGTAGATTTAAGTTATTGGTGAGGATATTTCAAATCCTAAGCAGCACAAGGCTTCACTATTCGCTTCTCCCCGTAGAAGCTGAGGTCTGCTGTAGGGAGAATACCATGTGGAAGGATAGGAGAGATGGCTTTCTCAGTTCTGGGACTTTTGATAAAATCTGCTGTAACCTCCAGAGATCTCAGCAGATGATGGTATTGTCTGGCATCTGGCTATAAGGATACAGGCAGATGTTCCTTCAATGCAGCCCAGCAGGGGCTTCAGCAGCTAAAGGGGGAGTCCTGGAATTGTGTAAAATCTGGATAACAGCAACCCCCCCCCCCCCCCCCCCCCCCCCCCCAGAAATCATGGCCTACTTCGGCTTCAAGCTATTATACATCACTCAAAGGATGCCAATTGAGGTCTTCTTCAATACAAAGATTTCTTTTAAAAAAACAAACACATGTCACTTACCTTCTAGTTACCACCATTGGTGCTCCCAGAGAATCAGACATTGACCCATATGCAGTACTAACTGAAGGGATATCATGATTTTCAGTCTGGAATAAAACATGGAATAACTGTGTAATTGTCAACAGAAGGATCCATTTCATCTGCTGCTAAAGTGGCATAGTGATTTAAACTGGTGTGCTTAAAACATTGATTTGATATAAAAGACAGATGCAATCATAATGAAAATGTGTGTGTGAAAAGCAAATGGGGAAACACTTAGATGACTGTGAAACTGTTTGAAATGTTCATCACATGATCACACACAACAGGCTATGTTCTAAACTGTACATGTGCTCATACAGGATGTACACTTGTCCAGATGTCTGTGAGCAATTGTGTAGATCCCTAATGTAGATCCAGGTTCAAAGGTACACTGAAAGCTAGAGCACAGATCTCTACCTGGGTAGACTGAACATACACGTGAATTCATGTACGGTATACTGTTCCCATTACACAAGTTCTGAGGAAGGTATTTTGTGCAGGAAGAGGGACAAAGTCCTCCTCCAGAGCTTTCCAAATTGTTCATGTTAGTGACATGCCTTTTAGACATGCATCCTTTCAAACATGGTAATTTAGTTTTACTAGCAAACTGGAGGTAAAGCCAACCCCTTATAAGAGTTTCATTTATAAATTACATATATATATATAGAGAGAGAGAGAGAGAGACAGACAGACAGACAGACATATATATGCTTCATATAATCTTTACTGTATAAATGAGATATGGGAAGCTTCCCTTTATGCTTATGTACTACAGTTGATTCTTATGTAGTTTCCTCTATCTGCTCCATGTGGTGCATCACAACCATCACTGTCAACAGATTTTCTTTTCTTAATTAGAAACTTAACAATTTTAGTGGTTACTACTGGACTCAATCAACAAATTGTGCAAATTACAAAAGTTATAACAGTACCTACAGTTGAACAGGGCCAGCATTAACCTTCTGTTGTGATTAAACCTCTCTGAAGGTTGTTAAAAAGAAGCTGAATGTCCATTCAGGGGTGTTTTGATTGTGCATTCCTGCCTGGCTGAAGGTGGTTGGACTAGATGCCCTTTGAGAGTCTCTTCAGACTCATTCTCATTCTCTTCTTCTTCTGGCCCCATACTGTTATATGAACTATATAGAACTATATAGAATACCTCTGTTTTTTATACATTTCAAGAAACCACTAATTTCCTTTTTTATTTTCTTAGAAGTAAAGTAATACATACCCTGGCAGTTACTTGGCCAATCAACTTTTCATATGCCATTTTTGATGCATTAAGTTTTGCCATTTGTTTACTGCTTCCTGTACCCACTCCCAAAATTTCACCATCAATTTTACAGGAATGTGAAAAGCTGGAAAACATAAAAGAAGCGTGGGGAAGAACCAGTTAGCATTAGTTGTTGTAGTCAAGAGACATAATCGTATGCTCACTTTTCTTGGTGCAAGACACATTAACTGAGTGTTTTCTTTTAACAAAAGGATCTCCTCCTTAAACACACACAACTTGAAAAAAATAATAAAATAATTGCACAGTAGTATTTAAGTTAAAACACTTGAATTAACATTTGAATTCTTAAAAAGCACACTATATAAAACAATTCCTCCCATATTCCCATACGCATATTGTACCCATGAATGTAAAAATGCACAATACATATACATAAAGAAGCTATTAATGAATCAGTATTAGAGTTAATGAAGCCTGACATCCCCCGAGAAGTCATAATGTCTAAACTGAGACTGTCATACTTTGTCAGGCTTCTTCAACTGGTGGCCCTCCAGGTGTTTTGGACTTCAGCTCCCAGAATTCCTGACATTTGGACAAACTGGGTAGGGCTTCTGAGAGTTGGAGTCCCAAACACCTGGAGGGCCGCTGGTTGTGCAGGCATGCAGTATGTCAAACTATGGCCATATCATAGCAGCAGAAGCAAAGGGACCACTGCCTAGATCAGCCCACCTTGGAGAAGGTCAGCTGCTCAATCATAATAACCATCTAAATTATGACAACCCCCCTCTATATATAGTCCTTTCCATTACATCTTCATTTGGAAACTTTAGCCCACATGTGTCAAACATAAGGCCTGCGGGCCAAATCCTGTGATTCTATAGCCATGGCAGCGAAAGCAGCATCAAATGGCATTCATTTTACAAAGTAAATCACATATGCCAAACTCGAGGCCTGTGATCCAAATCCGACCTGTCATGTCACTTTATGCGGCATTTCCTATGCTGAACTACAACTCATATATTCCCCACCATTACACTTCATGACTAGAGCTGATGGAAGTTGTGAAAGAGTAACATCTGGAAGGCAGACATTTGTTCTGTTGAGTCAGGAGAATGGGGTTGGAATTTATTTATTTATTTATTTATTTATTTGCGACATTTATATGCTGCCCTTCTCACCCCAGAGGGGACTCAGAGCAGCTTGCATACAATATATTATATTATTAGCATGGTACAATACCAGTATTATATATTACTATATTGTACTATACCATTATATTGTAATATTATTAGTAATGTAATATAAAATATATCATTATGGTATTGTATTATTATTATTATATTGTATTACATTACAATATTATAAATATTGTATGTATATACATATACAATATATTATATTATTATATTGAGATTCAAGGCTTGTGGACAGGATGTACTTTAACCTTTCTGCAACTTCGGACCCACAAGTGCTGTTGGATTGCAATTTCCATTATCCCCAGCCTGCAGGGCGGATAATCAAAAGTGATGGGAGTTGTCATTCATTAACATCTAGGGATCCAAACTGGGTAAAAATTAAAGAGCACTGGTCACTATTTATTTATTTATTTATTTACTTTATTTATATACCGCTTTTCTCAGCCCTCAGGCGACTCAAAGCGGTGAACAACATCGATACAAAACATCACGAGACAAGTATAGGGCAATTAAAAACAATTGTAACATAAATCATTAAACATCCATATAACAATAATTAGCGCCTCCACAGTAAAATCAGAATCCAGTCTCATCATCCATTATTCCGCATTCCTATGTTCAATTACACTGCTTAATCAAATGCTTGTTCGAACAGCCAGGTCTTCACTTTCCTCTGAAACGCCAGCAGGGAGGGGGCCAATCTGATATCTGCTGGCAGGGAGTTCCATAGCCGAGGGGGCACCACTGAGAAGGCCCTGTCTCTCGCCCCCGCCAAGCGCGCCTGTGATGTAGGCGGGACAGAGAGCAGGGCCTCCCCAGATGATCTTAGTGTCCTAGTCTGTTCATAGGAGGAGATACATTCGGAGAGGTAAGTAGGGCCAGAACCGTTTAGGGCTTTATAGGCTAATGCCAGCACTTTGAATTGTGCCCGGTAGCAAACTGGCAGCCAGTGAAGCTGGCGCAACAGAGGAGTAGTATGCTCCGTGAGTGCCACTCCTGTTAGCAACCTGGTTGCCGAACGCTGGACCATTTGAAGCTTCCGAGCAGTCTTCAAAGGCAACCCCATGTAGAGAGCGTTGCAGAGTCTATACAGGATGTAACCAGAGTGTGGACTACTGTGGCCAAGTCAGACTTCCCAAGGTACGGGTGCAGCTGGCGCACAAGTTTTAACTGTGCGAATGCTCCCCTGGTCGCTGCTGAAACCTGGGGTTCCAGGCTCAGCGACGAGTTCAAGATCACACCCAAGCTGTGAACCTGCATCTTCAGGGGGAGTGTAACCCTGTCCAACACAGGCTGTAACCCTATGCCCTGTTCGGCCTTACGACTGACCAGGAGTACCTCTGTCTTGTCTGGATTCAATTTCAATTTGTTCGCCCTCATCCAGACCGCTACAGCGGCCAAGCACCGGTTCAGGACCTGAACAGCCTCCTTAGTAGCAGGTGGAAAGGAGTGACAGAGTTGGACATCATCCGCGTACAGATGACACCGTACCCCGAAACTCCGGATGATCTCCCCCAGCGGCTTCATGTAAATGTTAAACAACATGGGAGACAATATTGATCTATGTAAAAAATATAGCTGACCCTCTGTATACATGGATTCTCCATCCATGGATTCAACCGCCCTTTGAAGGTAACCAAAGCACCCTCCAAAAAAAATGAGTTTGACACCCCTGCTCTAGTCTAAAGTCTGAGGGTGGACATATTCAGTTAAAAAGAATCAAAGGTTTTACAGACTGGTCCCTGAAGCTGTAATCTTGATGCCATTATGGCAAACTGGCTTTTTAATACTATATAATGATATATCGAACACTAAAAATAAAAAGTTCTTGTATAATCGACTAACTTCTACACAACACTAACACAATTAGTATTTTTAAAGAGGCAAGTAATAAAAAAAAATAATAAAGTATTATCAATTACTTACACTGGCTTATGAGGTGGTCCATCTTTAGATTGCAAACCAAATTCAATGATTTTTTTGTTCCTTGATGCATATTCATACAGCAAGGAAATATAGTTAGTCGATGTTTCTGTTATGTTTGCAGCAGGCAAAGGTGCTGGTAATTGCAATGGAGCAGGCTGAGGCTGCCGCTGAGCTTCTAAAGCCTACAGACAACACACATAAGTTAGTTTGGATCATCATCAAGGAGTACCAGCCAAAGACCATGAAATATGCATTGAAAATACACAAAGTACACAATACTAATCATGCTGCAAGATGGTTTCATTGAACTCTTTAAAAGGTACAAATATCAGGAGCTAGAACACAATTAAAATATTAGAGTTGAACTAATTATGTAAATTATGACCTACTATGCAAGATTTAATAAATAATTCTGTGCCCAATGTATTGTCGAAGGCTTTCATGGCCAGAATCACTGGGTTGTTGCAGGTTTTTTTGGGCTATATGGCCATGTTCTAGAGGCATTATCTCCTGACGTTTCGCCTGCATCAATGGCAAGCACCCTCAGAGGTAGTGAGGTCTGTTGGAACTAGGAAAATTGGGTTTATATATCTGTGGAATGACCAGAGTGGGACAAAGGACTCTTGTCTGCTGGAGCCCCATTTGATCTGGGTTGTTACCAACTTCACCTGTGACGTAGTACTTTATAAACAATGATGTATTCTAAGTCTAGGTTTCGGGAGGGGGGGGGGGATGTTATACAGAACACTATACCTTATTAGAAACAAGCAAAGATCTTTGAAATTCTATCTCAGAATGCATTATGTTTAAATTGTAACCCTTCTGCCACTACACCACACTCAAAACACAGTTAGTTTCATGTGATGATAGATATTTATTGGATGAGAGGGCTTTAGGAAATAACTGGAACTCCCCCCCCCCCACCCTCAAATTAGGGCTTCTCAACCTTCCTAATGTCATGATCCCTTAAGACAATTCCTCATGTTGTGGTGACCCCCAACTATAACATTATTTTCATTGCTACTTCATAACTGTAATTTTGCTACCTTTAGGAATCATAATGTAAATATGTGATATGCAGAATGTATTTTCATCCACTGGACCAAATTTGGCACAAATACCCAATACGCCCAAATTTGAATACTGGTGGGGTTGGGAGGGGGGATTGATTTTGTCATTTGGAAGTTGTAGTTTCTGGGATTTATAGTTCACCTACCATCAAAGAGCATTCTGCACTCCACCAACAATGGAATTGAACCAAACTTGGCATGTAGAACTCCCATGACCAATAGAAAATACTGGAAGGGTTTGGTGGGCAATGACCTTTAGTTTTGGAGATGTAGTTCGCCTACATCCAGACAGCACTGTGGACTCTAACAATGCTGGATCTGGACCAAACTTGGCACAAATACTCAACATGCCCAAATGTGTACACTGATGGGGTTTGGGGAAAATAGACCTTTACATTTGGGAGTTGCTGGGATTTATAGTTCACCTACAATCAAACAGCTGGCTACATGATCTTGGAGGTGTCTACGAACACCGGCTCTTCAGCTTAGAAAAGGAGATGAAAACCAATCCCCAGACACAAATGGACTTAATGTCAGGGGAAAACCTTTAGCTTTACTACTTTACCTTTACTACAATCAAAGAGGATTCAGAACCGCACCAATGATTGAATTGGGCTGAACTTCCCACACAGACCCCCATGGCCATTTCTGATAGTTTTTGGTGATCCCTCTGGCACCCCCTCGCAACCCCCAGGTTGAGAAACACTGCTCTACCAGAATAAGGTTTCAATACTGAAATAAACAAATTGGTGGCCCAATTGTTTAGAGGACAGCTCCCTGTGTTTACCTTACCTCATCCCTTTCAGCTAACTTTCTTCACTCCTGTTCTACCTTAGAACAAAAAGGCCCCTTAGTTCCGTCTCTCCCCAACTCACTCAATCACCAATTTTTGACAAATGACTTTCTTCTCTAATATTGGCCACAAATATACTCTCTGCTCTAAAACAATATATCAAAGGAAGAAAACTCTCTGAAAATTAATGGTCATATTCTTCACATTTTGTCCACTTAACCTAACCAGCTCACGTCTTCCACGCCCACAGAATTCTATCCTTAAACAGCCTCTTGCTAATAGGGATGAATTATTAACTCCCTTCTGTATTATATCCAGAACTCTTGTGTTATCACCTCCAGAAGGAGTGGTTCAGGGGTGGAGAAATTGTTGATACATTAGCAAGCACTAGACAACACAGTCGCTAACTAAGAATGATAGACGTTATATACCAACAACATCTTAAGTCTATATTGAACATGTTATAGGAAACTGCTTCTTTAAATTATTCTTTCCAAATTATCCATTTTGAAGATCAGAATAGTGATACATCAGGGGCATTAATGACTAATTTCCATCCATTTTCCCTACCATTTAAAGAGATTTTCAGATATTCCTAGGCATTTCTTTAAAAGAGAGAGGAATTATCTAACCAAGTTCACTTACGCCATGAACATTTCCATGTTATTCTGCTGCATGTCTTATTGTACCTTTTTGTTTTTTTTCCAGATGTGGGGAACTATGATGGGTCATATAGCGATCTTCACCAACCCCAAGACCTTGGTGAATCACATCCACCCAAACCTTCTCCCAGAAAATAACTAATCATTTCCTACAGAAACATACAGAAAGCAAGATGGACCATTTAAAGTCTCTTTTGCCTTGACCCTCTATCAGTCCCCAAATAAATTTTCTATAAATCCACAAGTGATTTTAAATGGCCTTTAGGCTATTTCCTCCATAGAAGAGGGATTATCAAATATTCCCACTTGACGGCCTCTCCAGCACACCCAAACTTCTTAGATAGGAAGAAATGTCTTTCTTTTGAGGGTAAACCATCCTCAGTGAAGAGAAATGGCAGCAACACATGTTTCTGTAAATGGATACAGATCATGATAGGATGCTGGTAAATACCTGTTGAATGAGGGGTCCAAGAAGGAATGGGACAGATGTAGCGAATGATGTTTGAATTGATTTTAATGATTGCATAGTTCCTTGTTTTATATGATTTTATATGTTTCAATAATGGTAATATTTAATTCTGTTTAATGTTTGTGTTTTGTAGATTTTTAAACTGTATGTTTTTTTAAGGTTGTGAGTCACTTTGGGTCTCGGTTGCTGAAATAAAAGCAGGTTAATAATAACAACTCAAAGTGCAGGTAAACCAACAAACCAATAACAAGAACACACCTATTAAGATGCAAAGGGTGCATTACTTTAGCTACCCCAATCCACTATTTATCTGGCCACTTTGTCTGGCTTTCCCATTTGTAGAAGCATTTGTCATATTCGTATTACATCTGATTGATTCCAATTTGAAATAATATTGGTACACGAGAGACCTCTATCTCATATCCCACCAATGTGGAAAGGAATTTAAATAAAGACGCTGGTCTTAACCTGTTTTGGTGGGGAGAGACAATTTTAAAAACATTTTCTTCCCCTTATGTTCAATTCAAACATCATCCAGTATATTTAGCACGAGAACACCATAATAACCAGGTACTAGTGGGACTCTGTGTCATGAGCAAATTTCCACTCAAATTTCTAATGTGATGCACAGTTAAGACTGATGGAAGAATCATCAAGGCTAAAAGGTCTGGTTTGCTTTCATCATCATAAAAAGGAGCACATAAAGAGATGCATGAAAAGGCATGATTAGGAAGTGTCTGAACCCTGCTTTCTATTCCTGGTCACCTTCTTTAAAACAGCCAGGCTACTGCCCATTTCTTACGCTCTTCTACAGTCTTCTTAGTCACTGGACTGGATGGCCCTTGGGGTTTCTGCCAATTCTATGATTCTATGATTTATTTATCGTGTCAGAAGCGAATTGAGAATACAGTTATAATGTATTTTAAAAACCACAAACAAAGTTAAGAACTTGACATTATGCTAACCTGGGGATCACAACCAGACACAATGAAGACATCTGCCCTTGAGCTTTGCTATTTTGCTGCTGAATACATATGCTCAATGTGGAATACATCTCACCACGCTACAATGGTGGATGTGGCTCTTAATGAGATATGCCACATTATCACAGGATGTCTACTACGCCCTACACCACTGGAGAGATTATACTGTTTAGCCAGTATTGCACCACCTGACATGTTGGGAGGTAGCAGCCAGTAATGAAAGGACCAAGGCATTGACATCTCCGGCCCATCCTCTGTTTGGATATCAGCCATCACGCCAACGCCTTAAATCAAGAAATGGCTTCCTAAGATCTACAGAGATACTCGCAGGAACACCTCAGCAAAAGAGAGTCCAAAAGTAGCAGGTTAAAACCCGGAACCTCAATCAGTGGCTGAGACTGGATGAGAAACTCCCTCCTGGGAACACAGAAGACTAGGTGACTTGAAAGGTGCTGAACAAGCTGCCCTCTGGGACCATGAAATGCAAAGCCAATCTTAAGAAATAGGGCTACAAAGTGGAGTCCACGGCATGCGAGTGTGCAGAAGAGCAAACCACAGACCACATACTACAATGCAGTCTGAGCCCTGCCACATGCACAATGGATGACCTTTTTAAAGTGACACCAGAGGTACTCCAAGTGGCCAGCTTCTTGTCAAAGGAAATTTAGCAAAGGAAATTCTATGATCATATCATCTGTATTACTATGCAATTCATTGTAAACATCCCACTTACCTTATTTTCAGACTCTATAGTTTCCCAAGCTAGCGCTGCCGCATGTGCTTTTGCTTCTTTCTTTGTTTTTCCTTCACATGGACTATATTGCCTTCTATCTATTTGAACTGCTTCAGTGAAACTGAAAAAAAAAAAACAAAATCATAAACCACAACTCACAGAACATATGTAAAGATTGAAATGAAATGAGCCTAGCAAGAAAACTAGGAAATTGAATTTATGGATTTTTGAGTAACTACGTATGACTCTCATCCCTAATTTTCATATGCAGGCAGTCCTCGAGTTGCAAACATCCCACTTACAAACCACTCATTGTTACAAACAGGAATGAGACAACAGAAAGTGAGAGAAATCCAACTCTAGGAAGGGAAATTCTCTCCTGGAAGAGTTATTATCATGGGGAAAAGGTGTCTCCACTGAAAGTTTATCACCAATCCTTGTTTTCACAACAAGCCAATTTTTTCAAAGTCCAATTGTCACAGAAACAAGAAAGTTAATTAACATCTTATGAAAAGGGGCACAGACAGCAAAACAAACACCACAAAGGTGCTAACCCTTCCCTTTGCTATCCAAAGTTTGTGTGTGTTTGTGTGTATACACACACAAAATGTAAGTGTTCCAACTTAAGAACAAATTCAACTTAAGAACAAACCTACAGAATCTATTTTGGTCGTAACTTGTGGATTTCCTGAAAAGAGTACCTTTTCATCAGCTCATAAAATATATGAGAGGATGCTATTAAATTGACTAGACCCTGTTAATTTTTTTTGAAAAAAAAAACAACAACAACAACAAGCAGGCTTCAAACCAGGGAAAAACTGTACAGCTCAAATTCTTAACTTGCCTGAGTGTATTGAGGAAGGCTATGAAAAAGGTTGCATTACGGGAACGGTTTTTGTGGACCTTACAGCAGTCTAAGACACAGTGCAACATAGAAAATTGCTGCACAAAGTCTACCATACCACCCGGGACTACAACTTTTCAAAAAAAAAATCATAGAAAATCACAACTTCTATGTGGAGTTTCAGGGCAGGAAAAGGAGGTGGAAGAGGGAAAACAATGGTCTGCCTCAAGGCAGAGTTCTTTCACCAACTTTCTTTAGCATCTTTACTAACAATCAGCCACAACCACCACTCACAAAGAGCTTTATATACGCTAATGACTTTGCGTAAAAAACACAAACAAAAGACTTTGAAACAGTTGAAAACCAACTGACTAATGCCCTGAACGATCTCTCCAGCTATTTAAAAGATAATCACCAGAAGTCTAACCCTTCCAAGACACAAGTGTGTGCTTTCTATATACATAATTGTGAAGTCAACTGGAAACCGAAGGTTACCTGGGAAGGCAAGAGCTTGAATACTGTTCACACCCCAAATATCTCGGCACCACCTTAGATTGAACTCTAACATTTAGGAAACACTATGTCAACACCAAGCACAAAGTTGCTGCACGCAATAACATCCTGCAGAAACTTACTAATAACACATGGGGGTGCAGATAAATAAATAACCCTGGCATTGTCTTACTCAAATGCTGAGTATGCCTGCCTTGTCTGGCATAAATCTGCCCACACGAAGCCGGTGAGTACAGCACTAAATGAGACATGGAGAATAATCACAAGATGTCTTAAACTTACACCTGTTGATAGACTCTAGAAGCTAACTGGCATTCCACCCCCACCCCATGTGTGATGGGAAGAAAGAAATTAGGTTAAACACTGAAAGCCACCCACTATATTCTAAATATTGTGAATGCCAAAAGGATCATGCTTCCAAAAGGCTATGGAGATTCCTGGTTTTCCAAAAGGTTATGGTCTCTAAAAGATCATGTCTTTCCAAAAGTATTTGGGAAGAGAGTTAAAGGGCATTTTCAAGAAAAGAAGCCTGACTCTATATATGTCTGATCACGAACTGTAACAGATTAATAAGTAGGGCTAGCCAGGATATTGAAACAGACTATTTGGCAACGAAGTCCAACATCATTGCTACATGTCATACATTCAGGGGTGGGGGGCTGACAGCTCTTTATGTCTTGACATCTTTCAGCAACTCACATTCGATCATGAGGAGGACCTCTGACACCCAGTTCGACATAGTCCAACTGTAACCTATTTCTCTGACAATATTCATGAAGCCTTGCCACGTACACATGGGGGTTCCCATTATTAGCTGCCATTCCGATGAGGGCTATAAAATGAAAGAAACTGATTAGAAACACTTATCATGCTTTAATAGCACTTAAATAATACTTAGTAATATTTAAGGTTTTTTTCCAAAAAAAGTTCTAAATGTCAGGCTTCCTCTAAGAGACCTTCATTGTTTTTCTTCCTCTCCCATTCACACAAATATGCCAGGAAGTATGTTGTTTATTCATTCAGTTGCTTCCGACTCTTCATGACCTCATTGACAAGCCCACGCCAGAGCTCCCTGTTGACCATCGCCACCCCCAGCTCCTTCAAGGTCAAGCCAGCGGTGCCCTTGGTCGGCCCCTCTTCCCTTTTCCTTCCATTTTCCCCAGCATCATTATCTTCTCCAAGCTTTCCTGTCTTCTCATTATGTGGCCAAAGTACTTCATTGTTGCCTCTAATATTCTAGAAGGGGTGTATTCCCTCAAAAAAGCGTAATGGAAATACTTTCCGCACCTCTTACAAGAAATATTTGGTCATTGAAAAAAAGAGCATTGCTTTATACAGAGATCCTAAAGGCTTCCAGACACCAAATACTTCTAACACTCCTAAAGGTGATATGGAGCATTTTGGAGAAATTAAATTGACTCTTGGGGGGTGCATATGGCCTGGGGCTACAGCTTGAGGTTCGCTGCTATAATCCATGACTTGGACAGGTGTGGGCAGCAATTTCTGTCTCAGGCAGCAGAATCAAGTGGGTTAGTCCTGACCATATCTTTTTTTTTAGCCCCTGAGATCACATTTTTTTGTCCAAAAAAAGTATGTCTTAAAATGCCCCAAAATACTATCTAGTGCAGTGGTTCTCAACTCCTGTATTCCTCCACAATAGACATCATGACTAGAGCTGATGAGAGTTGGGATACAGTTACATCTGGAAGGTGGCAGTTTGTTCTGTTTAGTTGGGAGAGTGGGCTTTGAATTTAGATACAAGACTTGTGGATAGGATGTTTGACTGTAAAATGTCCTTTAGCTTTTCCCAATCATCAGTCACAAGTAGTGTTGAGTTGCAGTTCCCATTATTCCCAGTCTATATGCTGGATAATCAGAAGATGGGTTTCCATTCAACAACACTTGGGGACCCAAATCAGGTAAACACTAAAGAGCACTGACCACTATGACCCCTCTGCTATGTCAGCTCCACTGGCTGCCAATCCAGTTCCGAGCACAATTCAAAGTGCTGGTCGTGACCTATAAAACCCTATACGGTTCCGCTAGGCGCGTACCTGTCTGAACGCATCTCCTTCTACGTCCCACCTAGGAATTCAAGATCTTCTGGAGAGGCCCTGCTCTCGGTCCCACCCTTGCCACAAATGAGACTGGCGGGGATGAGGGACAGGGCCTTCTCGGTGGTGGCCCCCCGCCTGTGGAATTCACTCCCAGGGGAAATTAGATCATCGTCATCCCTCTTCTCTTTTAGAAGGAAATTAAAAACATGGATATGGAACCAGGCCTTTGGGTAAACTGGCAGACCGACAAGGACAATGACGACTAGAGCTTTGGGACGGATTATGATAAGCTGAATAGACTCACTAATTACAGAACTCAGCGAAATGATGGCCACAAGACTGGCTTTTTTCTATCAGTTTTTATTGTATTAACACAGTGTTTCTCAACCTTCCTAATGCCACGACCCCTTAATACAGTTCCTCATGTTGTGGAGACCCCCAACCATAACATTATTTTCGTTGCTACTTCACAACTGTAATGTTGCTACTGTTATGAATCATCTTATAAATATCTGATATGTAGGATGTATTTGATATAAATACATGCACATATTTGAATACTGGTGGGGTTGGGGAGGGGGGATAATTGATTTTGGGAGTTGTGGTTCCTGGGATTTATAGTTAACCTACAATCAAAGAGCATTCTGAACCAATGATGTAATTGAACCAAACTTGGCACATGGAATTCCCATGACCAAGAGAAAATACTGGAAGGGTTTGGTGGGCATTGACCTTGAGTTTTGGAGTTGGAGCTCACCTATATCCAGAGAGCACTGTGGACTCAAGCAATGATGGATGTGGATCAAACTTGGCACGGATACTCAATGTGCCCCAATGTGAACACTGGTGCACGTTTGGGGGAAAATAGATAGACCTTGACATTTTGGTGCTGTATTTGCTGGGATGTATAGTTCACCTACAATCAGAGCATTCTAAACCCCACCAATGATAGAATTGGATCAAACTTCCCACATGGAACCCTCATGACCAACAGAAAATACTGTGTCTTCTGATGGTCTTTGGTGACCTCTCTGACATCTCCTCGCGACCCCCCAAGGGGTCCCGACCCCCAGGTTGAGAAACACTGTATTAACATAATGTTTTAATTATTTATAATTACAGATGTATTATATATTTTACTATGTTGAATTGTAGGCAGTGAATATGTGCCAGTTGGAAGCCGCCCTGAGTCCCCCCTAGGGGGTTGAAAAGGGCGGGGTAGAAATGCTCGAAATAATAATAAATAATATGTAAAAGAGTAGATCCTCTGCGTTCACACATTCTCTGTCCATAGATTCAATGGGCTTTTAATTTAAAGGCGACCATAAGACTGACGTTGCACTACTCAGTGGTTCTCAACCTGTGGGTTCCCAGGTATTTTGGCCTACAACTCCCAAAAATCCCAGCCAGTTTACTAGCTGCTAGGATTTCTGGGAGCTGAAGGCCAAAACATGTGGGGACCCACAGGTTGGGAACCACTGATCTAGAGCACTGCTTCTCAAACAGTGGGTCCCGACCCCAGATAAAGTCCCATGTTTAGGGAGAGATGGAGAAAAGGAAGGAAGAAAGATAGGCAGAGAGGGAAGGAAGGAAAGTAGGTAGGTAGGAAATAGAGAGGGAAAGAATAAAGTGCGACATAGTTGTTTGAACCTTAGACTGTGGCTGTGAACCCACTGGGTGTCCAGGTCACACTCTCTCAGCCTCAGATGAAGGCAAAAGCAACTTTCCTTTGAATAAATCTTGACAAGAAAGCTCTGTGATAGGATTGCCTTTGGGTCGCCCTAAGTCTGAAACAGCTTGAAGGCACCCAACAACAAAAAACTGTAATTGGGGCCCCAAGTCGGAGGGACCCTTCAAAAGTTTGAGGAGCCCTGCTCTAGTGGATGCCACTGTATTATGTATGCCTTCAGTGGTTCTCCACCTGGGGTCCCCAGATGTTTTTGGCCTACAACTCCCAGAAATCCCAGCCAGTTTACCAGCTGTTAGGATTTCTGGGAGTTGAAGGTCAAAAACATCTGGGGACCCCAGGTGGAGAACCACTACATAGGCACATAGCTCTCCAAAAGTCTCTCCAAGCTGTGCCTCCCCAAACTACAAAACCCAGGATTCCACCGCACTGAGCCATGGCGGCTAAAGGGGTATCAAGCCGCTTAAAGGTGTACAGTGTAGATCAGGCATGTGCAAACTTCTCCAACTCCCACAATTCGAATTGTGGGAATTGGGAGTCCAAAACACCTGGAGGGCCGAAGTTTGCTCATACCTGTGGGCACTGTAGTCAAGAAAAAACATGGAGCTACAACACCCAATCCATACGGCTTGTTTCCCCCAATCTGTTATTCCTTTCCGCCCACCCCAATCAGCCTCAAGAAGAGCTAGAACACGCCCCCCCCCCCCCCCCCCCCCCATTGAGGAAGAGACCCTCCCTCGGGCCATTCTCTAACTTCGTCCGCCACCCAATCCCGCCGCCTTTGCTACCTCTGGGTCTTCGCAGTGTCGGAGTCTCCCTTCAGACGAGTCTCAGGCGGCAACAGCAGCAGCAACAACTGGCAGCCCCGCTTTCGTTTCCTGACAGCTGATCCGACTGCTCGCTTTCCTTTCTTTGCCTTTGCACAGCGAGCTGGCGCCGCGGGAAATCGAAACTGAAAGCAGCCGCGCGGAGACCAATAGAAAAGCGCGCTCACCTTCCTGACGCGCCCCTAGAGGCTTGAGGCGGTTACTGCAGCCGCGCTTGTTTGCCCGGCCAAGGCACCGACGCCTTTGGGCTATTCATTGCCAGTATGCACTGTAGGATGAATGCAGTTTGAGTCTACTTTGGGAGCATCTATACTGCAGATCTCCAGCAAAGGATCACCGCCTTGTCGGGGCGCTGGAGCTTGAGCACCTCAATGATGTCATGAGCGAAACCGTGAAGGGACACCCAAGACGGGACGGTTGTGGCAGAGAGGTCAGACCAAGCGTGATCCCTGGGGAAGGCAATGGCAAACCACTCCAGTATCCTTGCCAAGAAAACTAAATGGACCAGTACAACCAGAGATATGTCGGTATGCCATTGGAAGAGGGGACTCCCAGGTCGGAAGATGGCCAAAATGCTACTGGGGAGGAGCAGAGGATAAGTTCAACTAGCCCCAGATGTGATGACGCAGCTAGCTCAAAGCCGAAAGGAAGGCTAGCGGCCGACGGTACTGGAGGTGAACGACGAATCCGATGCTCTAAAGATCAACACACCATAGGAACCTGGAATGTAAGATCTATGAGCCAGGGCAAATTGGATGTTGTTATTTGCGAGATGTCAAGACTAAAGATAGACATTCTGGGGGTCAGCGAACTGAAGTGGACTGGAATGGGCCACTTCACATCAGATGACCACCAGATCTACTACTGCGGACAAGAGGAACATCGAAGAAATGGAGTAGCCTTCATAATTAATAAGAAATTCACTAAAGCGGTGCTTGGATACAACCCAAAAAATGACAGAATGATCTCAATTCGAGTGCAAGGAAAGCCTTTCAACATTACAGTGATCCAAATATACACCCCAACCACAGCTGCTGAAGAAGCAGAAGTAGATCAGTTCTATGAGGATCTGCAGGACCTACTGGATAATACACCAAAAAGAGACATTATTTTCATTACAGGAGACTGGAATGCCAAGGTGGGAAGTCAAATGACAACTGGGATCACAGGCAAGCATGGTCTGGGAGAACAAAATGAAGCGGGACGCAGGCTGATAGAATTTTGCCAGGAAAACTCGCTGTGTATAACGAATACTCTCTTCCAACAACCTAAAAGACGGCTTTATACATGGACCTCACCAGATGGTCAACACCGAAATCAGATTGACTACATCCTTTGCAGCCAAAGGTGGCGGACATCCATCCAGTCAGTGAAAACAAGACCTGGGGCTGACTGTAGCTCAGATCACGAACTTCTTATTGCTCAATTTAGAATAAAACTAAAGAGATCAGGGAAAATACACAGACAAGTTAGATATGATCTCACTAACATTCCTAGCGAATATACAGTGGAAGTGAAGAACAGATTTGAAGGACTAGATTTAGTAAACAGAGTCCCAGAAGAACTATGGACAGAAGTCCGCGACATTGTTCAGGAGGCGGCAACAAAGTACGTTCCAAAGAAAAAGAAAACCAAGAAGGCAAAATGGTTGTCTGCTGAGACACTGGAAGTAGCCCAAGAAAGGAGGAAAGCAAAAGGAAACAGGGATAAGGGGAGATATGCCCAGTTAAATGCGCAATTCCAGAGGTTAGCCAGAAGAGATAAGGACCTATTTTTAAATAAGCAATGCATGAAAGTGGAAGAAGACAACAGAACAGGAAGGACAAGAGACCTCTTCCAGAAAATTAGAAGCATTGGAGGTAATTTTCAGGCAAAAATTGGCATGATAAGAAACAAAGATGGCAGGGACCTAACAGAAGCTGAAGAGATCAAGAGAAGGTGGCGAGACTATACAGAAGATCTGTATAGGAAGGATAATAATATTGAGGATAGTTTTGACGGTGTGGTGAATGAATTAGAACCAGACATCCTGAGGAGTGAGGTTGAATGGGCCTTAAGAAGCATTGCTAACAACAAGGCAGCAGGAGATGACGGGATCCCAGCTGAACTGTTTAAAATCTTAAAAGATGATGATGTCAAGGTGATGCATGCCATTTGCCAGCAAATATGGAAAACACAAGAATGGCCATCAGACTGGAAAAAATCAACTTATATCCCCATACCAAAAAAGGGAAATGCGAAAGACTGCTCAACTTCCGTACAGTGGCCCTTATTTCTCATACCAGTAAGGTAATGCTCAAGATCCTGCAAGGAAGACTCCAGCAATACATGGAGCGAGAGTTGCCAGATGTTCAAGCTGGGTTTAGAAAAGGCAGAGGAACGAGAGACCAAATTGCCAATATCTGCTGGATAATGGAGAAAGGCAAGGAGTTTCAGAAAAACATCTATTTCTGTTTTATTGACTATTCTAAAGCCTTTGACTGTGTGGATCATAATAAATTGTGGCAAGTTCTTGGTGGGATGGGCATACCAAGCCACCTTGTCTCTCTCCTGAGGAATCTGTACAAGGACCAAGTAGCAACAGTCAGAACTGACAACGGAACAACAGACTGGTTCAAGATTGGGAAAGGCGTACGGCAAGGCTGCATCCTCTCACCCAACCTTTTTAACTTGTATGCAGAACACATCATGCGATGTGCGGGGCTGGATGAATGCAAAGCTGGGGTGAAAATTGCTGGAAGAAACATTAACAACCTCAGATATGCAGATGACACCACTCTGATGGCCGAAAGCGAGGAGGAGCTGAGGAGCCTTCTAATCAAGGTGAAAGAAGAAAGCGCAAAAGCCGGGTTGCAGCTAAACGTCAAAAAAAAACCAAGATTATGGCAACAAGAATGATTGACAACTGGAAAATAGAGGGAGAAACCGTGGAGGCCGTGACAGACTTTGTATTTCTAGGTGCAAAGATTACTGCAGATGCAGACTGTAGCCAGGAAATCAGAAGACGCTTACTTCTTGGGAGGAGAGCAATGTCCAGTCTCAATAAAATAGTAAAGAGTAGAGACATCACACTGGCAACAAAGATCCGCATAGTCAAAGCCATGGTATTCCCTGTAGTAACCTACGGATGTGAGAGCTGGACCTTAGGGAAGGCTGAGCGAAGGAAGATCGATGCTTTTGAGCTGTGGTGTTGGAGGAAAGTTCTGAGAGTGCCTTGGACTGCGAGAAGATCCAACCAGTCCATCCTCCAGGAAATAAAGCCCAACTGCTCACTGGAGGGAAAGATACTAGAGACAAAGTTGAAGTACTTTGGCCACATCATGAGGAGACAGGAAAGCCTAGAGAAGACAATTATGCTGGGGAAAGTGGAAGGCAAAAGGAAGAGGGGCCGACCAAGGGCAAGATGGATGGATGGCATCCTTAAGTGACTGGACTGACCTTGAAGGAGCTGGGGGTGGTGACGGCCGACAGGGAGCTCTGGCGTGGGCTGGTCCATGAGGTCACGAAGAGTCGGAGACGACTGAACGAATGAACAACATACTGCAGATATGGGCATGGTAAAAAACAAAAACAAAACAAAGATGGCAAGGATCTAACAGAAGCTGAAGAGATCAAGAGAAGGTGGCGAGACTATACAGAAGATCTGTATAGGAAGGATAGTAATATCGAGGATAGTTTTGACAGTGTGATGAGTGAATTAGAACCAGACATCCTGAGGAGTGAGGTTGAATGGGCCTTAAGAAGCATTGCAAACAACAAGGCAGCAGGAGACGACGGGATCCAAGCTGAACTGTTTAAAATCTGGAAAGAGGATGCTGTCAAGGTGATGCATGCAGAGGCGGCCCTAGGTAATTTTCAACGGTAAGCAAACAGTATTTTAGCCCCCCCCCCCCCCAACCAATCACTGATATATATTTTCTGTTCGTCGTGGGAGTTCTGTGTGCCATATTTGGTTCAATTCCATCATTGGTGGAGTTCAGAATGCTCTTTGATTGTAGGTGAACTATACATCCCAGTAACTACAACTCACATATGTCAAGGTCTATTTTCCCCCAAGAGCGCCTCAAGAGCGCCCCTGGGCAAAATCAACTATACTGCAAATGCTTACTTTGCGTAATGGGTTGAGCCACCCCTGGATGCATGCCATATGCCAGCAAATATGGCCATCAGACTAAAAAAAAATCAACTTATATCCCCATACCAAAAAAAAGGGAAATGGTAAAGACTGCGGAAACTTTTATACATTGGCCCCTATTTCACATGCCAGTAAGGTAATGCTCAAGATCCTGCAAGGAAGACTCCAGCAATACATGGAGCAAGAGTTGCCAGATGTACAAGCTGGGTTTAGAAAAGGCAGAGGAACGAGAGACTAGATTGCCAATATCTGCTGGATAATGGAGAAAAGCAGGGAGCTTCAGAAAAACATCTATTTCTGTTTCATTTACTATTCTAAAGCCTTTGACTCTTTGGATCGTAATAAATTGTGGCAAGTTCTTGGTGGTATGGGCACACCAAATCACCTTGTCCCTCTCCTGAGGAATCTGTATAAGGACCACGTAGCAACAGTAGGAACAGATGACAGAACAACAGACTAGTTCAAGATTGGGAAAGGGGTATGGCAGGGTTGTATCCTCTCACCCAACCTATTCAACTTGTATGCAGAACACATCATGCGATGTGCGGGGCTTGACGAATCCAAGGTTAGGGTTAAAATTGCTGGACGAAACATTAATAACCTTAGATATGCAGATGATACCACTTTGATGGTTGAAAGCGAGGAGGGGCTGAGGAGCCTTCTAATCAAGATGAAAGAAGAAAGCGCAAAAGCTGGGTTGCAGCTAAACATAAAAAAAACCCAAGATTATGGCAACAAGACTGATGGATAACTGGCAAATAGAGGGAGAAAATGTGGAGGCAATGACAGACTTTGTATTTCTAGGTGCAAAGATTACTGCAGACATAGACTACAGCCAGGAAATCAGAAGACGCTTACTTCTTCGGAGGAGAGCAATGACCAGTCTCGATAAAATAGTGAAGAGTAGAGACATCACACTGGCAACGAAGATCCGCATAGTTAAAGCAATGGTATTCCCCGTAGTAACCTACGGATGTGAGAGCTGGACCATAAGGAAGGCTGAGCAAAGGAAGATAGATGCTTTTGAACTGTGGTGTTGGAGGAAAGTTCTGAGAGTGCCTTGGACTGCGAGAAGATCCAACCAGTCCATACTTCAAGGACAGGAAATAAAGCCTTACTGTTCATTGGAGGGGAAGGATATTAGAGGCCAAGATGAAGTATTTTGGCCACATCATGAGAAGAAAGGAAAGCTTAGAGAATACAACGATGCTGGGGAAAATGGAAGGAAAAAGGAAGAGGGGCCGACCAAGGGCAAGATGGATGGATGGCATCCTTGAAGCGACTGACTTGACCTTCAAGGAGCTAGGGGTGGCCTCAGCCGACAGGGAGCTCTGGTGTGGGCTGGTCCATGAGGTCACGAAGAATCAGAAGCAACTGAATGAATAAACAACACACAGTAGAATGAATGCAGTTTAACTCCACTTTGCAGTTTAACTCCACATTGGGTGCATCTACACTGTAGAATGAATGCAGTTTGACTCCACTTTGGGTGCATCTAGACTGCAGAATGAATGCAGTTTGACTCCACTTTGGGTGCATCTAACCAAAGAATGAATGCAATAGACTCTACTTTGGGTGCATCTGGTATCAGATGTGACCCCCCCCCCCCGGACTCTGTTAAATATGGTTCAAAACCAAAGAATTCATAGTTTTACCAAGGACACCAGGTTGGAATGATCCCATAATCCCCTATCTCTTCCCCATGTGGAAACCTAAGGCTCTTTTCATGACCCCACATGGCAATGGCCCTGTAATCCACTATTTATGGACTTTTCTATGAACGTTTTGAAATCTTTAATCAACTTTTCATGGACTTTGGAACTCTTATGGACCTTACACCAAACTGTTATGAACTTTTATGATATTTCACTGATCTATATGAACCTTTGGTAGACTGTGGAGAGAGGGAGGGCTGACAGGGCTCCCTAGACTTTGCATGGTTTATCCCTTATGATTTCCTTGTATGTTTCCTTTTCCCATTATATGTGTGTGTGTCTATGTTTATGAAATATGAAGGAAAAGCCACTGTTTTCAAAATCCAGCAACTCACCTAGCTCAGGAAGTCCCCTCATGCTTCCTGAGCTACTAATTCCCTAACAAAAGGTTTCACCTTGTCCATTTGCATGGACAATAAAACAAATGGTTAGTATCAGCCAGATCTCGGAGGGCACAAGGCTAGTCCATCTGGAGATAAGACCTCTGGGCATCTTGATCCACCAACACCAAAGGTGTTTTCCTGTCTGCAAGGAATTAGGACTTCACGACAGCTTCTTCCATTATGTCAGCCCTGCTGGTCGAAACCAGTTCCAAAATTCATCAACTCACCCCATATCTCCAGATGATAAAACAAAGGACCTGGCCATTTAGACCAGACTACAGATGATGATTCCAAGGAACTTAAACAATAAACCCTGGCTTACGCAATTGCTGAGCCATTTTGCAAACATTAATCATTTAAACCAGTCAACTGGACATTTTTCATTGTTTTCCTGTTGTCCGCCTCCCTTCCACCCCATTGGTTGAGAGGCCAAAGCAGAGCTCAGGCCACCATTGGCTATCCTGCTGGCTTGCCAATGTCATAGCCAACCACAATGAAGCTGGCTCAGGGAGTGGGCATCAATTTTGAAATGAAAAAATCTATATATTCTGCATTTACCTGCATAGCAGACATATCAATTTGTTTGGCAGAATTACTGCAATCGTCATCCTTTCCAGCTGGAATGAAATAAATATCTCGGTGGTTTTTCTCTTCAGCTTGTGAGATTTATTCTGGAATATTGGCTTCCCTTTTCTCACCAAGCTACCCACAATTTATTTATTTATTTATTTACTTTGCTTCTATACTGCTGTTCTCAGCCTGAGGGCGACTCACAGCGGTGTACAACATAGGAAAATTCTGGCTGAGATTTCTGGGAGTTGTAGGCCAAAAACATCTCGGGACCCCAGGTTGAGAACCACTGGTGTAGATGCATCTTTATGGGTTTAGGCCCATAACAAATAGAATGAAATTCAATGAAGGCAAATGCAAAATTCTACACTCGGGAGTTAATCTACACTATAGAATGAATGTAGTTTGACACCGCTTTGACTTTATCATGTCAGAAGCAAATTGAGAGTACAGTTACAATGTATAAAACAACCACAAACAAAGTTAAAAACTTAGCATGATGTTAAATTTCCATTGACAAGAAGCTGGCCACTTGGAGTGCTTTTGGTGTTGCTGTAAGAAGGTCCTCCATTGTGCACGTGACTCAGAATGCATTGTAGTGAGACTTGTGTTTTGCTCTCCACACTCACATGTCATGGACACCACTTTGTATCCCCATTGCTTAAGGTTGGCTCTGCATCTTGTGTCCCGTTGCAACCCTCTTCGTGAATGTATAGCAGAATAGCTTATTAGCAGCAGCGTGACACAGCACCAGTAGCCCAAAGTGATATAAAGAATAAAAACACAGAGACATCTCTTACACAGGAGGCTTTTCTTTGTAGTAAAATAATCACTCAAAATTGATTTTGTCATTTGGGAGTTGTAATTGCTGAAATTTATAGTTAACCTACAATCAAAAAGCATTCTGAACTTCACCAACAATGGAATTGAACCAAACTTGGCACACAGGACTCCCATGACCAACAGGAAAAAAAATCATTAAAATATTTCAAGCTATAACTTCAGAATTTGCAGTATTTATCATATCTTAGCCTTCTGCCCAATTTTGTTGCTGCTAAACACTCTTCAAATTTTGCGTCCATTTCCTGGCTCTGAGCTTCCGTGAACAGTGTCTTCCAGTCGCCCACTTCACCTGAAGAAGAACAAACAGAAATGAAATCTAGTATTTCTTCTATCCTAAATGAAGATCAAGAGGTCTGTAAGATAACATTTCAATATAGTTTTGTCTTTGTTTGCTTACTTTATTGTTTTTATTGTGGGGTTTTTTGCCCTGGGGGCCACGCCAATAGCCAAGATTTTGATTCGGGGGGGAGGGGGGCTGAGTCTGGAGGGTCTACCCTAGCAAACCTTTTGTATTGTTACCCCAATACCCCCATGCATATGGGATATATTGAGTATGGTGATCAGATCATGATATGAATAAACATAACAGTTTAAATAATGTACCAGTAAGGCCTTCTTGCAGACCACCATGAGAATTTGGGGGGGGGGGGCTGAAGCCCCTCAAGCCCCCCCCCCGGTTACATGCCTGCTGGGGGCGAATGCCAGGCCCGGCCATGAGGGAGGGCAGGGTGGGTCCAGGGGCCAGGAGAGCTGGAGGCAGGGTGGGCCCGGGGGGGCAGGGTTGGGGTGGAGAGAGCCCAGGAGGGAGCTGGACAGGTAGTGGTGGGGCCAAGGGCATATCACCCTCTGGCTTTCCCTCCAGCTGCTCGTCCCATCCTTATGCTGGGAGGAGGGTGAGACTTTAGAGCTCTTTCACCACCATTTGCTTCTGCCTTCTGCGAGTATCAGATGGCGCCTTGCCTCTCTTGATGCCAGGAAAAGGGAGAGGCAGGTGGGGTCCGAGGGGGCTTTGGTACTCCCTCAGCTCCCACCTGCTTCTTCCCCTGGGCCAGGCTTCTCCCGGCATCAGGACAGGGCCACTCACCTCATCCTTATGCTGGGAGAAGGGCCCAAGAAAGGCATGCAGCAGACTGAAAGCACTCCAATGGGCTCCCAGTTACCGCATGCCTTCCTTCCTTGTCCTTATGGCATAAAGATGTAGTGGGCTGTGATGTACTTATGCCCAGAGGACAGGAAAAGTCTGGAGGACTGCGTATAATTGCCCAGAGGGCCGTGTCTGGCTCACAGGCCTTAGTTTGCCCATGCTTGCTCCAGAGTATCAAAAATCCTATTGTACATAATATTTTACTTTCTATAGTGGTTAGTGATAAAGACACAATATTGTTCTGAGATTGAGAGTAATGGAAAAGGTCTCTTAGGGGGTTAATCCAAGCCAGTGATTCTGGCCCCATCTACATAGCCACATAATGTTACACGGGAAACAGGTTAGCCTGGGGTGTCCAAATGATGCTCCAGGCTAAACAGTTTCAGCCTGGAATACATCTGATTATCCATGCTTGGAACCCATTACAGAACTTGACATTAAATTATCTGCACAGTGAAATCACGTCCTTCTCTGCCGGGTTCACATCGAATTAAGTCATCAATGTAGATGTGCCCTCAGACTTGCCTTTAACCTAAATGTCTCCACTGGAGGGGTCTTACATGAATAGAATAAACAGTACTGAAACTGTAACCTTCTACCAAAGATTCTTAAAATGGCATATAAATTGTACCTTTTCTGAAAATGATGGGGGCAATTGCGCCGTGGGTTTGTGAGGATCTGTCACTCATTCCTTGAAAGGTTGCTTTGCTTGCCAGAGATTTCATCTGCTCTTCAGAAAGAGGAAATGCATAAAACTCGGCTATTTGTTTAATTCCCTCATACAGATTCTGTAAAATAATAATATGATCAAGTTAGTTATGATGTCATAAAAAGGATGGAATAAATATGTTCATGCTCTAGCCCCAATTTTGAATCTGATATGGCAAAATTGGCACAACGTGGAAGTATGAAATAAGGACAGAGAACACATGCAGCTCCCATAATTTCATTTAAGTGTGATGAATATTTGTGCAGGACATGTATTTTTATTTAAAACCAGGTATTCAACTGCTTCCACTTTGCGCAACTCCTTTTCATTTTCTATCTGTGGAGACATCAAGGACAATGGAATCCTTTTCATGATTGGTCTTCAGTAGAATTCCTTGTCTCCTGTTGCAATATATTATACAGGAGCCAGTTTTAAAAAAAAATTGTAAGACTAAGTAAAAGTAAAGAACTACTGTAGTTTGAAAACACTTGAATGTTGATTGCCTTCTCTGCCAATTAGTGCTGGTATCTCAGCAAACTACCAATCTCAGGATTCCTTAGCATTGAGCAACTGCTGTTAAACTGGATTCAAATTATATCAATTCTACAGTGCAGATGCACTGCTTGGTAACGGAGAGCTCCTTCTACAACAGTATTCAGAAAATCAAGTCCATATGCTCACTTCTTTCAGCTCTTCATATGTGAGGATCATGACATTTTCATCATTCATGTGTTTGTCCCAAGCAAGAGCATGTTCAAAGTAGGATCGATAAGCAACTGAAACGACATGTCAAAAGTATACATCAAGGTTGGAAATGGAAAAGAAATATCACAATGACACCAACCTTGCAAACATATGTTATGCAAAAAATCCACATCGGATACCTGAAGTACAGAATTATTCATTTGTGACAGTTTGCCCATGGGGTTGGAGCCAGGTATAATCTCATTGCATGTATATGTAAAACTCATTTTAATGACTTTCAACAGGTTTACTACCAAGCGCATATAGAACTGTACCCCAGGGTGATGTGAGAATGATGTGAGAATGACCAGGGGCCATTTCACATTACACAATTATAATTGCATGATTCTTCTGTAACTGCCCATAACCAGAGGTCACAGAGTCATAACTATCCCCGATATGGCTCTGACCTCCTCTGGAGCAGGGATGGATTGTCAATGCTATTTGCCGCTCTTGCTTAATTATTTATTGATAGATGAGGAGGAGACTGTTTGAAACCTTTTTGCCAGTATTGCACCTCATCTCATTTTCATTTATCTATCCACATTACTGCAGAATTTCTGGCCACAGATTTGAGCCAACAACATTCTCTCTAAGGCTGAGAGAATGTGACTTGTCTGAGACAACATCGTATTCCATGGTAGAGGAGGAATGTGAATCCTGGTTTCTGGAAGTCCTAATCAAACATTACATCACACTTTCTTATGTGGGCATAACTATGCATAAAATATTTCTGATTCATTACTCAAAAATATGAAAGATGCCAAAGATAGGGCATGTGTCAATGTTTGCAGGTTCACCATGGATACTCTTTCAAGTTCAAGATGATGGTGATGATGTGTGCCTTTCAAATTATTTCAAGTTATATTAAGGATTTTTCTTGGCAATATTGTACTCAGAGGGGATCCCTGGTTTCCAGAGTCTTACTGCAATACTTAAATGATGGCAGTTTCTTGATTTCATATGTGCCAAACTCAAGGCCTACAGGCCAAATTCAGCCTGTGATGGCCCTTTGGAAGCAACCATAAGACTGATGCACTGATGAAAATGAGTTTCACATCCCTGCCTTAGATAACCTAAAGCTTTCTTTTCCATGAGGAACATGAGTCTTTTAAGGCCCTAATAATCCCAACTTTCTCACTTCTGACGTACCTTCACCATTCATGAATTTTTGAAAGAATTCATCCCAGGAGTCGACACTGGGGAGCAAAGGATTTTTGTTTTGAAAATGATAATAGGAGACAGCCGTATCTTTAGGATTTCGAAATATCACAAGTATCTATTTAAACAAAAATAAAAGGCATTTTAGACTCTTGATTTCAGCAGCCATTGGCATCTAATAACATGAGCAGTTTCTGTAATGAAATTAACATTAATTTAGAGGCAAAGGTAAAAATCTGGAAATATGTAGTGTGCCGTTACGCCCAGACGCTTTAAAATAAAACTTCGACATGCTGCTATCTATGTCTGGGCGAAACTGCTGGGGTCTTTCTTTAGGCAGATTGAGCTTTCTGGAATAACTGAGTCCACTTCAATTTTAAACAATAAACAGGGTATTTATTGACAAAGTCCTGGTAGACTTGGCTCAGCTTATCAATATTACAACAATCAATGAATAATAAACTCCATCTATATTAATAAACTCTATCTATATTCAGTTAAACTCAATTACTCTATCTATCTATCTATCTATCTATCTATAATCTATAGGTCACAATTAAACTAAATTACTCAATTAATCTATCTATTTTCTATCTATAACTAAATTGTTTTGACAATGGTATTTTCTGAGGTACCTGTCTGCGAACAGCACATCATGGATTCTTCCTAAAAACTGAAGGGGCAGGGAGACCTCCAAAATGGCTGCTTCTATCCTGGAAACAGGGGCGGGCCCAAAGAGCCACTCTTTGGCCAATTATTGCAGAGGGCCTGAAAACTGGCTTTCCTGCCTCTGGCTGCTAACCTTTTAGGCCTTTGCAGAGGCTGCAGAGGCCTAGGAGAAAGGCAAGGGGCAACCAATTTAAGCAACCCAAAAAGACAATAAACCCAGTCTCCTGGGAGACGGAACATGTAGTCTGGTACAAACTTCTGTAAAGTTGTCATTAATTCACCTGCCTGCCCTGTATACTCATGCATACAGGCAATCCCCAAGTTACAAACAAGATAAGTTCTGTGGGTTTGTTTTTAACTTGAATTTGAATGTAAGTTGTAAAGGGTACATTTTAAAGTGCAACTCCAACCATATATATGTGCCCCTCTTCACAAGATTTCACTTCACTTTCTGATCCTATAAGAATTGGATTTTGAAACATTTGGCTTGTTGTGGAAACAAGGATTGGTGATAAAGCTTCAGTGGAGACCCCTTTTCTGTGTATTGCCGAAGGCTTTCATGGCCGGAATCAATGGGTTGCTGTGAGTTTTCTGGTCTGTATGGCCATGTTCCAGAAGTATTCTCTCCTGACGTTTCACCCACATCTATGGCAGGCATCCTCAGAGGTTGACCCCTCAATGTCCTAGGATGCCTGCCATAGATGTGGGCGAAACGTCAGGAGAGTATGCTTTTGGAACATGGTCATACAGCCCGGAAAACTCACAGCAACCCAAGATAGGTTCTGTGTGTTTGTTCTTAAGTTGTATTTGTATGTAAGTTGCAAAGGGTACATTTTGAAAGTGTAACTCCAGCCATATATCTGTATCTATCCATATCTATATGTGCTTTGGATTGCATAGGTGTGATGTTTGTTTTGCTGTCTGTGCCCCTGTTCAGAAGATTTCAACTCGCCTTCTGACTGTGAGTATTGCATTTTGAAACATTTGGCTTGTTGTTAACACAAAGATTGGTGATAAAGCTTCAGTGGAGACCCCTTTTCCCCATGATAACTCTTTCTGGAGTGAATTTCCCTTCCGAGAGGTAGATTTTTCTCACTTTCTGTTGCCTCATCCCATTCTTAGCTATGAGTTGTTTGTAAGTTGAGTGTTTATAACTCTGGAAGTGCCTGTAATTTTCAGTCAAAACAAAATTCCCAACTTTTCCATCGTTTAATGTGAGCACTGTACCTTAACTCTTATTGAAAAAGGAACCATCCCTTTCTAGGAACAGAGTGGTAAAAGGGAAGTACTCCATCCCTCCAGGACAATCCAAAAGAAGCACAAACTCCTCAACTCTCTCCATCGTTACACCACTTCTGACTTTTGTCAAAACTTGAGTGGGGAAATAGTGGTGGCAGCCAGAAGAAAATAGCTCCCTTAGGCAATAGTGATGTTTTCACCTCTCTGTATCCACACGTCACATCATAGGGGCGAGAAAGAGATACAGTAAAAGGCAAAAAATTAAGTGGAATAAATTTCCACCTCTGTCTCAGGCCCCAGTCTGAAAAGAGACATGATAGACGTGTTTACATATTTGAGAGGATGTCACACTGAGGAGGGGCAAGCTTGTTTTCAGCTGCTTCAGAGACTATAGACCTCATCACATGTGCAGCTGAAACGAAGGTGTCTCAGCACGTTCTGGCGGTGCTCCTTCGAAGCTTCCTCCCACCTCATCACATGGGGGGAAGCCTGTTTATGCCAGACTTGACTCATCTTTCCTAATGGAAAGATGGGGAGACTGCCATTGTCTGCCACCACCATTTTTTCAGCAGTGGCAGCGGTTCAGCCATGGAGTCACCCCGAAAGTAGTTCTTCAGATTGTGATGGGAGCCATCAGGCTCCATGGCTCAAGAAAAAAAACCTGTCATACCACTGAAAAACAAAGCGTGAAGAGGAGCAATGGACTCAAATTGCAGTACAAACAATGCCACCTAAATATTAGGAAGAACTTCCTGATGGTAAGACCTGTTCAGCAGCAAAAATATGCTGACTTGGAGTCCTGTCAAGTCTCATTCTGTGGAGGCTTTTAAGCAGAGGATGGACGGTTATCTGGCAGAGGTGCTTTGACTGTACTTTTCCTGCATCACAGGAGGTTGGACTGGATGCCCCTTCTGGTCTCTTCCAACACTATGATTCTATTATTCAATATTTCATCTTGTAGAGATTTGGGGATTGGTTTTGCCTCATATTGATCCATGTTTCCCTACTTGGGTTCAAGAAAGAATTTTTGCCTGAAACATTTGGATATTACTAACTGCAAAGAAGAGGAAGGCAGGAAAGGAGCATTATATGATGTGATTTGGTTCATGCAGCAAGGCTGCCGGAAGTGTCCTTCTGAAAGAACTGCCATCACAGAGACAACAAAATAAATCATAAATCATAAAACAAAATAAATGTAAAATAATCATAGCAGGAGTGAAAGTAGTCACTTACCTTTACCTTCTTTTCAAAAAATGATTTGGGGATGTTATCATAATGGAGATGTGTTGTAAACACTCGAGGAGAAAGCCATTCGTTTATATCCTAGAGTAAAAGTTAAATCATGAGTAAGCAAATGGCTTTCTTCACACAGGTGGAAAAGCACAAATGGACTTCCATTTCCTGCAAGTGTGGAAATACAGGATTATTGTATTGAAGTGTGGTGAAGCAGATCCTGGAAAGCAATACACGGCATTTGTCACTATATGTGACAGCTATGTAAATAGAAATTAGGAATTTTATGGTTAATACCACTCTCCATGCTTGAGATACAAAGAACTGCCTTGTTATTCATTGTAGAAGGTGATCTCAAGAGGAAGGAGATTTTACACTGAGCTTGCTATAAAACCAGAGATATGAAGGAGTGAATATGGGATACCTGGCTCCTTAGTGCTATATTCTAACATTGCTTTTGTGGACTTCTTGATTCGAAGTTCATAGAAAGGCAGAAGCTATAGTTATTTATGCCCAAAATGCTCTGCATATGCTCAGAAGCACAAAAAAAATTTCTTAATCTGAACTCTGACCTTCTTGATATACCAGCCACTTACGACTACATGGAATTACAGTTGATCCTATTGATAAATTCCACCATCCACATATTGAATGATTTTAAATCCCAAAAAACAAGCCTTGATTTTGCCATTTTATATAAGAGACACTATTTCACTATACTATTGTATTTATTTATTTCAAACATTTGTATCCCATCCTTCTCACCCCCGAAGGGGTCTCGGCGTGGCTTACAACTGGCAATCATTACATGCCACACAAACAATTGCAATAAAATCACAATTAAAAACAATAACTAAACAATGTATTGTCGAAGGCTTTCATGGCTGGAATCACTAGGTTCTTGTGGGGTTTTTTCGGGCTATAGGGCCATGTTCTAGAGGCATTTCTCCTGACGTTTCGCCTGCATCTATGGCAAGCATCCTCAGAGGTAGTGAGGTCTGTTGGAATTAGGACAATGGGTTTATATATCTGTGGAATGGCTGGGGTGGGGCAAGGAGCTCTTCCCTGCTGCAGCTGGGTGTGAATGTTTCAACTGATCACCTTCATTAGCATTTGAAGGCCTGTCTGAGCCTGGGGAAATGTTTTGTTGAGAGGTGTTAAGATGTGCCTGGTTGTTTCCTCTCTGCTGTTTTGCTGTTGTGATTTTAGAGTTTTTTAATACTGGTAGCCAGATTTTGTTCATTTTCATGGTCTCTTCCTTTCTTTTGAAATTGTCCACATGCTTGTGGATTTCAAATAAAATTACAATGGCAAAACAGCAGAGAGGAAACAACCAGGCACATCTTAACACCTCACAACAAAAGATTTTCCCAGGCTCAGCCAGGCCTTCAAATGCTAATGAAGGTGGTCAGTTGAAACATTCACACCTAGCTCCAGCAGAGAAGAGCTCTTTGCCCCACCCCAGCCATTCCACAGATATATAAACCCATTGTCCTAATTCCAACAGACCTCACTACCTCTGAGGATGCTTGCCATAGATGCAGGCGAAACGTCAGGAGAAATGCCTCTAGAACATGGCCCTATAGCCCGAAAAAACCCACAAGACTAAACAGTAAATTAAAAACATTCATTTAAAAGTTAACAAATCCAAGTCCAAATCCGAACTGACATCCAAAGTCATAGTCCAACGTCTGTCCATTGTCAATCAAAGAAATGGTATGCATTATTATTGCTACGCCTGCTGCTCGAATGCTTGGTCCCATAACCATGATTTAAGCTTTTTCTAAAGGGCAGGAGAGAAGGGGCCAACCTGATGTCATTGGAGAGTGTCTTCCACAGATGGTGGGCCACCACAGAGAACGCCCTGTCTCTCGTGCCCGCCAGTCACGCTTGCAAGGGTGGCGGGATTGAGAGCAGAGCTTCTCCCAATGATATTAAGCACAGAGGTGGATCATAGAGGAAGATACATTTGGATAAGTAAATTGGGCCGAACCATATAGGGCTTTATAGGCCAAAACCAGCACTTTGAATTGTGCCTGGTAGCAGACTGGCAGCCAGTGGAGCTGAAGTAACAGGTGCTCCCTGTATGCTGCTCTGGTGAGCAATCTTGCTGCTGCCCGTTGAACTAATTGAAGCTTCTAAACAGTCTTCAAAGGCAACCCCATGTAGAGTGCATTGCTGTAATCTATTTGGGATGTAACAAGAGTGTGGACCACCATAGCCAAGTCAGACTTCCCAAGATACTAGCATAGCTGGCACACAAGTTTTAACTGTACAAATGTTCCCCTGGTCACCGCCGAAACCTGTGGTTCCAGTCTCAGCGATGAATCCAGGATCACTCCCAAGCTGCAAACCTGCGTCTTTAGGGGGAGTATAATCCCATCCAACACAGGCTCTAACCCTATGCCCTGTTCAGCCTTTCAACTGACCAGGAGGACCTCTGTCTTGTATGGATTCAGTTTCAATTTGAATTCTATGATTTGGGCATCCAGCAGACACAGGGAGTCTACTGTATATCCTCTAACCGGAATGAACATATAATTCCTAATCCACTGTTCCAGTCCAGACAAACAACTCACAGTACAGGCTGAGCATCTTTTATCCATAATCCCAAATCTAAAATACCTCAACAATCAAAATCGTCCACATGGGTGGCTGAGATAGTGACACCTTTGATTTCTGATGGTTCAGAGCACACAAACTTTGTCTTATGCACAAAATTATTCAAAATATGATGTTAAACTACTTTCAGAGCATGTACATAAGGCATTTATGAAACAAAAATGTTTACATTTGGATCTCATGTCCAATTTATAGACATATATTCAAATACAGCTATTCCAAGATTTGAAAAAATCCAAAACAATCCTGGCCTCAATCATTCCAGATAAGGGATACTCAACCTGAATTTGAAGGATGCATCAACAAGATACATTTCAGCACAGATGGACAAATGGCAGTGGACAGAAGAGAAATGCATATCAGTGACAAGACCCAAATGCTTGGATTGCTAGATTCAATGCTTTAGAAAAGCTGACTCTAATCTAACATTTCTGAATTCATAGCAGTACAACTCCCACCATTCCCTGGTATAAATCAGACTCTCAGATTTTTAATCCAGTGCATTTGGAAAATGCCAAACTGAATGAATGACCAATTGAAAAAACTAAACCCCTATGAAGGACCCACTAAAATTAGCCACTAGAGGGCAACCCTGACAGCCAAACATGTCATGCTTGGAAAGCCCCTTGGTTTCTTTAAAAACTAATCATTTATATAAATTAACACTAGTAGTGAATTAAATACTACCTTCCCAACATTAATGACAAATTAATTGCACATTAATAAGTTGTCATATATACACTGACTTTCATAGAAAGACTTTGAGTTCATGCTGACCTTAATTTTTTCTGGACGTCCAAACTCAAGCAGTTGAAAGTTACTCGGGGGTGAAATATCCTTGTGAATTTCTGCCACCATATCATTTAAAATATATAATGACCAATTTGTACCTGCAACATAAAGGCAAATGAGTTCCATATGGCTTCCAAAAACATAAGACACACAGAGACAAGAGTACAGTCAGTGTGCCAACGTCTGTGCTAAATTATTGATATTAAAATAACTAGACTTTAATAATTTTAACAATCATTTAGCATTTTGCAGATTAGCACAGAACAGTCTTGGGATGACATTCTCCCTCCTCATACTTTGTGTATCTAGTTTTTCCTCCTTGGGTGAGGTAAACCATTGTTTGCCATTTTATCCTTTCCCAGGATTGCAAATTCTGATGGATGAAATGACAAATTCTTAAAGCAAAAATCACTGGGCTGCATTTATAGCAGATAAGAAGACCACGAAGCAATTGAGGATATGATCCTGAGGCCACTTTTCTTTTGGCTTTATGCCTGAACTCTCTCTGAAGCTCTGAAATGCACAGCATTTGTTTGAAGTGGAGGTATTGTTTGCAAGAGAAGCTATTGTTTGTATAAGAGCCAGTGTAAAAAAGCAATATTGATCAAAACAGATTTCAGAAAATACTACACTGCCAGAAAAAAGGTTCCACCTTAACTTTAGGAAGAACTGGAGGTACTGTTTGCAAGAGAAGCTACTGTTTGTATAGGAGCCAGTGTTAAAAAACCTGTATTGATCAAAACAGATTTCACAAAATTCTACACTGCAGGAAAAAAGGTTCCACCTAAACATTAGGGAGAACTTCCTGACAGTAAGAGCTGTTTGCCACAGTGGAACATGCTGCCTGGGAGTGTGCTGGAGTCTCTGCCTCTGGAAGTTTTACAGCAAATACTGAATGGCCATCAATCGGGGTGCTTTGATTCTGCATTCCTTCCTGACAGAATGGGGTTGGACTGGATGACTCTGGTGTCTTCCAACTCTATGATTTTAAGAGGTTTGAGGTTGGCAGCCCATGACCAGTTACTTGAACATGGAGCAAGAAGGTGTGTATTGCTTAGTTAGTTACATAACCTGGGGATGATCAGTGGGATGTGGAGAAGGATTAGAAAGATACAAAATGGGCTACTACAGACATCTGACAAGCATAACTTTGCTTGTAGATGTAAACAAGGATTCTGGCAACCCAGCCTGAATGTCTAACTACTGATGATATCACATTAGAGCAGTGGTTCTCAACCTGTGGGTTCCCAGGTGTTTTGACCTACAACTCCCAGAAATCTCAGCCAGTTTACCAGCTGTGAGGATTTCTGGGAGTTGAAGGCCAAAACATCTGGGGACACACAAGTTGAGAACCACTGCATTAGAGACTTCTAAATTGCAGGTCTGTGTTTCCCTATTGCCTGCAGAATTCTGGGAAATATAGTTTAGGGAAGCCAAGGACCTCTAGCTCAGAATTTCAAAGGCTCAGCTCTAAACTATATTCCCTAGAATTCTGCAGGAGCAAACTGGTTCAGAGGGAAACACGGACCTAATCTGTAGAGCTCTAATGTGATCTTGTCCTTGGTAACAGAAAGCAACATTGTACAGTTGTCTCTCTACATTTGTGGGTTTTACATTTGTGGATCTGATTACCGTATTTCACCATTACCGTATTTCACACATTTTTATCCCTTTTTGGATTAAAAAAGGGAGATACAACTATTATAAAGTGGAGGAAAAAATCCAGCATTAGAGCCTCTCTTGGCCAGTAGTCGAGTGAAGCCCCATAGGCAGTTACATCCTGAGCAAGTGAACTAAGAGCATGACTATTATGCAGAGAATACTAAAATTCCCGTTTTGCCACCCTGAACATGGGGGTGCAACTAAGATGCAAAGGCAACTGTTATGTGATTATATGCAGGAATTTGTATATTAGATTAATATGTTCTTTCTAGGTATCTCATACTTCCAGTATGACTGTATGGCAAGTTTGGCCACAGAGTTGCACTAGAGGAATAAGACATTTCTAAAGAGATGTTCTCTCAGTTAAAAAGTAATGCATTTTTAATTCAGTTTTTCCACCTTTGCACCCCTAAGCCCAGAAAATTTAGAAGACTGACTATACTTCCAACTGAGCAGGAAAGAGATGGCACCTGCTATCAAATAATAATCAGCAGGTCAGGTATTAATTTCCTCTTAAAAGACTACTCACCACATTTAGGATAAGCCACTATCAAGACATCATCCTTTCTGGCTTCCATGGTTTCAAGAGCTTCAAAAGTCTCAACTTTACAAAGACGACTAGGATACAGGACTCCTCTGTACGAAAATAGCAGGTCATCATTGTTATCCTTGTCATCCTCTAAGAAATTCTCTACAAATTCTGCAAAGCCACTTTTTTCCTTTGCCATCCTTTCTTCTCACTGGTGTCTTATTCAGATCCCTTCTAAAGAGGAGATTCAGTTCGGTGCTCTTGGACACTCTTTATTGCTCAGCAAAGGATATTTCACAGAAGAACAAAGTCCGGAATTACATAAGCTCACACCCTGGATTCCAGTTCAGACTGGCTATTAAGACTATCTGGCTTTATTTGTTTCTATAGCAAAGTATTGCTTAATATTTTGCTGGCTGAGTAAAGTTATTTTTTGGGAGGAGATATTACTCCTGAAACATGATTGGAACACCAGGGGCTCCAGAGGGTGAAGTAAATAGGCTAACTGAAACCAAGTGGATGAAATAAAGAGAGCTCTGCCCCTTTAAGGGATGACTATGATGCTGACACTTTCCTCAGTTTAGCAATGTTAGGCACTTCTGTAACAGGATCTTTCTAATCTTTGTCAGTTACGAGAAGTCTTCTTTATGTGTTCCAGTACTGAACCAAAAGAATTTAAAATACAGTTAAGATATGCAATAAGATTAGACTTCCTAAAGCATAACATGGTTCTGTTACTGGCATACTTTGGCAAGCTTTTCACATAAATTGCCTTTAAAAATCTTTTTGTATTGTGTTCTAAAGTTCAGCACATCTCCCTGGGGAATTTGTTTAACTTTGTTCTACAATTTTGAGCCCAGAAGATTAGACTTTCACACCCAGCATTCCTGTAACCTTTTGGGCTACACAGTTTGAGAACTTTTGCTTTGGACCATCTTGGAGTCTGCCAGGGCTGAGAGAGTCAATACCTTCTGTTTGGAGAAGAGCAGCAGATTTGGCTACTGTTGCCTGTCCCTCTGCTTGGTGGTCTTCAAGTTAACATCTGCCTGGCTAATAAAAGTTAACATTTGCCTTTATCCTCTGGTGGCCTGCCCTGTGCAGGAAGGATGTGTTTTTCTAAGGAGCGAGAAAGTCCCTAGATTCGTGGGGTCAAACAGAGCAGGAGAAGATGCGGAAGGGGGAAACAGGTTCAACACAAACAAAAGAGGGAGCGAAATAGAATGCATACTACTTCCAAATTGTCTCCTATATTTAATAACCTGGATAACTAAAGGAGGCCGATACCCATAGTAGATTTGCTTTGGTAACATAAGAAGAAGAAGTGTACCCCTCCCAGTAGAGAAGGAGCAACACATCAATGGCAGGGTGGAAATGTGTGCTCTGCAATAGAGAAGCTAAGTGTAAAGATAAGGCTTGCTGAACAGAGTTGAGACTTGGGCTGGGCTGAAATTTGCCCCAGAAAACATGTGCAGTAGAATCTTGATAGATAAGAAAAACCTATATAATGTGTGGTCAAGGGGTGTGGTACACGGCAACCTTTTTTAAAGTACTGTGACCTGCATGTGCAGTACGGCTGACCCGTCTCCTTATGGCCATACTGGAATAAACCTTGCTTTTGCTCTTCTCCTGAGCCTAGACATTTTTGTCTGTTTGCCTCCTGTGATTGGATCTTCAACAGGAGCTCAGATTTGGGGTCCCTTACATAAGCAGGGTGACTGTCCCCCTAGGTTGAAAATGCTGCTGCTAAATGCCAGGTCAGTCAATGGGAAAATAATGCCATCCAAGGCGTTCAGGCCTAGCTATAAAACAGAGACAGCATTGGTCGCCTTGGTGGATGACCTACAAAGAGAGCTAGACAGGTGGAGTGTGTCCCTGTTGGTTCTCCTGGACCTTTCAGCGGCTTTTGATACATTGACCATGATACCCTTCTGGGTCCTCTCTATGGGCCGGGGCTGGTTTTACAGTGGCTCCGGTCCTTCCTGGAGTGCCATACCCAAAAGGTGGTCCTGGCCGCTGTGCTGTGGGGTTCCTCATTGTTCCATTTTGTCCTTCATGCTGTTCAACATATACATGAAATTGCTGGGAGATGTCATCCGGGGTTTTGAAGTATGGTGCCACCTATATGCAGATGATGCCCAACTCTACTACTCCTTTCCACCTAAAGCCAAGGAAGCTGTCCTGACCCTAAACCAGTGTCTGTCATCAGTAATGGACTGGATGAGGGCAAACAAACTGAAACTTAATCCAGACAAGACAGAGGTGCTTTTTGTCAGTTGGAAGGTAGACCAGGGAATAGAGATCCAGCCTGTGCTGGATGGGGTCTCACTCCCCCTGAAGACACAGGTCTGCAGTTTGGGGATACTTCTGGACTCAAAACTGGAACTGGAGGCCCAGGTTTTTGTGTTGACCAAAATTACAACTTGTGCACCAACTGTGCCCATTCCTTGAGAAGCCAAGGAGTGGTACATGCTTTAGTTTTATCCCGTCTGGATTACTGCAACGTGCTCTATGTGAGGCTCGGAAACTTCAGCTAGTCCAAACAACTGCAGCCAGGGTGCTAACTGGGCATGGCTGCAGGGAGTAGACAAACCCCCCTCCCCATTGCAGCAGTTCCACTGGCTGCCAGTCTGTTACTGGGCACAATTCAAAGTACTGGTTGTGACCTTTAAAGCCCTAGACAGTTCAGGTCCAGGCTATTTGACTGACTGCATTCCCTTGTATGAACCTGCCCAGACCCAGAGATCTTCAAGCAAGGCCCTTCTCTTGGCCCCACCTCCATCTCCAACTTGGTTGGTGGGAATGAGAGAGAAGGTCTTCTTGGTGGCTGCCCCTCGACTCTGGAACTCCCCTCTTCCTAGGGAAGTCAGACTAGCCCCCTCCCTGCTGTCTTTCCGGCGGCAGGCTAAAACCTTTTTAGTCAAACTGGCATTTGAAGATGAAGTCAGAGGATGCTATGATGTTTAACTTGGAATATGTTTGATGGGTTTTAATTAATTTTTCAAAATACTGTTTGTGTTTAATTCTGTTTTAATGTTTCTATATTTGTATATAATAATAATAATAATAATAATAATAATAATAATAATAATTCCTAAAATAAAATTAATCTTGTCAGGAGTTATAAGACTGCATTGCTACAGGAGATGCAATCCATATACTGATAAATTATTTAACTGTTGTAATCTTGTTGTCAAAGGTGTAAATGTAGACCACACCTTAGCAATACAAACCTACACATCTACTCAGAGATAAATGCTCTGATTTAAACAGGATTTATACCTTGGTGGGAGGAAAAAGGATTGCAGCCCTGGGTGGCAAGAGCATGAAACTGGAAGGAAAAATACATCTAAGTAATGCAGGGTTTTTCTGCTACACTTGATGATCTGCTCAGAGCTTATGTAAGTTGCCTTTTGGACCACAACTCCCAGAATCCTCCAGTAACTACAATTTTGGCTTCATTGTCTGGATATTCTAGGCCTTGTTGTACAAAACGAAACTCAACTAAATTTGACCATCTACTCCAACCAGTTAGCGATAAGCAATAAGAAGATCTGCAACCACTTTTCTGATAACAGCTTGTCAGGTGCCTTATCCACACTCAGTAGAAAATAAAACAGAAGACCACAGGTGCTTTTATATTAAACATTCTGTGTAATGTAGTTCTGAGATTACATAATTCTAAGAGCCCCACTGAGGAATTTCCTGGAACATCCGGGATAGGCCAGGTCCTGGACAAAGGTGGTAATCATGATCCATTGTGTCTGTGTACAGAACAAGTAGTTTCCTCTGCAACATCTGATAACTGCTGATCAGTACTCGCTTCAGTTGAACTGACAGTGGAAAGGGGAAGTCACACATATTGGATCCCTTTATTTGACACCCAAAGCCTGAATGAAGATCATCACCTTTTGTCCCAAGGCTCCTCGCCATCACATTCCCCAGGAAACTTCCTCATCGCCCAATATCAGAACAATTAAACCGATCAAGGACTCATTTACATCTTCCAATATGGACATGGACTTTTTGGGGCTCCCCTCCTCCTAGGAGAACCACCTCTCAACAGCTGATTGGCCCTCCTCAAGCCAATCCCCCTCCATCTCCTCCCCTCTGCCAGGGAATCCCTGCCTGGAGGTGTCAAAGATACCGGAACACCAGCCAGTTGGGGTGCAGATCCAATAAATATAGGACAAGTGATCTAAAAATGATTTAAAATTTGACCCCCTGACTTAAAAATAAGGAAGCAACAAATTGAGAAAGTTTATTGGTTTTCTATATAGTACTTGATTTCTTTTCTCATGTAGAAAAGGTGTCATTAACATATTTAAGGCATTTTAAAAAAAATTCTGCTCATTCCTTTTTTAAAATTATAAATTTTATTTGATATATCTCAAAAATTAACAAACTTTTGCCATACAAGTCTTAGTTCAATATACATTATTTTAAAAAAATTAAGGCATAACTTCAGAATTTGCAGTATTTATCATATCTTAGCCTTCTGCCCAGTTTTGTTCCTGCTAAACACTCTTCAAATTTTGCATCCATTTCCTGGCTCTGAGCTTCCGTGAATAATGTCTTCCAATCGCCCACTTCACCTATAGAAGAACAAATGGAAATGAATTCCAGTATTTTTTCCATCCTAAATGAAGATGCAGAGGTCTATAAGATGTTTCAATGTAGTTTTGTCTTTGCTTGCTTACTTTATTGTTTTTATTGTAGTTTTCTGTTTTATTCATTTGTATGCTATCTTTCTCTTAGTAACAAGGTTCAAGGTGACTGATAACACACCTAGAAACAATATAGATCTACCTCTACAAAGTATGAATGAAATTATATATTTTTACGTTCTTACATTGTGCTAAAGTTCTACATGTGTGCTTTTTCTAGATGCAGATCTCAGTGAGTCCAGTGCGACTCACCTCTAGGACTGTCACCTTAAGCAAGTTGAATCATAAGTAATTTCCATCTGAGAAGACATGTAAATACTAGTTAATGTAGAGATTAGAAATCCTGCCAGGAAGTAAGAAACATTGACGTAATGTCTGTGTATTTGGAGGCTTTTCCTTTTGAAAAAGATACTTTCACTTGTTATTAAATTATGAAGATATTCTATTTTCTACTCAATGAATGATACATTTTTAATTTTTTTAAATCTATAAAGGTATATTTTATCTTCTAGAGTACCCTCTCCCCTCCAAAACTCTGTAGGTGCTGATTCCACTCGCATTTTGGGACATGCGCATTATGGAAGTGGAGAATTGGGGGAAATGGCATTCATTGCCCATGGCTGTGAAGCCGCAGATACTGTGGATTCTGGAACTGGTCCATAGCCAGCTTTTGTAATGCATACAAGTACCATCCAGGCTTGGAACCCATTACAGAACTTGACATTTAGTCATCTGCATAGTGAAATCATGTTCTTCTCTGTCGGGTTCACATCAAATTGTCATCAGTGTAGATGTGCCCTCAGATTTGCCTTTAACATAAATTTCTCCACTGGAGAGGTCTTATGTGCATTGAAGAAACAGTACTGAAACTGTAACTTTCTACCAAGGATTCTTTAAATGGCATATAAATGGTACCTTTTCTGAAAATGACAGGAGCAATTGAACCATGGGTTTGGGAGGCTCTGTCTCTAATTTCTTGGAAGGTTGCTTTGCTTGCCAGAGACTTAATTTTCTCTTCAGAAAGAGGAAATGCATAAAACTCAGCTATTTGTTTAATTCCCTCACACAGATTCTGTAAAATAATAATATGATCAAGTTAGTTATAATGTCATAAATAGGACAGATAAATACAAACTGTGATGTTGTTAGCCTTCTCTGCCAATTAGTGCAGAAAGGGCTAACAATTTGCCAAACTACAAATCTCAGGATCCCTTAGCATTGAGCCACTGTTGTTAAACTGATTTCAAATTATATTAATTCTACAGTATAGATGCACTGCTTGGTAACAGAGAGCTCCTTCTACAATGGTATTCAGAAAAACAAGTCCATGTACTCACTTCTTTCAGCTCTTCATATGTGAGGATCATGACATTTTCGTCATCCATGTGTTTGTCCCAAGCAAGAGCATGTTCAAAGTAGGATTGCCAAGCAACTGAAAGGACATGTCAAAAGTATAGATCAAAACTGGAAATGGAAAAGAAATAACACAATGACACCAACACTGGCAAACACATACAAAAATTTCACATAGGATACCTGAAGTACAAAACCATTTATGGCAGTTTGCCCATGGGGTTGGAGCCATATTCCATGTATGTGTAAAACTTACTTACATCTAACTAAATTTTAATGATGTTCAACAGGTGTACTGTACTCTAAGAAGGCAGTGATGTAAGAATGACCAGGGGCCATTTCACATCACACAATTATAACCGCATGATTCTGCTGTAACTGCCCATAGCCAAAGGGCACAGAGACATGACTTTCCCCAACACGCCTCTGCTCTCCTCCCCTGGAGCAGGGATGGATTGGCAATTGACTTCACCAAACACGATTTGCCTCTCTTGCCTAAATATTTCTTGATAGATGATGTGGAGTCTGTTTGAACCCTTTTTGCCTGTATTGCCAGTATTGTAACTCATTTCACTTCCATTTATCTACCCACATTGTTCTTGGGCACTTTACTGCAGAATTTCTGGCCACAGATTTGAGTCAACAACATTTGGAGGATGATATGTTTCCCACTGCATCTAAAAAGTGATGTAAAAGAAGTTAATACTGCAGTGCAACCCTATTCTAGGTTTTTCCTGGCAAGAGTTATTATTCAGAGGTTTGCCAGTCTTAAGACTGAGAGAATGTGACTTGCCTGAGACAACAATAGTTTTCCATGGTAGAGGAGGAATGTTAATCCTGGTTTCTGGGTGTTCTAATCAAACATTGCACCACACTTGCTTATGTGGACATAGCTATACATAAAATATTTCTATTCAATTACTCAAAAATATGAAAGATGCCAAAGATAGGACATGTCCCAAATATCTGTTTGCAGGTTCACCATGGATACACTTTTGAATTTACGATTTATTTATTTATTTATTTACTCTATTTTTAACCTGCCTTTTTCTACCCTGAAAGGGATTCAAGACAGCATTACATATGGCAACTATTCAATGCCTTTGAACAACAAACAGTTAAAATACATTAAGGTAAAGATTTAAAATTTAAATTAAATGCACATTAAATACATATAAAACATTACTATCACTATAAAAAATCACAAGCGTAATTTGGGGCCATTCCAAAAGTCATTGCACATAATTCTGCAGCTATTACTGCACTGTAGTTAATCTCCAAAGGCTTGACCTCAGAGCCAGGTTTTCACTTTCCTTCTTAAGGCCAAGAGGGAGGGAACTTCTCTAATATCACTGGGGAGGGAGTTCTACAGTTAAGGGCCACCACTGAGAAGGCCCCATCTCTCATTCCCACCAGATGCACCTGCGATGGGGGTGAGACCGAGAGCAGGGCCTCTCCAGACAATCTTAATTTCCAAGGTAATTCATAGGAGGAGATATGTTCAGACAGGTAAGCTGGGCTGGAACTGATGGTGGTGGTGTGTGCCTTCAAATTGTTTCAACTTATATTAAGGATTTCTCTTGACAATATTATACTCTAAGAGGATCCCATGTCTCCAGAGTCTTACTGCAAATACCTAAATGATGGTAGTCCCTTAGATCATATGTGTCAAACTCAAGGACCACAGGCCAAATCTAGCCTGTCATGGCATTTTACATGACTCTGCAGATGCTGGACTACAACTCTTGTATTTCTCAACAATTGACACCATGACTACAGATGATGGGAGCTGGGATATAATAACATCTGGAAGGTGGCAGTTTAGTTTGGAGAATGGGCTTTGAATTTAGATACAAGGCTCATGGATATATTTGTCTGACTGTAAAATGTCCTTTAGTCTTTCCCAATCCACAGAGTTACAATTAGTGTTGGGTTGCAATTCCCATTATCCCCAGTGTATATGGTGGATAATCAGCACAGATGGGTTGTCATTCAATAACATCTGGGGACCTAAATTGGATAAACACAAACACTATGTAAAAAAAAGTTGACCATCTGTTTCCACACATTCTCTGTTCATACATTTAATGGCCATTTGAAGGCAACCATAAGGCTGATGTTGCCCTTGATGAAAATGAGTTTGACACCCCTGCCTTAGAGTAACTAACTAAAGCCTTTCTTTCCCACGAGGGACATGAGCATTTCAAGGCCCTAATAATCCCAACTGTCTCACTTCTGACGTACCTTCACCATTCATGAATTTTTGAAAGAATTCATCCCAGGAGTCGACACTGGGGAGCAAAAGATTTTTGTTTTGAAAATGATAATAGGAGACAGCTGTATCTTTAGGATTTCGAAATATCACAAGTATCTATTTAAACAAAAATAAAAGGCATTTTAGACTTTTGATTTCAGCAGCCATTGGCATCTAATAACATGAGAAGTTCCTGTATGGAATTAACATTAGTTTAGAAGCAGAAGTGAAAAATCTGGAAATGTTTATCCTGGATCAAAATCTGTAACGTGGTCATTAGCTCACCTCCCACCTGCCCTATATACTCATGTCTACAGGCAGTCCCCAAGTTATGAACAAAATAGGTTCTGTAGGTTTTTTTCTTGAATTTGAATGTAAGTTGGAAAGGGTATATTTTTAAGTGCAACTCCAACCATATATATATATGTTTTAAAATCCAAGACTTACAGGATCAGAAACTGAGGTGAAATTTTCTGATCAGGGGCACAGACAACAAAACAAAACAAATACTACAGGTGTGTTCAGCCTTCCCTACATTATCTATCTATCTATCTATCTATCTATCTATCTATATATATATATATATATATATATATATAGCTATGGATAGTGTAGGGAAGGCTGAACACACCTGTGGTATTTGTTTTGTTGTCTGCGTCCCTGATCAGAAAATTTCACCTCACTTTCTGATCCTGTAAGAATTGGATTTTAAAATATTTGGCTTGTTGTGAAAACAAGGATTTATGATAAAGTTTCAGTGGAGACCTCTTTCTCCCATGATAACTCTTTCTGGAGTTAATTTCCTTTCTGAGGGACAGATTTCCCTCACTTTTGTTATCTCACCTCTTTAACTATGAGTAATTTGTAAGTCAAGTGTTTGTAACTCAAGAACTGCCTCTAATTCTAAAAAAAATCAGTAAAAGAAAATTCCCCCAAAACCCTGGGCCAACTTTTCATGTGTTAATGTGAGTACTATACCTTAGCTCTTACTGAAATAGGAACCCTCTCCTTCTCGGAACAGAGTAACAAAAGGGAAGTACTCCGTAGAATCCAAAAGAAACACAAACCCCTCAACTCTCTCTATTGTCACACCACTTCTGACCTTTGTCAAAACTTGGGTGGGGAAATAGTGGTGGCGGCCAGGGGCAAATGGCTCCCTTAGGCAACACTGATGTTTTCACCTCTCTGTATCCACGTCACATCATAAGGGTGAGAAAGAGATACAATAAAAGGCAAGAAATAAGTGGAGTAAATTTCCATCTCTGCCTCAGGCCCCAGTCTGAAAGGAGACACGATAGACATGTTTAAATATTTGAGAAGATGCCACATTGAGAAGATGCCACATTGAGGAGGGAGCAAGCTTGTTTTCAGCTGCTCCAGAGACTATAGACCTCATCACATGTGCCACTGGAATGAAGGCGTCTTGGCACAACCTGGCGGTGCTTGGGCAGGGGGAGTGGGGGCCTGCCATCCCGTGCCCCACTCTGTCATGGCTTCCTCACCTCATCACATGGGGGAAAGCCTCTTTATGGCGGCTTGACCCATTTTTCCTAATGGAAAGATGGGAAGCCTGCCATTGTCCACAGCCACCATTTTTTTCAGCAACAGCAGCGGTTCAGCCGCGGACTTGCCCTAGAAGTAGTTCTCCGGGGTGTGATGAGAGCCATCGGGCTCCATGGCTGAAGAAGAAAAATGCACCTCACTGTTGAAAATAAGGTAAGTGTGAAAATGTCCCAGGACATGGAGCAATGGAGTCAAAATGCAGTATAAACAATTCATTCCACCTAAACATTAGGAAGAACTTCCTGATGGTAAGAGCTGTTCAGAAGCAGAAATATGTTGCCTTGGAGTCTTGCCAAATCTCCTTCTCTGGAGGCTTTTAAACAGAGGATGGGTGCTTTTCTTACATTGCAGGAGGCTGGACTGGATGCCCCTTGTGGTCTCTTCTAACTCTATGATTCTATTACTCAATATTTCATCTTGTAGAGACTTGGAACAAGTTTTGCCTCATAGAATTATAGAGTTGGAAGGGATCTCATGGGCCATCCAGTTCAGCCCCCTGCCAAGAAGCAGGAAAATTGCATTCAAAGCAGCCCCAACAGATGGCATCCAACCTCTGTTTAAAAGCCTCCAAAGAAGGAGCCTCCACCACACTTCGGGGCAGAGAGTTCCACTGCTGAACAGCTCTCACGGTCAGGAAGTTCTTCCTAATGTTCAGATGTAATATCCTTTCTTGTAGTTTGAAGCAATTGTTCTTCAACATACTGATCCATGTTTCCCTGCTTGGGTCCAAGAAACAATTTTTGCATGAAACATTTGGATATTGCTAACTGCAAAGAAGAGGAAGACAGGAAATGAGCATTATATGATGTGATTTGGTTCATGCAGCAAGGCTGTAGGAAGTGTCCTCCTGAAAGAACTGCAATCACAGAGACAACAAGACTTCTGATTACAGTTATGCAGATAATCCCATACTCACATTATGAGGTCTATAAAAATAAATAGTAACTACTTCCTGAAAGGTTACCCAGCAGCCCTGTAAAATAATGACAGCAGGAGTGAGACTAGTCACTTACCTTCACCTTCTTCTCAAAAAATGATTTGGGAATGTTATCATAAAGGAGATGTGTTGTAAATACTCGTGGGGAAGGCCATTCGTTTATATCCTAGTGTAAAAGGTAAATACAATCTCGAGTAAGCAAATGGCTTTCTTCACACATGTGGAAAAGCACAAGTGGACCTCCATTTCTGACAAGCATGGAAATACAGGATTATTGTATTGAAGTGTGGTAGGTAGGGAAACAGTGAAGCAGGGCCTGGAAAGCAATACATGACATTTGTAACTATGTGTGAATGAAGGTGTGTTACTTTTAGAGTTTACCAGAGGTATTGTTTGGATGCTTCCAGTAAAGCTGTTACCTTTTCATGGATTTTGACCTCTCTGGAAGGACTCTGGAGGTATTAAACCCCATCTAGAGGAATTTTGCACCTTTGCACTTACCCCATTCCCTTGCCCATTCTTTACAGTCTGGCCATATTGACAGTATCTTACCGTCAAATGAGTGCTGTTTTAATTGTTGTTTTATATGCCTATTTGTTTTATTTAATTGTATTTTATATTGTGTTTCTTTTATGCTCTGTTTTTAGGCACTTTTGTGCTGCGTGTAAACCGTCCCAAGTCCCTTCAGGGAGATGGTGGCAGGATACAAGAATAAAATTATTATTATTATTATTATATTATTATTATTATTATTATTTGAAACACAACAAGATGAGTCCACAGCAGATAAGATCATTCTGCGGGCTGTTGTATCGGATTATTATTATTATTATTATTATTATTATTATTATTATTTACACTGCCATAAAATGAAGTTTCATGATGCTGTTTAACTGCAACTGTAGACTCCTATAATGTAGTTTCATAATACAGTTATACATTATATGACAGTGAAAATGGGGTTTTAGAGATTCCTGGAGAGAATTTTTTAAATAAATTCCTTGAATAATCACATCCACAAAAGTCAAATCCGGAGAAACTGTATAAATATGCACTGGATAATATAACATATGCAACTGTAATGTTATGAAGCACACAATTGTTATAAAGCATGACATACTGTCAACTGAAGACATGTATACACTGACTTCCTAGAAAGACTTTGAGTTCATGCTGACCTTAATTTTTTCTGGATGTCCAAACTCAAGCAGTTGAAAGTTATTTGGAGGTGTTAAATCCCTGTGAATTTCTGCCACCACATCATTTAAAATATATCGTGACCAATTTGTACCTGCAACATAAAGGCAAATGAGTTCCATATGGCTTCCGAAAACATAAGACACACAAAGACAAGAGTACAGTCAGTGTGCCAACATCTGTGCTAAATTATGAGTATTAAAATAACTAGACTTTAATAATTTTAACAACCATTTAGCATTCTGAAAATGAGCAAAGAACAATCTTGGGATGACATTCTTCCTCCTCATACTTTGTGTATCTGGATTTTTCCCCTTTGGGTGAGGTAAACCATTGTTTGCCATTTTATCCTTTCCCAGGATTGAAAATTTTGATGGATGAAATGATAAACTCTCCAAGCAAAAACCACTGCATTTATAGCAGATAAGAATAGCAGGAAGTGAATAAAAATGTGATTCTGAAGCCACTTTTCTTGGCGTATGCCTGAAATCTCTCTGAAGCTCTGAAATGAACAGCATTTGTTTGAACTGGAGGTACTATTTGCAAGAGAAACTATTGTTTGCATAGGACCCAGTGTTTAAAAAACCAATATTGATCAAAACAGATTTCACAAAATACTACACTGCAGGAAAAAAGGTTCCACCTAAACATTAGGAAGAACTTCCTGACAGTAAGAGCTGTTTGCCACAGTGGAACATGCTGCCTGGGAGTGTGCTGGAGTCTCTGCCTCTGGAGGTTTTACAGCAAATACTTTTTTTTTTTGGTCGTGTCTTGAGAAACTGTAAGTCACTTCTGGTGTGAGAGAACTGGCCGTCTGCAAGGACGTTGCTCAGGGGACGCCCGGATGATTTGATGTTTTTATCATCCTTGTGGGAGGCTTCTCTCAGGTCCCCACATGAGGAGCTGGAGTTGATAGAGGGAGCTCATCCGCCTCTCCCCGGATTCGAACCTGCAACCTGTTGGTCTTCAGTCCTGCTGGCACAGGGGTTTAACCCACTGCGCCACCAGGGGCTCCACAGCAAATACTGAATGGCCATCAATCAGGAGTGCTTTGATTCTGTATTACTTCCTGACAGGATGGGGTTGGACGGGATGACCCTGGTGTTTTTCAACTCTATGATTTTAAGAGGTTTGAGGTTAGCAGCCCATGACCAGTTACTTGAACATGGAGCAAGAAGGTGTGTATTGCTTAGTTAATTACATAACCTGGGGATGATCAGTGGGATGGGAAGAAGCATTAGAAAGATATAAAATGGGCTACTACATACATCTGACAGGCATAACTTTGCTTGTAGACGTAAACAAGGATTCTGGCAACTTGGCCTGAATGTCTAACTACTGATGATATCACATTAGAGCAGTGGTTCTCAACCTGTGGGTCCCCAGGTTTTTTGACCTACAGCTCCCAGAAATCTCAACCAGTTTACCAGCTGTGAGGATTTGAGGTTAACATCTCATGACCAGTTACTTGAATATGGAGCAAGAAGATATGTATTCCTTAGTGACGGCCCTTCCACACAGCCCTATATCCCACAATATCTGCTTTGAACTGGGTTATCTGAGCCCACACTCAGATAATGTGGGATTTTCTGCCTTGATATTCTGGGATATAGGGCTGTGTGGAAGGGCCCTTATTTACATAACCTGGGGATAGTCAATGGGGTAGGGAGCAGCATTAGGAAGACACAAAACGGGCTACTACAGGCATCTGACAGGCATAACTTTGCTTGAAGATCTATACAAGGATTCTGGCAACCCAGCCTGAATGTCTAACTAGTGATGATAGCACATTAAAGTGTTCTAAATTGTAGGTCCATGTTTCCCCATTGCCTGGTTTGCTCCTGCAGAATTCTGGGAAATGTAGTTGAGGGAAGCCAAGGACCTCTGGCTGAGAATTTTGAACACTCCATCGTAAACTACACTCCCTGGAATTCTGCAGGAGCAAACGGTTGAGAGAGCAACATGGACCTATGCTTCAGAGCTCTAATGTGATCTTGTCCTAGGTGAGAGAAAGTAACAGTTGCCTCTCTACATTTCTGAGTTTCACGTTTGTGAATCTGATTATCTTATTTCAACATATAATAGTCACATATGTTTATCCCCTTTTGGATTAAAAAAGGGGGGATGCAACCATTATACAGTGAAAAAAAAAATCCAGCAATGGAGCCTCACTCAGCTAGTAGTGCTGAAAGGGCAGTTCCACCCAGGGCGAGTGAACTAAGGGTGTGACTATTGTGCAAGGAATACTAAAATTCCCATTTCTAGGTCCTCCAGTATGTCTGTATGGCAAGTTTGGCCACAGAGTTCCACTATGGATTAAGATATTTCTAAAGAGATGTTCTCTCAGTTAAAAGATAATACATTTTTAATTTGGTTTTTCCACCTTTTCACCCCCAAGCCCAGAAAATGTAGAAGACTGAGTGTACTTCCAACTGACTAGGAAAGAGATGGCGCCTGACATCAAATAATAATTACCAGGTCGGGTAAGAATTGATATCAAAACTTTTCTCCTTTTTATTTCTTCTCAAATACCACATTTAGGATAAGCCACTATCAAGACATCATCCTTTCTGGCTTCCACGGCTTCAAGAGCTTCAAAAGTCTCAACTTTACAAAGCCGACTAGGATACAGAACTCCTCTGTAAGAAAATAGCAGGTCATCATTGTTATCCTTGTCATCCTCTAAGAACTTCTCTACAAATTCCTTTGACATCCTTTCTTCTCGCTGGTGCCTTATCCAGATCTCTTCTAAAGATGAGATTCAGTACAGTGCTCTCGCACGCTCTTTGTTGCTCAGCAAAGGATATTTAATGAAAGAACAAAGTCCGGAATTACATAAGCTCACACCCTGGATTCCAGTTCAGACTGGCTATTAAGACTATCTGGTTTTATTTGCTTCTATAGCAATGTATTGCTTAATTTTTTGCTGGCTGAATAATGTTATTTTTTGGGAGGAAATATTACTCCTGAAGATTGATTGGAACACCAGGGGCTCCAGAGGGCGAAGTGAATAGGCTAACTGAAACCAAGTGGATGAATTAAAGAGAGCTCTGCCCCTTTAAGGAATGACTATGATGCTGACACTTTCCTCAGTTTGGCAGTGTTAGGCAGTTCGGTAACATGATCTTTCTAATCTTTGTAAGTCACAAGAAGTCTTCTTTATTTGCTTCAGAATGGAACCAAAGGAATTTAAAATACAGTTAAGATATGCAATAAGATTAGACTTCCTAAAGCATAACATGGTTTTGTAATTGGCATATTTTGGCAAGCATTTCATGTAAATTGCCAATACCTTCTGTTTGGAGAAGAACAGCAGATTTTGCTACTGTTGCCTGTCCTTCTGCTTGGCGGTTCTCAAGTTAACATCTGCCTGGCTAATAAAAGTTAACGTTTGCCTTTATCCTCTGGTGGCCTGCCCTGTGCAGGAAGGATATGTTTTTCTAAGGAGGGAGGGAGTCCCCAGATTCATGGGGTCATACAGGGCAGGAGGAGATGCGGAAAGGGGAAACAGGTTCAACACAAACAATAGAGTGAAATAGAGTGCTTACTACTCCCAAATTGTCTCCCATATTTAATAACCAGGGTGACAGTCCCACTAGGTTGAAAATGCTGCTGCTAGATGTGAGGTCAGTAAATTGGAAAATAACTGCCATCCAGGGCATTCAGGTCCGGCTATGAAATAGAGACAGCATTGGTCGCCTTGGTGGATGACCTACAAAGAGAACTAGATGGGTGGAGAGTGTCCCTGTTGGTTCTCCTGGACCTCTCAGCAGCTTTTGATACATTGACCAAAGTATCCTTCTGGGTCGTCTCTCTGTTTTACAGTGGCTCCAGACCTTCCTAGAGTGCCATACCCAGAAGGTGGTCTTGGGGAACTCCTGTTTGAACCCTTGGCTGCTGTCCTGTGGGGTTCTTCATTGTTCCATTTTGTTCCCCATGCTGTTCAACATATACATGTAACTGCTGGGAAATGTCATCCAGGGTTTTGGAGTTTGGTGCCATCTACATGCAGATGACACCCAACTCTACTACTCCTTTCCACCTAAAGCCAAGGAAGCTGTCCTGACCCTAAACCAGTGTCTGTCATCAGTAATGGACTGGTTGAGGGCAAACAAACTGAAACTTAATCCAGACAAGACAGAGGTGCTCTTGGTCAGTTGGAAGGCAGACCAGGGAATAGAGATCCAGCCTGTGCTGGATGGGTTCTCACTCCCCATGAAGACACAGGTCCGCAGTTTGGGGGCTCTCCTTGACTCGGTGTTGAACCTGGAGCCCCAGGTTTTTGTGGTAGCCAGGAAGGCCTTTGCAGAATTAAAACATGTGCACCAACTGTGCCCATTCCTTGAGAAGCCAAAACCAACCACGGTGGTACATGCTTTAGTTATATACTGTCTGGATTACTGTAACACGCTCTATATGGGGCTGCCTCTGAAGAGTGCTCGGAAACTTCAGCTGGTCCAAAGAGCTGTGGCCAGAGTGCTAACTGGGGATGGCTGCAGAGAGCGGGCAGCCCCTCCCCCCTCCCCTCGTTGCAGCAATTCCACTTGCTGCCAATCTGTTACTGGGCACAATTCAAAGTGCTGATTGTGACCTTTAAAGCCTTAGACACTTCAGGTCCAGGCGATTTGGATGACTGCATCCCCTTTTATGAACCTGCCCAGGTTCAGAGATCTTCAGGCGAGGCCCTTCTCTTGGTCCCATCTCCATCTCAAGATCATCAGCTTTTGTCCCAAGGCTCCTTGCCGTCACCTTCCCCAGGAAACTTCCTCATCGCCCAATATCAAAACAATTAAACCAATCAAGGTCTCATTTGCATCCCCCAATATGAACATGGACTTTCCAGGGCTCCTCTCTGTTATTACTGTGTTTGATTTATGGGTAGATTTCAAAGTGTGTGTTTTTAAAGCTGTGGCCATGTTTGTGTAAAACTGTCTAGCATGTATAGAGTTAACAGACCACTGAAGTTTGTATATTTCCTAGAAGGTAAATGTGTAATGAGTTTCTCTGTGTGAGACCGGATGTCTGAATGGAATTGCTGTGAGGGAGAAGGCTGAGAGTCGCCATTCTTGTTTGATGCTTTTTTTCTGGAGCAGACCTGCTTGCTCTGGGTTGCGATGTTCTGTGTATAAATAATTGTCAATAAAGCTGATTACTTTATGGCTGCAATCCGTCAAGCTTTATTACCCAGCAATTAACACTCTCCTCCTAGGAGAGCCGCCTGTTAACAGCTGCTTGGTCCTCCTCATGCCAATCTCCCTCCATCTCCTCCCTTCCACCAGGGAATCCCTGCCTGGAGGTGGCAACGATATCAGAACACCAGCCAATTGGGGTGCAGATCCAATAAACAGAGGACTAGTAATCTAAAAATGATTTAAAATTTGACCTGTTCACTTAAAAATAAGGAAGCAACACATTGAGAAAGTTTATTGGTTTTCTATATATTTCTTGATTAAAAGTATCATTAAAATATTTAAGGTATAACTTCAGAATTTGCAGTATTTATCATATCTTAGCCTTCTGCCCAGTTTTGTTGCTGCTAAACACTCTTCAAATTTTGCGTCCATTTCCCGGCTCTGAGCTTCCGTGAACAATGTCTTCCAGTCGCCCACTTCACCTGTAGAAGAACAAATGGAAATGAATTCCAGTATTTTTTCCATCCTAAATGAAGATGCAGAGGTCTATAAGATGTTTCAATGTAGTTTTGTCTTTGCTTGCTTACTTTATTGTTTTTATTGTAGTTTTCTGTTTTATTCATTTGTATGCTATCTTTCTCTTAGTAATCAGGTTCAAGGTGACTGATAACACACCTGGAAACAATACAGATCTACCTCTACAAAGTATGAATGAAATTATATATTTTTACGTTCTTACATTGTGCTAAAGTTCTACATACGTGCTTTTTCTAGATGCAGATCTCAGTGAGTCCAGTGCGACTCACCTCTAGGACTGTCACCTTAAGCAAGTTGAATCATAAGTAATTTCCATCTGAGAAAACATGTAAATACTAGTTTATGTAGAGATTAGAAATCCTGCCAGGAAGTAAAGAAACATTGACGTAATGTCTGTATATTTGGAAGCTTTTTCCTTTAAAAAAAGATACTTTCACTTGTTATTAAATTATGATATTCTATTTTCTACTTAATGAATAATACATTTTTAATTTTTTAAAATCCACAAAGGTATATTTTATCTTCTAGAGTACCTCCTCCCCTCCAAAACTCTGTAGGTGCTGATTCCACTCGCATTTTGGCACAAGCGCATTATGGAAGTGGAGAATTGGGGGAAATGGCATTCATTGTCCATGGTTGTGAAGCTGCAGCTACTGTGGATTCTGGAACTGGTCCATAGCCAGCTTTTGTAATGCATACAAGTACCATCCAGGCATGGAACCCATTACAGTACTTGATATTTACTTATCTGCACAGTGTAATCACATCCTTCTCTGCTCGATTCACATCAAATTAAGTTATCAGTGTAGATGTGCCCTCAGAAATATGTTAGTCTCCACTGGAGGGGTCTTATGTGAATTGAATAAACTGTAACCTTCTACCAAAGATTCTTAAAATGGCATATAAATGGCACCTTTTCTGAAGAGGACAGGAGCAATTGAACCGTGGGTTTGGGAGGATCTGTCACTCATTCCTTGGAAGGTTGCTTTGCTTGCCAGAGACTTCATCCGCTCTTCAGAAAGAGGAAATGCATAAAACTCGGCTATTTGTTTAATTCCCTCATACAGATTATGTAATTGTGTGTGATGAATATTTGTGTACAACATGCATTTCCTTTTATATTAGGTAGTTAGTGACGGTATTAAGCTGCTTCCAGTTTTAGCAACTCCTTTTCATTCTCTATCAATGGAAACATCAAGGCCAATGAAATCCTCCTCAGGATTAGTCTTCAGTAGAATTCCTTGTCTCCCATTGCAATATATTATATGGGATCCCCCAAATAAAAATTAAAAATTGTGAGGCTAAGAATGACTGTAGTTTAAAGGCGCTTGAACTGTCATGGCTCAATGCTGTACAAACCACAAATCTCTGGATTCCATAGCATTGAGCAACTGCTGTCAAACTGGTTTCAAATTATATTAATTCTACAGTATAGATGCACTGCTTGTAACAGAGAGCTTATTATACAAGAGTATTTAGAAAAACAAGTCCATGTGCTCACTTCTTTCAGCTCTTCATATGTGTGGATCATGACATTTTCATCATCCATGTGTTTGTCCCAAGCAAGAGCATGTTCAAAGTAGGATTGCCAAGCAACTGAAAGGACATGTCAAAAGTATAGATCAAAACTGGAAATGGAAAAGAAATGTCACAATGGCACCAACACTGGCAAACACATACAAAAAGGTTGGAGCCATATCCCATGTATATGTAAAAGTTACTTACATCTAACTAAGTTTAAATGACTTTCAACTTGTTTACTTCCAAGAGTATAAAAGATTGTACCCCAAGGAGTCAATGAGATTTAATTTGTATAAGAAGGACCAGCAGCCATTTCACATCGCACAATTATAATCCCATAATTCTGCTGTAACTGCCCATAAACAGAGGGCACAGAGACATGACTATCCCCAACACGCCTCTGCCCTCCTCCCTTGGAGCAGGGATGGATTGGCAATTCACCAAACTTCACCAAACACTATTTGAGTCAACAACATTTGGAGGACTATATGTTTCCCACTGTATCTACACACTAGAGAAAAAATCCACTTAAAATCCGGTTTCTGCTTCCTGCAGAATTCTGGGGTTTGTAGTTTAGGGAGGAGCCCTGCCTTTAACAGCCTCACTAGTGTGATGAACTAGTAAAAGGTTATATAAGAGAAGTTAATTACTGAAGTAATTTTTTCTATTGCTGTCATGTGCCTTCAAGTAGACCCTTATTTAATGGCAATCCTATTCTAGGTTTTTCCTGGCAAGAATTATTCAGAGGTTTGCCAAAGATATGACATGTGCCAAATATTTGTTTGCATATTCACTATGGATACTGTTTCGAGTTCAAGACGATGAAGATGGTGATGATATGTGCCTTCAAATTGTTTCAAGTTATATTAAGGATTTTTTCTTGACAATATTATACTTAAGAGAGGATCCCTGGTCTCCAGAGTCCTAGAGCAATACCTAAATGATGGCAGTCCCTTTGTGTCAAGCTCAAGGCCCACAGGCTAAATCCAACCTATCATGGCATTTTACATGACTCTCCAGATGCTGGACTACAACTCCTGTATTACTCAACATTAGACATCATGACTAGCGCTGATGGGAGTTGGGATGCAGTAACCATAAGGCTGATGTTGTACTTGATGAAAATGAGTTTGACACCCCTGCCTTGATTAACTAAAGCCATTCTATTACATGAGGTACATGAGCAATTTAAGGCTCTAATTATCCCAACTGCCTCATGTCAATAAAATGACAGCCTTCACAAGCATTTAAATCCCTTACAAGACCTTTAAAAAGAACAAGAAACACTTCTGACATACCTTCGCCATTCATGAATTTTTGAAAGAATTCATCCCAGGAGCTGATACTGGGGAGTGAAGGATTTTTGTTTTGAAAATGATAATAGGAGACGGC